ACCTTATAACTTCCTATAACGATATTTGTCGTCTTTATGCTCTCAAATTAATAATTCATAAAGAAAATACAAAGGAATAAATGTTTTTAAAATGAATGTTTGGAAATCAGATGAAAAACTTCTCATTTTTGCATCCTTAATTACTGTAATTAAACTCAAATGTCCCTGAACCAACCACGGCAACCAGGCCAGATTCCTTGAGTAAAATTGGGTTGTGGTCAGAAATAGGGCATAGTTTGGCCTGACATCGGATTGGGCTTTAGAAGACACAACTTTTAATATTTTTCACTTGTTCCCGTTGGAAGTAGTTTGTTGTTCCTGTGACGTCAAGCGGACGTCATTCCGGTTTCGCTTTACATGATGTGCAAATATTGTAGGTGCAAACTTAGCGCCATATTTCATCTCGACACTTCGAAATAATGGCGCAACTTGCCGGTCTCTGCATTGTAATTTCTCTCCTTTCCATCCCTTCGTCGTCACAGCCGCTGAATTGTACAAAGGATGACTATGTTCCACAAGTTTTGCCTTGCGATCCTCGAACTTCGACTCGATCCGTGGTTTATTACCTGAACTCCTCTACATGGTAAGCGTTTTACATTTAGCAGTTGTTTCACTAAATCTTGACATGATTTAAGTATTACACGCTCAATTGATATTGATTTACATGCGTTGAGAAGGTTGGTGGTTGGAGATCGTGCAGCCTTAAAAAATCTGGTCGATGCAGTTTTAACCATGGCGCTTCTCCGGCCCAACTCTCAAATGAAGTCGCAAACATGCCTAAATTGCTAAGATGTGCAATGTACAACTTTTCAAACAAGACCTTCTGTGATGTGAGCCAATCAACAAGTCCAGCTTTCATTTTAAGGCAGTCAGTGCTAGTGTTACTTTTGCTGTTTATAAATTTTTGCTGATGATGGCTAAATATTAATGTGAGTTAATGCACTCAATATGACTCATCAACTTTCCCGAGATCTCCCCCAGACTTTTCTGCACATTCCCTCCTCAAAACCTACTAGTTTCGAGCAAAATGAGAGGCCGAAGGCACCTCGCCTTGAGAGGTTTATAATGTTGTCACTTTCGAAGCGTGTGTACCGTGCGTGGTGTTAGCGACCTGCAAAGTTGGCCGGCCCATCTATACTTGTATTTTTGTATATATCGTGATGGTGTCTGCCCTGACGTCATCTAGTGTGTGACGTCACAGTGCATTTGGTGTTTCCAGGCAACACTAAAGAGTGTCTTGCTTTGGTCGTATTTGTATTGATTTGGTTTTAGCAGCTGTTTTAGGAGTCCGTAAGTGCTTTTTGCAGTGAATTTCAAACGCAAAAGTACTTTTAAGGGTAAATGGAAGAGATTTTGGATAATTAGCCTTAAGATATGAGTGAAAAATAAATCAATGCAACAAAACATGTTTTGCTTGCAGACGAGTGTATCAGCTGAGTTGTTCAATCTGTTCTTTAAAAGCGCCATGAAATGTGTTTACGTTGGGTTTTCACTGTCAAAACAGCAGTCATTCTTCTAAAAATATCTTTGAATTCAGGTTTAATAGGGCTCGATCAACTTTATGCAGGTCTCACTGGCAGAAGTTCTAGGGGAAGGTTTAAGAAATGAAATGTTTTCCAAGTCACCTCAGTGTTCCACGTGGCCTAGTAATAATGATACACCTGGCGTGCAGAAGGTCCTGAGTTCAAATCAGGCAGAACCTGTTTTTCTTTTCTCTTCTCTTCTCTTCTCTTTTTCTTTTTCTTTTCCTTTAGTTTTCTTTTTAGTAATTATTGCAGTTTTCTTTTGTTTCTTATATACTGTATTTATTTGGCTATAAGCCAAGCGATTTTTACACAAATTGAAGCTGAAGTTCAGTGAAATGTGAGCCCAAAAGGGGGGGCTCAGCTTTATGGCGAATAGTTTTCTACAAAAAATGTTTTTCAGTGCATTGAAACTCTACAAAATTGGGGATGTATTCACTTATAAGCCAAGCATATAGCACTGGCTAAAGATCGAATCAATCGCGATACTACAAATCTGAATGTTAAGTTAGCTAATTAGAGAGCACAGAAATCCAGTTCCAAATTGTCAAAATATCTGACAAAAACAGGTCTCTCAGCTAAAATCTCACATTGGTAAGCCTTTTACAATGAGGGAAGGTGTAAAACAAATGAAAGATGTCAAGGAATGTGTAAACAAAAATTATCCACCTGCATGTTGTTTGGTCAAACATGTGCTTCGAAACATATGCCTGGTTACTAAGCACAGACAAAAGCAACACAAACTGATGTAGTTTGTTTTGATTGAAAGGTATGTGATCATTTCAATCATTATGCGATGAAGACATGACGAAAGATTGATAGCAGCAAAAACCCAAACAACAAATATAAATATTGTATGTTTCCCTAGAGTGTCAAAAGAGAAGGTACTTTTTTTTCAAAATTGTTAAGTTTCAAGTACAGTAGTTAAAAGTATGGTCTCGGCTTATAGCTGGGTGTTTTGTATTTATCTTTCGTTCTTGGTGATGCTGATTCTACAAGTTTAAAGTTTAGGGTCTCGACTTATCGCCAAGATCGGCTTATGGCCGAATAAATACGGTAGCTAAAGTTTTTTTAAATTTATAAATTTTCTTCCCCATTGCTTTATTTCCCTTTCAACTTCTTGTCGTTCCCCTGAAGTCCTTCGTGAGGTCCTTTGATTCACATATTTCTAGAAGAGTGGTTTCCAGAATCTTGCATTTGGCAAGTATATTTTGTACAATGATACCGTGGAATACCCTGCTAGCAGAGCTGCCCCTCTTACCCACTTGCTTGGCAGTGATATAAATTAATAAGCTAGTACTAGTTACAGTTGAACCTCTCGGTACGAACACCTCTCTAATATGGACACCTCTCTATTACAGACAGTTTCCTATGTACCGACAAAATTCTCATACATTTCCTCTAAAAAAAACTTCTATAATACGGACCCTCTCTAATACGGACAATGGACACAAAATCTCGGCCCTTGGGAGCAAATTCAAATTCTTTATTATGGACACTCTGGGACAAGGTGTCAACAATTTGCGGTATATGTACCATTTCCTGTCGGCAGTTACACAAACATTGACACTTTATCAGTCAGCGATACCAATACCAGAACAATGTCTTAGGCAAAGTATTTTGTTTTGTTTCAAAATTCGTATGTACTGACAATGTAGCTTCTGAGAAGTACAATAACATTAATTAACAAGACACTGAGTTTTGGGCTTGATTTTACTTACTGAACACTCTAAGTGATGTAATCATAGTGACCTCTCTTATATTGACACCTCTCTCATACGGACACTTCGATCTGTCCCTTCAGTGTCCGCATTAGAGATGTTCGACTGTATCCCTTAGTGACTGAATGTAAGCAAAATGCAGTGCATTTCAGTAAATTTTTCTCTAACACTAGGGATTGCTTAATTGACTTTATCAGAATAGATTGGGTTCAGCATAAAAACTGACATTATTTCCTTATGCTCATATTTTTGATTCAAGCAAAAAGCTGGTGGGATTGCTAAAGTTGCATGGTCACTAATGGAATTAGTTTAATTAGCTGAACAAACTCTTTGATAATTTGCAGTACTGGTGGCGCGTTTCCTCCTAAACCTCAACATAACATACCCTGTGTATGCCCTCCTGGTAAAGGCCTGAATGGAAGCAGCCCCACCAGTCACACATGCACTCCATGTGCAATTGGAGAGTATGGATCAGGGGGGGAAATCATCAATAATTGGAGGGATTGGACTGGAAATGGCATGGTACCTCCTGAGGGATCAGGTCTTATTACGTATTGTGATATTTCAAGCAATTATATCAAACATTGTGATTCATGGAAAGCAAGTGGTAAGCAAGGATAATTATTTTTTAAAACTTGATGCAAAATGTTAAGAATAAGGGCGATTGCTTCTTCACAGGGCTCTAAACACTGACAAAAAGATGAAACCACGAGGCCCTAGCTAGGCTTAGTGCTTTCATCCGTTTCGAAGTTTTTGGAACCCGTGATAAAACTCAAAGCCCAAATTTTTGACATGTCCTCTTAAATGAAACAATAAAAAATTATGCAGTGACATGTTTTTTTGCTGGTATTGCATTGTTTCCATGAGTTATGTTAATCAATAGAACATCTCATTAAAATGCAAGTGTTTGATCTCGATCAGGTGAAAAACATGTTTCATCTCAGATGAAAACCTGGTGATATTTTATCTGGTGTTTCATCAGGTATCAAGGTTCATCCATCGTACCCAAATGGTCGTCATTTATTGGCTTTTGAGTGCCTGAATTATTAATGAGTTTGACAACTTACATGTAGTTTTCGGTCTGATCTGTTTTCCCTTCAAGATTTCTGTTTTGTGGCTATGGCCTTCCCAATCTCAGTTTAATAATAAACAATAATATTATTAAATAATAATATTATTATTTATATTTTCAATTCAGACTTTTCATTGGCCCTGGCACCAACATGTATATTCTCCTCACTGCTCTGCAAATGTTTCTTATTAAGTAGTGAGTACGTGTCTATTGAGAGAATTTGTTTAATCATCAAGACATCATCAGTGATTACTTTTGACATTCATTCTTTATTGACCTGTATGTTTGATCTGGTTGTACAGTGGCGGATCCAGGGAAGGGGCCCGGGTGGCCTGCCCCCGCTTATTTTTTGACAAAATTTTTGGGGGGAGACCTCCCCCCCCCACCCCTCCCTTATCTCAAGGTCTGCATCCAGCTCTGTTGTAATATTGTTCAAGGAGAAAGTCTTCTGTAGCTTAGTGATTGAAAAGCTGAATAAAAACAAGTGACGTAGTGTGTAGCAGTTAAACAAAATACAGTCCAATCTCGCTTTACGGAAACTTCATTAACACCTATGTGTTGTAATAAACCTTTTCTTCTTGAAGGTAAATAATCTCTCAGTTGGCAACATGTTGATGTTCCCAGCACTACAGTACACCAGATAGGATGATTTGTAGATGTCAATTTTTAGACTACTTTTGGCATCCAATGAGTCAGTTTAAGAGAATACTTTTAATATTTATTAATATACACGTAGAGATGAGCAATTTTTGAGTGCCCAAGTCAAGTTAAGTCAAGTCAAGTCAATTTTTATTTAAACTCACACAGAATAATTATAATTAATACAAATTAGTGCTTTAAAATATAAAATCGAGAGATTGTGAAGGGAAAGAAAATTTCAATTGTAGGTTCACTGTGCAGAGTTTGGGACACCTAAATAGTTCGTGGAACTAACCGAGTAGGTGACCCAAACAAGAATATGAGTAGAAGGAGTATAGATACAAAATAGTTATTTTAGATAAAAAAGTATTACTTCATTAATCAAATAGTAGTTAAGATAATATAATCGTAAAACATTAGGATTCAATAATATTATAAACATCAATCACAGAATTCTTGATATGCTCACAAAAACTGGAAAACGGCTTGATTTTCTTAACATCAATAGATAAAGAATACCAAAGTTTTGGACCAGTGTAACTGAGAGAACGAATGCCGTATTGAGTGGTATGAACAGATTTAACAAAGAGATTATCAATCTGTTATTGACGTGTATTATATGAATGAATAATTCATTCAAGAAACTGGGTTAAAATAATTAACAAAACAATGGATCCTAAATCCTATGGATTTAGTCCTCAGAATTACGGCTTTTTGAAGGATCGGATAGAGATGTTTACTTTAATGTAGCTAAGTTATGTCCTCTTTTATGTCTTAAACATTTTGTGCTAATAAAAGTTTTTGTCTCACTTAAACAACATAATCTGCTTAACCCTTTAAGTTCCAATAGTGACCAACATCAATTTTCTCCTAACAATATCCATAGATTGTCAAGTGCAACATCTTTGAGAATTAATCGAATGATCACAGGAGAAAAATCTCTGATCTTTTATCAGTTTCTCCCATTTAATTCTGTAAGGAAATGTAGAGAAATCAGTTTGGAGAATTTGTTTGTGGATATTGGGGCTTAAAGGGTTAATACAGACACTTTCTATGGACCCTTCTGGGTCCATACTAATGGGTTTTGACTGTGAAAATCTCTCAGCGAAGTACTTTATAAACACCATAAAATTACTATGCCTTTATTATTTTTATCTTTTATAATGCCTTTGTTTGTTTGTTTGTTTGTTTGTAAGCAATTCCATTTTTTTATTGATTTACATAGCTGATAACTACACACTTGAATCTGGTGACAATCGTGGGTCAAGGTGCCTGATTTCTGTATTACTGCTGACCAGGAAGTTTGTCCTGACTAACAACAATGTTAGTTTTGACTATCGCGTAGACAGCCGAGACTGCAGACCTGGAGTCTTTGGATGCGATGGTCTAGCTTTCTTTATTGATGGTCAGCAAGTACTACAATACCAAGGAAACCAGTTGCACTGGGTTACAAAGACTTATAATTTAAAGAAGGTGAGTTTGAATCAAACTTTGCCTGCTGATAGCGTTATGCTTCATAAAACAGAGTTGTGACGGCTGGGCTCAAAATAATTGACATTGGCCATTCATGTTGACCAGCCCAACAAATTTTGGCCAGCTTGGTCATTGTTTGTTTGTGACTGGTCAAAATGTATAGAAAATACGTATTTCAAAGTTGAATAGTCAAGCAATTAAAGTAAAAAATATCCCCTTGTAAGCTCACAAATTTGAAAATAGGAAATCTACATTGTATAGGGCAACATATAACTCAGAGGAGTGTTAACAAAAAAAAGGAATAAATTGTATTGAATATTATTAGATGAACAAGAAAACATGCAATCTTGTTAATGCCACCCCTCAGTACCACAGGGTATCCAAAAAACAAAACATACCACCCTCAGTACCACAGGATACCCAAGAACCACTGAATGCCACCCTCTCACTACCACAGAATGCTCAGGATTAGCATTTGCCCTTTTCATTTTAACATCAACAATTAGCATGACTTACTTTTGGTTTATGTGTAGATATGAAAATGTGCTTGTGAAGGAAATCAAAAGATACTTGTGAAGCAAAATAGACCTGTCTTGAACAGCAAACATCATTTTGACAAAAATCATCTGTAAGTTTGATATTTGTGTAGATAGCCAAGCTGTTCAAATGCTAAAATTCATACTTGTATTCTAGGGTCCCCATACACTGAAGTGGGTTTTTCGGAAGAGGTGTTTTAGTTATGGATATTCCTTCTTAGACAAGGCTTTCATCCGTTCTATAACCTTGGTAAGTCACACAATTTATAATGGTAATAGAACTAAGCGGAGTTAAATTTTGGTCTGTTAAAATCATCATCTCTAGGGGCAGGCACATATCCAAACCAACTTTCACCATTTTATAGAAAACTGTCAGATATATTTGACAAGAGGAAATGAAATGCTTGATAAGAGAATTTTTTAGGAGATTTATTCCAGACTTGGTTGCGCTTGCAGTTTAGTAATATTTAAATTAAAAAAATAGTCAAATCGGTCATGGTTGAAATTTAGAATCCATGGCAATTTGAGACAGAAATAGTGGCAACTTTTGGCTATTATAAGAGACTTTGGTCTTGGATTAATATTAGCAATCTGACTTCTGCTAATTAACTACGTACAGTCAACTCCCTTTATTGCGGACAGTGTATGGAAGTTAGTGTCCTGTCCATATTATCGGTAGGCAAGAGTTGACTGTAATAAATATTGCTTTGCCAAATTCCATGCACCTCTCTTAATTTTCACCCAAGTGTGTCAGCTATCCAAGGTTCAAAAATAAAAGTAAGGATATTACATTACGTTTCTCCTTCGTTAAAAAGTATTTGTTTAATTTATGTATTTAAAAAGACTGTGTATTCTTTAGGTTGGCTCAGATGAACCAAATGTGAAATGCAAACCTTGTCCACCAGGTTACTTTAGTAATCAAGAAGGTGCTTCAGAATGCACTGCGTGTTCATATTTTCAGTTTCAGGCGAAAAAAGGTTGGTACATTATTTATCACATAATAGACCTTTGTGCAGAGGCCCTGCCGGGGGGTCCCATGTCGCCCATCTGAATTTTAAAACTTCTCGTGTCTGTGTTTATAAATGCTTGTTGCTTCTTGTCAGCTTTGCCGTCACTGTCGCAATTTGGCCGAGGGAGGTTGTCTCTTGTCACGATTTCATTTTATGCGCTGTTCCTACTTTTTGGGCCGAGTCGCTTGTCGGAATTTACCCTGGCAGGGCCTCATGTACAGAAATCCCCCCTCTCAGCTATTCTTTCAATTCACAAACATCATGAGAGGTAGATGAGACTGACTAAGACTGATCTATGATTCCTTGGAGCTCTAGAGGTCAATATTATTATTTTTATTTTACAAGCCAGCTAATTCATGACAGTTGATATACATTTGTAACTATGAGTAATGCATCAAAGCAAATGAAATTTGTCTTATCTGGTATATCTGCTGCATTCTGAGTTCCTAGACGGAACATAAATTCCCAGAATTTGTGGCAACCTATCAGAATTGAAAAGGACTGATTATTATATTAAAATACCCTTTCTTTTGTTGCAATAAACTTGCATAGCTGTTGGCCATGTGAGGGAAATGCTTCATAGTTCCTTCAATATAGTAGGTAATTGTCAATCGACCACTTTCACAACTGTTGCTGGTTTTTGTGGCAAGTGTGCTCAATTATTTTGCCTTGTTAAGATCTATTTTTGTTTGTTTGATTTTTTGAAGAAAGAGCTTGTATCTGATAAGAGCTCATTATTTGAATATGTGCATGTTTTCAGGTCAGACTAAATGCGACCCTTGTCCAGAAAATACGTTTGCCATGATAGGGGCCTCAAAGTGTATCCCGTTACCTAAATGCACACAGGATGACATCATTAGCGCCCCTGGAAACTTGACTACATGTTCCTGTAACAATACTGGTGTGTGTACAACCACAGTACAAGAAAAGTTTGTCACCGTTACCTTAAAAGGTGAGTCAACGTACTGTAAATCCTAGATCTATTAAGCCCCCCCCCCAGGGCTTATTTATTGCAAGCCCATTTGATGGGGGTTGGGGGCTTTATAGAGATGGGGGGCTTATTTAATTTAGAATTGATGATGATATCAGTTGTCCATAAAGAACTAGAATACAAAGTGGATAAGCTTAAGAACGAGAAGTTTTAGTTCATGCACCCGAGAATGAGAATTTACAGTCGTGATTGATTTATACAGTCTATATTTTATTAGTAAAAAATAATTAGGGGAGGGGATGGGGGCTTAATAGAGAGGGGGGGCTTATTAATTTTCTTCCCCTAAAAAGGGGGGCTTACTAGAGGGAGGGGAGTTATTTGAGAAGGGGGGGCTTAATAGAGGATTTGGGGTAATACACAAATTTTGTGTTTTTTTTTAATTGTTCATACAGATGGCAGCCTGAGAAAACCACCACTGGTTTCGTTGCAAAATGATGTCTGAGAAACGAGCGCACAAATTCTACACTGATGGTGCGTCACTACCCAGATCTGGGTAATGCTTTTGTTTGGTTGAAGCAAATTTCCCTTGCGGCACAACCCATTAGAAGCACTACAGAGATCTTGATAGTGATGTGTCATCAGTATGTAATTTCTGCGCTTGTTTCTTATACATCAATTCATGGTCAAACGGGTGATGTCGTCGCAGAATGTTGGCTGTTTTCTCAGGCTGGATGTGGCATGGGCAATTTATTAGAGCACTAGACTTGTAATCTGGAGACCCCACTTTCAAGTTCTGTCCAGATTGCTAGCTGACATTGATCTCAATAGTTGCAAGTTCAAATTCTTTTCTGCCCTACTTAAATTAGCTAACTGGTTTTCTGAAACAATGTAAGTAACAATTCTTAGAGAAATTAAAAAATGCTTCATGCTCATGCTAATAAATCATTTCCTCTATAATAGTTTAGAATAGTTAAGCCAGACAGACTTCTCTGTTTTATGTTTTTGTTAGCTTTTTCAGATTTGACCATGCACAACATTCAATAACATTCCTATCATTTTGAACGCAGGCCTAGTTCAGATGCGGTACTTTTCATGTGCAGAGCCTAACTGAATAAGTTTGACTTTGGAGTGACACTGGCGCGACATCTGATTCAGACGGCGTACCGCGTGTCAAACCTAAGTTAAGTGCGACAAAAGTTCGACAGACTTTGTCGAACTTAACGCTTTTGCTGCACCAAACTAAAACTGCCGTACCAAATTGATTCAGATGCCACTCTTTTGTTGTACTTAATTCATCAGTTAGGTTCAGCACATGAGTGGAGCGGCTTCTGACCCGGGCCTTACTGACCGACAGAAACATCGCATTAATTTATTCAGTCACAGTTTGTGAACAAGAAACAAAAAAATTGTACACTGTCAGGGAGCTTCCAACATAAACTGCAGCTTTTTTTTTCATCTTTGATGTTTGCTGGCTTTTATAACCAGTCTCCTCTGCTAACTATGTCTTCATGTTTTATTTTTAAATGATTGTTAGCGCAGCAGTATTAGCTCAGTCGGTAGAGCGCTTGACTGCAGAGCGGGAGGTCACGAGTTTGATTCCCGGGGTCGGACCAATACTTAGGGTCTTGAAATAACTGAGAAAGGTACTACCTTTGCCTTGCAAATGGCTAGACCTTCGTGTGGCTCGGATGACCACGTAAAATGGCGGTCCTGTCTCCAGTAGGAGACGTTAATATAGTGTCCTCAATTAGCACTTTCTTGCTAAGTACATTGACACCTAAATAAAGTGCTTTTTTTGTTTCTGGGGTTAAAGGGTGTGGGGGTGGGGGTGCCAAGTGGGACACTAGAATACTGAGGGGAGGACCCTTAAAGCAAAAAATGGGAACCCAACGAATAACCATGCTATATTGTGCTGACTGGATTTTTTAACCTGGTCATGGAGAAGCTTGAGTTTCTTAACCATGGAGGAAAAAATTTATACTGATTTCACGGAAACCACAACATACTGCATGCCATTTCCAGAGTACAGGGAAGGGATAAGTAATCCTTAATAATACCTAATTAATGTCATAAGCAGTCTGCCATTTTTTCGTGTATAATTGACTGCCAGGAAGAGTGGTGGTGCCATTACCACATTTTTCACCTCCTATGTGAATTGGGTAAGGATCCTTTATCTGTTATCCTGCAAGCAAGCTCTCCAGGGGGTTCTGGTAGTGCAAAAAGGAGGGCACCCCCCCTGCCAGAGCACCTCAGAGAGCTTGCTCGCAGGCTATTTATCCGTGTGTGCACACAGTGTATCTTAGACCCTTTAGGTGAAGAATGAACCTCGCAGTTGTGAGCACAAGTTATGCAATTGTGTAAGAGAAGCCTGAAAAAAAAATTCAAGACTTCAATGGGATTTGAACCCGTGACTTCGTGATACCGGTGCGGTGCTCTGACCAACTAAGCTATGAAGCCACTGGTGTTGGGTGCTGGTCAATTATCTGTTTATATGTTCCTGTGAAAGAGATGAATGTGATAAATGTATATGAAATAAATATATGTGAACTGCGGAAATGAAATCAAGTGAAGAATGATCTTTATTAACAAAACCTCTTGAATTATTTGATAGATGGAAAAGGACCAAGGATTCTTTGCAACCGACAAAAAAATTCTACGATAACTCCTTCATCGAAAACAGTGCAATGTCATTGTCAACCTGGATTTGAGATTTTTCAAGGCAAGGATGGACAAATTCAGTGCAAACCGTGTTCAAAGGGAAATTTTTCTACTGGTGTGAAATGTGCTACATGCAAAGCTGGCCATGTAGCCTTGCCAGGCAAGCACTATTTTTTGTGGAGGAGTGGCACATTACCAGAAGGCTTCTCTGCTTCTTGTTCCGGTGACTGCACTATTGAGGTTTGTCAAATATTGAGAAGTTGTTTTAAAACTCTGACGGTTGTTTTCAAGATGGCGAGAAACACAACTAGGTGCTCTCTTAACCCTTTAAGTCTCAATTGTGACCAACATCAATTTTCTCCTAACAATATCCATATGTTGGCAAGAGAAATAGTTATGAGAGTTCATAAAATGATCACTAAAGAGCAAATGCTTTGATCTGTTATCAAACTCTCTCTTTTAATTCTTGAAGGAAATGTATGGAGATCAGTATGGAGAATTTATATGTGGATATTGGGGCTTAAAGGGTTAATGTACTACAAGTAGTTCCTTAGGGATAGTAGAGCGAGCAGATGCACGAACGCGCGTGAAAATCCCCACCCTCGAAGAAGGTCCTCCCTCGACGTGTCATCCTCGCGACTGGCCATTTCTCACGCGTTCTCCTATTTTGCTCGAACTACTATTCCTCAGAAGAATGAGGAAGAACTTGACTGTTATAGGTAACTGTTATGTCTCCTGAGCGTTCTTACTAGGGACCTTACAAAGCTACGACGGCGAAGGCATCGGAACCTCAGAAAAGCAAAACAACAACTTTGCCCGTGCATCACGCTTTTTTGCCAATTTCTTTACCGTGCCTGCACAACTAAGATGTGAAATGGTCAAATTTTAAGTTTACTTGAGAACGGGAACGGCAAGGCGATAAATTCTACTATCTCTGTCTGAACTCGTGCGCGGTCCCATGTCTTCACTTCCAACATAAATTCCCTTCTTTTAAGTAATAGGGCGACTTGGGATAATCGCGAAATAGTTTTAAAGGATACGAAGTCTATTTTTCCGCGGCGTTTTCGTGGACGTCGCCGTTTTCGGGTCGTAAGGTCCCTACTGAAAGTTCTAAACAACAAAGATAAGTTTTGAAAAACTGTTAAGTAGACTTGTTTTTAAAAGACCCAAGTGCACAGTTGATCTGGTGACAGGCTCATAATGGCTAAATTTGGCTGAATTCCGCGACTCGGCCTCTTTAGGTAATAGGAGACAGAACAGTCTGTCCGGTTTACAATCTTAGTCGCCCAAAATTTTATCATGCCCAGCAACATCCTACCAACTGAATCGCCCTTGTTTTGGTTCATCAAATCTTCAAGAACAAGATGTATTACTCATTTGACGTGCTTGTTTCATTTCATCAAGGCTAAAAGAATGAGATATGATACATATTCATCCCGCTTATTTCGTCTCACCGTAGCATCATTGCTTGAAGAACGAGATTTGATTACACAATTGGCCTGCTTGTTTTGTCTCATTATCTTACAGAACGAGATATATTACGTACACTCCTTACAAAAATTTCGCGCTACTTTACTAAAAATGTCTAGCAATTTAACTTCGGGCGAGATGACTTTCGGGCGATTTGACCGGTTACCGTCTGGGTTCCCCATGTAAGGTTATCCATGGCAGTCTTGGATGCTGGATTCCAGATCCCTTGTCAGTGGAAAATTGGATTCTGGATTCCATGTCAATGGAACCTGGATTCCGAATTCCAATCATTAGCCGGATTCTGGATTCCTTAGCCCAGGATTCCAGATTTCACAATCAAATACTTTCCAGTTAAATTCCGCAATCTGGATTACCTTACGTAGCTGTTCCTGAAAAAACAGAATGAATAATCTGAAATACATTTGTTCTAGACTGGTTGGATTCCAGCTGGGGATCACATTCGCACAGAACGTGTTGTGGGTAATGTGCACTCTGAATTGAGGTCTCCTGAAGTAGAGGTGGATTCAGATTTAGCAAAGCTCGTCTTCAACTGCTCAGTCATGTGCAATTTGACCGGAGTGCCATCTAAACCCGTGAAAGGCGAGACTTTGGCTAAAATAGAGAACTGCAATCTCGTACTTCAAGTGTGGAAGAATGGTTCTCTGAAGGATCAAGTAAACTGTACTCGTCCTAAAGGGAAGTATATTTATCAACATGAGAAGCGACGAGATGGTAATTATGTCATGCATGTTTATCCACTGGAGAAGGGAAGATATCAGTTCAGGTAACAGTAGAGACCTTTTCAGAGGAGTTCGCGCTCATAGTTGCATCATGGGTAATCGGGCAAGATGGCGGGAAATTCAAAGATTTGTATTGGAATTCAAAGCCTGCTAATTCTTCCTGAATTCACATATTTGATGCTTTCTCTTTGGAAAGAGTAACTTACGAGTTCAAAGAAACAATACACTAAATCTGGAGTGCAAAGAATACTATCGACTTTTCAAAGAGAAAGCAACAATTGTATGAATTCAGGAAGAATTAGCTGGCTATGAATTCCAATACAAATCTTTGGATTTCCCGCCATCTTGCCCTGATTACCCATGATGCAACTATGAACGTGAACTCTTCTATTCTAAGACGAGGACATTTCGAGAACGAGATTTTCTCAGTCCTAAGTAGTGCGCAGGCGTGAACCAGCGTCATTTTGGCGGAAAGTCGTGATGGCCATCGTCACTCTACTACGGGTTTTGCCGTAGTGGCGGAAATATGTTATCAAATGTTGGAAGTTTGATCAATATTTGCGATCGGGAGAATGCTAATAACTTTTCTGGCGAAAAAAGTATAATTTTTGGATTTTAATACTACTGAAACCGAAATGTTTAAGTTTAATGGTCTTTCTTTTGGTTACAGATGGACGTTCTACCAGCTAGACGATACTTTCTCTTCAGCATTTGAAGCGAAGGTATCCAACATAAGCATCCTTGGTGCAAAGTCTGGCGCGGCTCGCAACTGTACAGCATGCCCAACTGGATATCATAGCACACCAGACAACACTGACTGTAAAATTTGTCCAAATGGAACTAGCAGTTCAGCAGGTTCTCATAAATGCACTCCATGTCAAGGACAGACTTTTGCCGCACAGGTATACAGCTTCACGTTTGCTACAAGAGTCAGTGAGGGTTCAGTCACACACACTTTGCCGTTTTGTGGTTATTGCTTCTAAACAATGAACACTTTGTTATGAGTTGTGAGTAAGCCGGTCAGTGATTCAGTTAATCAGTTAATCGATCAGTCACTTTATCAGCCAACAGTCAGTGAGTCATACATGATTTTCATATATTCAAAACTTCGTCAGTGAGTCAGTTAGTCAGTTTGTCAGGAAGGGAAACAGTCAGTTAGTCATTTAATTAGCCAACCAAGCAGTCAGTCAGTTAGACAGTCAGTCAGCCAGCCAGTCAGTCATTCAGGTTATCAGTCCCTCAGTCAGGCAGTCTGGTATGATGGTCAGGTAGTCAGTCAGTCAGCGAGCCAGCCAGCCATTCATTCATTCCTGGCCATATGAATGCTGGACAGTAATCAAATGGAAACGTGAACCCCCCTTAACGCATCTGTCATACACCATGTAGTAACCTCATTTTGAAATTATTCTCGGACATCGATTTACATTGAGTTATTCCTTGTGTCTTGATGCCTGAGCTAAAGTGTTTTGTTTGTTTGTTTAGAAGGGTAGTGAAGAATGCCTTCCTTGTGGAAGCAATACAAAAGTTCTACCAAACAAAGATGGCTGTGACACAAATGGATGTAAATTCAGTCCCGCACCTGGTGTAGATTATGATCTCTCTGCGCTTTCCCGTCCCGGCGGATCAATGATTAAAGTAAATTTACCAGGACTACACCCATGGGGTCGAAGGTAAATTCCTTTCCTTCCCCCTTCCTCTCACCCAGGGTATTTAAGGGTTTTATTTGTTACGACCAAGAGGGGGTCGGAAAAGTTGTGGAGGAAGGTGTCTCCAGTCATTACTGCTGTTTGTGATTGGCTCAAAGCCCTCAACTGATTCTTGACAACCAACCGGCGTTGACCAACTTTTGGAAGATGCAAGCAATCGATGGTATATTGGAGTGGAGATGAGGTTGATCAATGGATATATTTTCCTGGAAACGAGGCTGAAGGGGAATAGACCATCGATCAATCTCGTTTCAAGGTGCGGCCGCCTAGCCGTTTATTCACGAGTGGACTAAGGAAATTGCGTTCACGGCTATCCAAAGACGAAATAGCTAAATTTCGAACCAGAGATTCCGGAAAAAAATGAACGAAAGAAATGCAACTGTACGCAAAACATATTGTTCGATGGATGTTATCTACTTTTTGAGGAGTATCTGCCAAAAAAAAGTGTTTGTATCTTGAAACCGTACCGAGGAATAGGCCAAACCTTAGAAGGAAGTCTTCAAGGGTATAAGCTAAGATCCACCTCAGGGTAACAACCGGTTTCGCTACTTGTCGAATTCTCTACGTCTTAGTTCGCAACAAATTCGCTACATAGTACTTTCTATAAGCCACTGAAAATGCTCCCTTAGTCGCTTTAGAAAAAAAATCTTTTAATGTATTTCTTGCCCCCTCCAAGGGTGCAAGTTTCGGGCTTTGCCAATAGGCAGCGAGACGAATATGTACGTGGGCCTCGGCACACCCATAGGACGAGACTCAAGCGAACTCGAACGTAGCGAAGTTGTCAAGTAGCGAAACTGTTGTAAAGCCACCTCGGCCTTCCGCCTTGGTGGATAACAGTCTCCTGGATCTTCATAATAGACCCTCTCTCGGTTTATTCAACTTTTGACATGCACCAGTTAAGGAAAAACCGTCGATACCACTGGAAAGATTGCCTTGAAATTAATAATATTGCCAATTTCAAAGTGATGCGTCTAAAGCGAGCGAAGATATAACAGGGGCACCCAACGAGAATATAGTTTAAAACCACTTTAACATAACATTGTTAAACGTATTTTAGTATTTAAACGGTAGATACAGGAATATTTTTATCCCCTAAAAAAGTTTTCATCTGTTCGGATTTCCTAGCTGAAAGTCTAGTGATCTGAAAATTATAGGGATCAAAACTTACCTTTTCGAAAATTTCAGCCAGAAACAAAATGTTAGCATAGGGGAGGGGTAGGTGGGCAGTTTCCCAGAAACGTATAATCATCCAAATTTTTGACAATTTCGCGAATTTCGGGAGCTATTTCTTCATTAGTTTTCATCAACTCTTTTTCAAACTTGGCAATTTTAGTAATTTTAAGGAGCTCTTTTCAGAGGTGTCGACGGATTTTCCTTAACTTGTCCACGTCAAAAGTTGAAAACTATTGCTAATTATCATTGTTTTCTTGTTATTGCTTTCTTTCTTTAGGAGGTACAGCTCTCGCTTGATATTCCCTTACAGTTTAACATATTATGTCAACCTTTGCACCGTTGATCACGACAATAGCTCGTGCACATCTCGTGACAGGATCAGCGGTAAAAGAGTTCCCCTTCCCGTGATGGCTTGCAGGTCCTATTGGTACAATGACGTAAGCATTGGGTCCGTGATTGGCTACAAACGAAAACCGGATATCCGCTCTGGCTTGACTGTGGAGTTGCTTCACGGTGACAAATGTCTCTCTGGAGGTGAGTGCAGCCAACGAGTTGTTAACAAATTGTAAGAAACAGTAACAGATTGAAAATTGATCACAATAGAGGAGAGAAGTCGTTACGTCATGTTGCTATGATAGCAAAGTTTCTGGATCTCGACAAACGGAAAATTTGAATTCGCACAGTTTTAAACTTCATTGCTCTTAGTCAATTTTATTCTATTTGTCAAATGTTGGCGAAAATTTCTCGGGTTGAATCCGAAAAGACTGAATCTAAGTTTAGAAATAGAAAAAGAAAATTGTTGTCTCGTGTTCACGTACTCCATCAAGCGGGGGCCGTGAAATTAGAATGTTCCATGTCGCAGTCGTGCAACGACGGCTTAGAAAGGTACAGAAAAAAAAAACCGTGATACGCGTGCAACTGCGGTAAACATATTCCTTTTTTTCCGTTCTCGTTGCCGTCGCCGTCGTCCTTGCTTAAGCTCCCTATTGTTGTGATCCAGAAATTTTGCTACCATGGTAACGTGACATCCACCTCGCCTCTTTATAACAAAAGTTAGCTACAAATGCATTCGTCCTCCCTTACAATCCCATAATGCAGTTCGAAACAACACCGACTTTGTCTCAGGCTATGTCCAAACGACACCCTCCGAATTTTTGATCGGTTGAAAATTCGTGCGTTTAGTTGTTGCTTTCGCACGGAACCACCATAACGGTATGAAAATGTAGACGCCAAGCCGTTCAACAGAGAGCTTTAGATTGACAACGAGTACGAGTGCGAGATTTAACTTAAAGTATTTGCGCGTGTTCTAAAAAAAACACCCCGGAAAGTTTCATTTTCCTTTTTCTCACCAAAAAAGTTAGTACGGTTATTATACTGAAGGAGGTTAAACCCTCTCCCGATAGAAAAATGATAAAACTTCTTACATTTGATAACTTGTTCCCGCCACTACGACAATGTCGGCTAAATTCGTAATAGAATGACGACTACCACATTTTCCCGCCAAAATGACGCTGTTTCACGGGCGCGCACTACTCAGTATCGAGAAAATCTCGTACTCTTAGTTGTCCTCGTCTCAGAATCTAAAGCTCTCTAATGTTTCGTGTGAACAGAACGAAAATCTTGATCGGTGCCATGTGAACCAAGTGTGCGGTCGAAACTTCGTCTGGTGCCCTGTGCACGTAGCTTCAGTCGTAAGCTGAAAAATGGCCATTACACTTGTAAAAGGCGCGGAAGGAGAGTGGACACTTTGACACATGCTGTTGTCAAGGTTACCAGCGAGAAACCAGTAATGACTACGGGGATCTAACGTGCTCTCTCAAAGAATAGGAAGCTTAAAGGGAACCTCCACTCTTACTACAGAATAAGTTTAAATCGAATAAAATTATGTTGATAAACAAATTTGTTCGAAATTTGTCTTAAAAAAAGTGTTTATATCAGGAAAAGTGAATTTTAAAATCGCTTATTTTCACTTTCAAATTTCGTGGGCGCCGCCATCTTGAATAATTGTGACGTGTTACGGTTGCTCTATTGTCCTGACACAAAGAGCTCTTGTTTAATAATAATATTAATAGGGCAACCATTACACGTCACAATTATTCAAGATGGCGACGCCCGCAAAATTTGAAAACAAAAATAGGCGAATCTAAAAGTTGTTTCTTTCGGATACAAACGCTTTCTTTAAAAATATTTTCGATTGACTTGACTGTAACAGTTATTTCCTGTGATTTAAAGTTATCTTTTTGTTGAAGTGGATGTTCCCTTTAACCCTTTAAGTCCCAATAGTGACCAACAGCAATTTTCTCCTGACGATTTCCATACATTGTCATGAGATAAGGTTATGAGAATTAATAAAATGATCACCTAACAGAAAAATACTTTGATCTTTTATCAAATTCTCTTAACTCATTCTTAAAGGAAATGTATAGAGATCAGTTTGGAGAATTTGTATGTGGATATTGGGGCTTAAAGGGTTAAGCAACGACGACGTCAACGAAAACGGCAAAAACAATATATTTAAGTTAGTAAAAGAACAACTTTACATGAGCATCACGCTTTTTTGCCATTTCACATGTCTTTATCGACATTGCACAATTCCATTTTTCACGTTTTATTGCACTTGGAATTCAAGTTTTAAGTAACGTTTCCGCTGCCGTCGGTCGCCGTCGTAATTGCTTAAGCTGCACTATACCTTGATTGAAGCTTGCCTACCCTATCACCTCACCCGAACGGAACTGGAGGCGGACCTTAAGCGACGCGCGTGCCAAAAAAATATTTATCATAGGACTTGAGCTATGATGTCTTTTTTGATTCTGTCTGAAGGAAACAATGGCCGATTCAAAACAACTATTGACCTCAGATGTGACGTTACAGCTGGAGTGGGTCAGCCCGGAAGAGAGAGCAACTTCTCTTTAGTTCAACAGGGCTGTGAATTTCGATTTGTTTGGAAGTCCTTGTACGCATGCCCGAAATGCCGAGAACAAGACATTACGCGGATTAAGGGAGAATGCATAAACGGAACCCGGAACGTCACGGTACTGCGTTCTATCCCATGCTGGGCACCTGATGAATCCCCCGGCGCTAATGTCACGACAGAAGAGTGTGTCACGCCAACTATATTTGTCACGGTTACAGTCACGGCTACTGTTCTGGCTTTTAGAGAAAAGGTATCAAGCAAAGTAAACAAGATTTTGATTGGCGTGGGAGTAGTGGTGATTGTACTTTTATTGGGTGTGGCTTTGTTCTTTGTCTACAAGCATCGCACGATCAAGTATCGGTACTTGAATTGGATGTCACGTAATAAACCCATGAGTCGCCTTGAACAAGAAGATGACGAAGATCACTTTATCGAGGGTGACGAACTCGCTTACCCCTCGAATGATAAAGATGAGCCATTCCGAACCTGAACGAGACCCTGGTATAGCACTCTAGTTCAAGTTTTCAATAGAAGGTAGAATAAATTCAAGAGTGCAAATACCAGTTAGCGTTCTTCAAATTTGTTTTCCTACTTCTCATGTTTTTGCAGCGACTTGTGCCCACAAAGCTTTCAATTCCCAATAGCAACAAACAATATACAGCTACTAAATTTTTGTCTTTGTAAATTTGTGATAGAATTTTCAAATACGGCGAGAAAATTTAGGTTGTTTCGTGTTTCTCTTGTCCTGTAAAGGGTGCCAGTAGAACGCGGGGCGGGGTTGGGGCTGGGGTCGGAGTCTTTCCTTTTTTATAGAATGCTGTTAGGGTTGACTGCCCGGGGGGGGGGGGTACTTTAGGAATTTCTGGGTGGGGATGTGCCGCTGGGACCCTGGAACCCTTAACCTATACTAGAGCTAGTTCAGCTGAATTTTGCTACCCTATACTAGAGTAAACTCCCCAAATCCCCCTATCCTAGAGTAGCTGTTTACCTAGTCTAGATAAAATCTTCAACCAACTGATCAGTTTCCTGAAAAATGACACCCTATTCTAGACCCAAACGCTCTGATTTATATACCCTATCCTAGAGTAAACTGCTTGAAAACCATACCCTTCACAGCGGCACATACCTATATAGCCCATATATGGCAGTACCCCCCCCCGGGGTTGACCGTAACCCTAAAAAAAGATAGACCCCCACTCTGACCCCGACCCCGCGTTTTACTGACAACCTCTTGTAAAATTGATTTTACGATATGTAAGCTATGATTTGAGAGTTAACTGAGTTGCACAGTTGAAATTTCCCATATTTCCTTTTTTTTAGTTTTTATTTTTTGGCTAAACGGACAGAGCCGAGTGTCCATAGGTGTCTATAGCAAAGAGCTAGAGAAGGTAAAGAACTTTATTTTTAAAGCATGTTAAATTTTTTTAGTACTGTATAATAATTAAGCAATTTTGAAAAATTTTTTACTATTTAAATTAGGTTTTAGTTTCAATTGCTTTTTACTGATTTGCTGTAAAATAAAAACAGTTTTGTAACAATCCCTTTTGATTACAGTCATTCTTACAGTAGGCTACCAATAGAGTGTATTCACATGACGTCACTTCGGCCATGTTGGTGTCCCAAACCAATCCTCTGGGAGTTGAACTTTTTTCTTATACAAACGCTTTCTTTTGTTGCAATAAATTTGCATAGTTGCTGGTCACGTGAGTGAAAACACTCTATAGTTTGCCGTGTGGTTTTTCTAGCTCATCGAGTGAAACGCGCTCCGACCGAAATTTTTCTACAAATCTGCGTTATGGGCGAGTCTCAAATAAACCCTCCTTGTTAAATTAATTGTAACCTCGGAGAGGTGCTAAATAAAGTTGAATTACAAGTAGTTCTTAATAGTTTTTAAGCTTGACACCCTCGCAAGCCTCTAACAGGTACTAGGGACTTTAAGATCCAACGACGCGACGGCGACAAGAACGTCGCTAAAAAAGTGAATTTCCGTTCTTTCAGTCTTTATAGCGATTATTCCCACCCACTTACTTTGTCAATTGTAGGCGAACCCTCCCGAAGTTGAATTTTTCAAGGGACCAAATTCAAGCTCAGAAAGAGAAATAAATCGTCGTTGCTTGTCTACGTCCTCCATAACACGCGAAATTAGGCATTTTTACGTCGTAGTCGTGCAAAACCGGGAAAGAAATGTACAAAAAAGTGTGATGCACGTGCGTCTTGTTTTGCTCATTAAACCAACTGCTTTTTTGACGTTCTCGTTGTCGTCCTCGTCGTTGCATCTTAAGTACACGTTTGTCGGGGGTGCGTGCGTTGCGCACCAGTAAGGTGTTTTGTTCCCTAGTGTGACTGATGGCCAGCGTGGAAGATATTTGAAGGAAAGGATGAATAAAGGCTTGCGATGGTGTGTTGGGCGCGGGACGAACCTTCATTTCCTTCTTTCTTCTCGCGCTTCTCTTTGTTTACTCGCGCACCTTGATCTCCCCTCTGCCTTTTCGGATCATTTCACGTTTCTGGGAAACTGCCCACTTACCCCTCCCCTAAGCCAACATTTTGCCTTAAGTAAGAACTAAGTGTTAATGTTGGTTTAGCGGAGGGGTAGGTGGGCAGTTTCACAGAAACGTAAAATGATCCATCTTTTCATTCATTCAAGCGATTGCCACGCATGCCAGTGAAGTTGACCGAGTGCGTGGGGGTGGAGTGCGGGGACAATTTTAGCCATGAATGAACGTCCCGATTAACTGCTTCTGGATCTACGAGGATGGAACATTCAATGCCTACAGTGCAGGATGTAGGTGTAATAATTCGAAGCGTGGACCAACAGGCGATTAGGCTTCGGATTGGGCTGGATTGTGCTACATAATGTTTGGCATAAATCTTCAACAGTAGCATAAGTTTCACCCATTTTCCCAAAAAAAGAGCAGGTTTTGCAATTTGGAGGTTAAGCTGTAATAGTAGGTGTAAAAGGGCAAGAAAAATTACTTGCGACTTCTTGTCATTACTCAGTTCTCTCTTTTGTTTCTTGTTTGAAAATATAGAAAAAAGAAAAAAAAATCGGGAAGGGGAAGACAAGAGTATGCGTATGGCGCTATGGCCCATGGAAAGAAAACGTCGTAACCCTACCCTACACAGTTTATTATTGTCCTTTGTTTGGAATCCCGTCATGCCAGGGGGAAGTGAAGAACGCTTTTGTTGTAAAAGAAAGATGGCGCCTAACTCCGAATTCCCTCAAAGTTACAATCGATGGATAAATTAAACTAATGACCACAATATTTTTCATACGTTAAGGAGTTCGCTGTTATTATCGCACTTTACAAGAGGTAAGTTATCGAAGGAAGTAAAGTCGCTTAACTCCGTGCATTTCTCGGTAATCGATTTGAAATTAAAAGCTTAAGCTTCCCTTTCTTTCTAAATGAAAGGCTTTACGGATTGTGTATTTCTTTCCAAAGCTATTCTCTTTTTTGCTTTAAAAGCGTCGTGAATCCTTCAATGGAGCATCTTGCTGTTAATATTAGTTTTTATCGGGTATACAGCGATACGAATTCTGATTGCAAGTTAAGCTTACGTGAACGAAAATTATAGCTTTATTTTTTATATTCTGGACAATTTGGATATCAATGTTTGCAGAATTATTTAAGTCGAGTGATAAGTTTACGATTGTTTCTAAGCCGATGAAAACTATAGCAATTTTACGTCTCAGTTAGGGGTTAAACAATCTGTTTACTATGATTTATTTTTATATCTCCACCAGAATGGGGTATGATGTGGGAAGATTCACTAGTTCAGTTGATGAGGAGCTCATCTGTACGATCTGTGGAGGAGTACTCGAAGATCCTCTACAGGCTCCAGCTTGTGAACATGCATTCTGTGCTGCTTGTATTCATGAGTGGCTAAATCACCAACAAACCTGTCCTGTTGATCGACGTAACCTTACTCCACATCAACTCAAGCAAGTACCAAGGATTCTAAAGAACTTGCTGTCAAAGCTGACCATCCAGTGTGAGAATGCCATGTTTGGTTGCGAAGGTGTGGTGCGGCTTGACCAGCTTCGGTCACATTTGTCCCAGTGTGAACACAATCCAAAAAGACCAGTCAATTGTGAACAAGGCTGTGGATTGGTAGTTCCATTTGATGAGATGCCCCAGCATAATTGCATTCGTGAATTAAATAACTTAATTCAAAATCAAAATTTCAAATTAGCCCAATTGCAAGCCCAGATTGATGACCAACGTCAGCAGCTCAATGAACAAAAACGGGAAATCCAATCTCTTAAGGATATGATCCGAGCTATGAGGGTAATCAACTTACCACATGCATTGCCTCTGTTGCCTAGTAACCTCCAACAACCTGATCACTATGACAACGAAGTTCATCAGTGGTTGGTTGGGTTACAGTCAGCAAGGGTGACCCGGTGGGGCGGAATGATATCAACTCCAGATGCAGTTCTGCAAGCAGTTATTCGCCGAGCCCTAGCTGATAGTGGGTGCCCACCAACAATTTTAAATGAACTGATGGAGAATGCTCATGAGCGTAAATGGCCACCAGGTCTGAGTACTCTTGAAACACGGCAGTTAAATCGCAGACGTTATGAACAGTATGTTTGTAAACGAATTCCTGGAAAACAGGCTGTAGTGATTATGGCCTGTGAAAATGAACACATGGGAGAATCAATGACCTTGGAACCCGGCTTGGTTATGATCTTTGCTCACGGGATTGAATGATATATGTCATCCCTTATACTCAAGAAATTTTGAAGCTAAATTCCTGGAAAACAGGCTGTAGTGATTATGGCCTGCGAAAATGAACACATGGGAGAATCAATGACCTTGGAACCCGGCTTGGTTATGATCTTTGCTCACGGGATTGAATGATATATGTCATCCCTTATACTCAAGAAATTTTGAAGCTAAATTCCTGGAAAACAGGCTGTAGTGATTATGGCCTGCGAAAATGAACACATGGGAGAATCAATGACCTTGGAACCCGGCTTGGTTATGATCTTTGCTCACGGGATTGAATGATATATGTCATCCCTTATACTCAAGAAATTTTGAAGCTAAATATTTTGAAAAATAATAGTTAAGTCTGAATTCCCTTTTTTCTGACGAGCAGAAAGAAAATTTTTAATATTTAAGTAGTTTACATCTAACAGAAATAATTTGTCAAGTGTGGCTTATTTCAGTCGTAAATTTCCAATGGACAGTTTCATTTGAGTGCTATGATAGCCTAGCTTTAGATCCTAGAAGTGTACGTGAGTGTAATTTCTCCAATTCCAGTGGGGTTTGGGAGGGTGGCAAGCCATTTCTGTGTGTAAGTTTTTTACACTGGACTGCTGTGATCAATCTAAATAACAAACAAGTACATCCTTTGGTTGACCATTGTAGGGTATTAGAATTCATTTTTTATATATGTTAGCAACAAAATGACAACATTGAAAATCTGAAAATTAACTAAAATAGTGCTAAGGAAAATTTAAAACGTTTCTGCACAATGATGCCAAAATCCTTCTTTGAGGGACTAGAATATCAAAATACTTTAATCTTTTGGAGAACTCCTTTAAACGTTAGTGAGGCCCTTTTAGGATAAAATACTGACGAGTGACACGCCCTTGCAACAGTGACATAAGACTTGATGAAATGGTGACAAACATAATGGAATTTTTCTTTTCATGATTATAAATTTGTTGTAGAAATTATGTAATCACTGTTTAGACTCTACCATTGCAGTGCTTATCTCTTGTATAGACAAGATTTGTAAATCTAGGTTATTGATTCAATGTACAGTCCTTTAATAGAAAGAATTTCCTATGATCTTGAAATGATTTTGAGTATTTTCAAAAACAGCATGTTAATAAACTTAAACAAAGCAAAGTGATTAGTTTAGCAAGGAGAGACAAAATGTGATCTGCTTTGAGCTCTGCTAACTTTTCTGTTTTCTTAGTTTGTTTCTCTTAGCTTTTCTCTACTTGAATTCATATATGCAGTCTTCCTTTCTGCATTTCTCAATCGTTCACGTTTTGGTTGGAACACCCTAAGTTAGACCAAAATCCAAAATTTACACCCCTAAGCGAGACGATGAGCATCCCCACCCCTTTCATATGCAGAGCCCCCTCCCCGGACTCCATTGTTCATTTTTTGGTTGGTATATTCAGGGGCCGGCGGGGGGAGGGGATGGGGATTTCAAGGGAAGTTTAAGTAGAGGTGTGTCGCTGAAGCCTTCAAAACCTGTGACCCTGTTTGAGACAAAATTGCTCATTTTTCTACCCTGTCCAAGACAAGAGACCATATTTTTCGACCCCGATTCGTTTCGTTTTGCATTCAGAATTAGGTATTTTTTTGCAGTAATATCATGGAACTGAATTGTTTGGGAAAAACCGTTGGTGCCACAAATGTAGACCACTCATCTGCTGCCTTTGCACTCCTTTTAAGGCTTCTGGTCCAAAAACACACCAGGTGAAAGATGCTGAATAATGAAAATTTTAAAGACCTGAAAATGATACCCTGTTCTGCCGCACATATCAGTCTAGGCCAAATAAGGAAGTGGCCGGGATTCAGGGAGAGTCTGGCAGAGGAAATATGGTGCAGTTCAGTCTCAGTTCTGTGGATAAGCTACCTATGGTTTGATCACTAATGAGAAAGCCGTTGACCATCAATTTTCAGTATTCGTATTTAAGAAAATAAAATTTCGACCTTTCCCCTACTAAGCACTTCAGCTGCCACAGGGAAATTAGCCGTGGGAGATCTGGGTACTGTTATTCTATTTACGCGTCGGTCAGCGGTACTTTTGTTAGAGTCAAAATGGCGGACAATTCGACTGACAAGGGTCCATGGACGAAGATGTTGGAATCTTTCATCAGATACGTTGCGTTGAACCCAAAGGAGTTTCTTCTCTATGGTAACTAGCTATGTATTAATTTTAGTCAGGCTTCTAATGTTTTAGTTCAAACTGTTTTTCAGAATTGACAATGTAATTATTATTACGTTGCCTTGACACGTACCGTATTCTGAGTATTTCCTTGAATAATAGCGGTCCCTCGATTAGTCGCCTCCCTTTGACGGAAATGTTTAAAATAATCGCCCCCTTTTGGTGCGAAAAAGGAAATAATCACCCCCAGCTATTATCCGAGGAAATACGGTATATGAATTAGGCACCCATCCCCATAACTTCAGTTTCAAGACTATTGACTAACAGTAATCAAAGTCACACAATTTTGAAAAGTCAAGAGATCCATTGCTAGTTTTACTAAGGTGCTCATTACGTATGAACAGAACTATTAACTGTTGTCTTTGGCGACAGATGTCAAATGAAGGCAGTGAAAATTGAGATTCAGATTACTACTTAAAAAACTGACAAAAGGGTAATTTTTCAAGATCAGCTTGATAAGCAACTAATTTTGATCCTCACGAATTTATGAGGAGTTTACACTATTTTTCCTACAGGACGTCTGTACATTGAATTCGCCCCCAAAACCTTTACTTACCCACTTAGCAAGTTAAGAACAGAATTTACTTTCCAGTCATAAAATCCAAAGCAAGCTCTCCATTTATGGTGAGCGAAGCAAGCAGTAAAGCGGCGAGGGGCAAAGGAAAGGAGAGCTTGCAACGATCTCTCATAAATTTCCATTTCTGCTTTGCCCAGATGAGGCGAAATACCATTGGCTTAAAAATGACTTGCCGTCAATAAATTTTGACTAATGACATTCCTTGCTTATGATGCTTATTGAAGTCTGGAATATTATGGTTACTCCTTTCTCTCTGTGATGGGACAGCGATTTTTGAAGTCAGTGTGGCTGTATTTTTTACCATTCAGTTTGGATCTCAACCCCCTGAAATATATAAGGCCGTGAATCAGAAGGCTGAAAAGGGGTTGCCAGGAAAACATTACAATACTAAATCTCTCTGTGTTTGTTGTGTTTAAAAGTGTCCCCACAACAAAAGCAGTTGATTTCATATCCAAATGGATGCATGGGAGATAGATGTCCTCAAGAAAAACTAAAACCATTGCAGTGATGAATAAACACTTTTTTTGCCATAGTGGAAAGTAACAAATGCTATTTTTGATGAATCCAAAGTTTAAACAGATGTAACAGCTTTGCAATTGAAGCAACATGTTTCTGCTGAATTGAAGGAATATTGTAGATCCTACTCTGCTTCTAAGCTACGATCCAGACCAGAACGTCCGGACCAATTTATTGTCTTCTTTTAGTAGTCTTTTCTCTGTGCAAAGTTGTAATATTCTGCTCCTGGTACCCTAGTGTAACTGGCACTTTTGGCTTGGCCCGATGCGGGTATAAACTGACAAACGGCTGAGAAAGCTTAGAAGATTTTCCCACTCGACCTCCACTCAATTACTGTAAAAGCCCAGAATAGTCTAGGTACATGTACAGATGGTCACAAATCATGCTAAAATTCACCACGTACTTCATCTACAGTTGTGTTTATAAGATTGGTGTTTACTTTTACGGTTTCAATTCAATTCGTGCTCTTTATTGCTTTGTACTACTTTTATTAAATTTGTTGAAATGACCCACCTAAGGTAAGGATGTCTTATCTGAAAATGTTCCCCCTAAAACCCCAAGCATGATTTTGAAAATGACCCCCCAGAAAAAATTGCCAGCCCTCCCTCACAGGTAATAAACAACCATCCTCAAAGTTAAACTGTTTGGCGTTTTTTGCAGTGTTTATAATTCTGACCCCGTTGATGATGGTGAGTGGATATTTGTCACTGAAGTTAGCCAAACACATTGAGAAAAATGAGAAGGACAAGAAGAAGAAATGTGAGTGATATTACAATGTACCTTGTTTGGTACATTAGTAGATCATGTTGAAATCAAATTAGTTGTGCGAACATATGTGCAAAATCATCCACCATTAATTTATACAATAAATTATATTACATAATGTCATCCTTGCCCGGGCTGTATAACAATGGTCTGGTACTTAAAATTATTTATGATAATTACCTATGTAGTTTTTCTCATTTTGCTTTTAAGCCCATCAGCTTTTCAATTTTTAACTTAATTTTTAATCTCCTTTGATTACTTTCAAAAACCAAGCTAAATTTTTTCGTGAGGTGCTGTTACATACACCATGGTTAAAGGTATTTCCCATGTTAATGAAGCTGTGTGGTAAATTTTTACTTTGGTTAGTTTACCATGCACATGTGAATTAATTCCAAGGGTAATTTAGCCACTGTTACGGCTTCATTCGCGGTACTGTGGTATTTTATGTTGAAAATTTTCGTATAATTTAGAAGGAAATATTTCAGCTGGTATGTTAGTCCTGATAATTTAGCGAAGGTTCACAGCATCTCTTTTAATCTTGTTGCTACCTTTTTACAGTTCAGCTGCATCCCCTGTCCGATTACATGCCAGGAATAGGATTATACTTTTGGGAAATATAACAATGTCCCTAAATTTAACGCAATCTTAGCTCATCTTAACGTGAAATCTGCCATAAATGCCCATGTTTCTTGGCTCAAAAGCCTAAAGAAACCTGTTAAAAAAGCAGTTGTTTTGGCGGTTTCATGTTGGTGGCAAATGAAGAAACATGACTGGCTCTCTTGCCAAGGGTTGCAAAAAGCCCTCACCATTTTCCACATTGAATGTCATGAGAAGTTTCTTTCTTCTTTTTGATATACATAACCATGCATATTTCCCATGGGAAAAGTGTTAAAATTGTCCCGTGTAACTGCATCTATTAATTGATAAAGATCTGTTTTCATTTTTTCTACTCAGCTGCTCGCCAAAGCAACATTGCTAAATCAAGACGTAGGGCAAAAGCTGACTGATACACAAAGTGGCAAGTGATTAGGTTGCAAATGTATGAAGAACTTCTTTCAGCTGAAAGTGTACATCTGACGTTACATTCAGTCATAGTTACTCATGGTAATTTTTTTATTGTACATGCTTTAATTAAACTGCAGCTACATAACAATTTGCTGACAAATATTCGTAACACCATGCAGTTATTTAGTATTTACAAGTACAGGTATAAATTATTAAGGTACAGAAAAAATTATTTTACCTGTATTTTGCATTTTGTGGTCTTAGAATAATACTCACCATTTTAATTACACCTGCATGGAAAAATGTACATTTATGTTTTACACTGTAGAAAATATCAGATTAATAGAATGTACAATAATGATTTATTGTTTTTTCTGGGGATGTGAACATACCAACTTAAACGGATAAAAGTGATGCAAACAACTAGAAAACTTTAACCGCCGTCAAGCTATTTCGACTAAGTAGTTAGTCCAGGTGAAAATTAAACAAACAACCCCGCCAAAAGAAATCTTTGCTCACAGAGCAATTAGCCGAATAGTTTGTAACATCGTGCGGTTACTCAAAAGATGATAAGTGCGGCAAGTGGTTTAGTTATACTTTTTTTTTAACCACTAGAGAACCTTAACTGCCATCAAGCTATTTTTCTAGATAGTTAGTCCAGGTAAAAGTTAAACAAAAAGATGACCACATTTGTCAAACTAACTGGGAGGTTACCTGTAATCCTGATTAAGACCAATCATATGTCCAAAAACATTTTCATTATTATAGTGCATGATTTTATTTCAAAATAACAGGGAGACAAAACTTGTAAGACCTCAAGGTTTGAATGTCCAGGGTAAACAAAAAAACTCTGAACACAATAACTTCACCTTTAACATCCACTTTATTTGACACTGTTTATAGGGTATTAATTTCAACACTTTTTTGAAGCATATTTTCAAGCATTCACTTAAAAAGATACATGAAAAAAAAGGTCAACCTATGGAGTTGCATGTACAGTATGAAAAGGAGCAAGAGCTTTCTAGTTGGCACTTGTTCACTGATTTACAAATTACTGCACCTTCAAGTCCAAACTAAGGTTCACTGTTAATGCTAAATAAATGTACTTAAATTAAATCACAAAGTGTTTCATGCAAATATTTGAATTCTATGATTGTCTTTATCAGAGACAACAATTTGATCATTACTAAGCAGCGCTAATGAGAATGGCTCATTGAATTGTCCTAAGTTGGAGCCTTTTAAACCGAATTTTTGCACAAATGTTCCATCTACCTTAAAGACTTGTATTCTATTATTTCTGCGATCACAGACCAACAAGTGCTTTGACTGAGTTACCGACAAAAATTGTGGACAATTAAACTCTCCGTCCCCCTCCCCCTTCTTACCAAACTTGTAAAGAAAATGCCCCTCCCTGTTAAATACTTTGACACAATGTTCATTCGAGTCTGAAACTATGAAATATTCACCACACTGAACACAGTGAATAGGAAAACTAAAAGAACCCTGTCCACCTATCTTCATTACAAACCTACCATCCGGGGTAAAGATCTTAATCAGTTTGTGACCTGCATCAGCCACAATAAGATTACCAGTACTATCTAAGGATAAACCCCAAGGATGATGGAGCTGACTATCAAGGCTTCCTTGGCTGCCAAATGAATCCAGATGTCTCCCCTCCCAACTAAGAATTTGAATTCTGTGGTTGTTAGTGTCTGCTACAAAAATTTTTCTGTCCTTATCAATGGCTATTCCAAAAGGGTATTTGAACTCTCCATCGTTTTCGCCTTTGCGACCAAAGGATCTTAGGAAAGTGCCATTACTGTCAAACACTTGAACCCGATGGTTGCCTTGATCAGCTACCACTATTTCGTCCTCGTCATTTACTGCCACCCCAACTGGATACGTAAACATTCCATCACCCGAGCCTTGCTGTCCAAAAAACAAAACAGGATTGAAATGAAATGGTTTTACTATCACATTAAAAGGACTACCAGCAATATGCTTTCCGTTGACTTTAACGAGCAATTTTAATGTCCCTTGTTCTCTGGGATAATAACTGATATTGTACATGCCATCCTTGTTATCATTTGTTTGCACTTCCGTTACGTTGTTTTGTCCCTTCTCGTCCTTGATCTTTACAGTGACACGGTCCCTCTCATCATACCACTGCTTTCTCTCAGCGTTTCTTGTGATCAAATTGAATTGAGCTTTACGCCCAACAGTTCCTTCTTTCAATCCTTCACCTTCAGCCAGAGTTTCTCTTGCTTTTGTTCGATAACCTTCTTTCAACAATCCAATTTCTTCCCCCTGGACGATATCAAGCATCTTCTGATTTTTCTCGAAAACAAAAGCTTGAAGACTCCCGGAGTCATGAACAATAGGATCAACCTTCTGAAACATTGTCTGTAGTGATTTTTTAAGTTGAACAACGTCGACGGTGGTACTTCGTTTTAAACGTTTTTCGGCTTCCTCCAGTGATGATTTCATGACATTTATCTGATGCTGAATCTCACTTCTTTTTTCTTTTAAACTTTCAAGTGACTTCTTGGTTTGGTTTTCCGCCGTAGTAATAATGTTTTTCAGTTTTGCTTGAATTGATTTGATCAAGCCATCAGCAAACCTTTTGGCGTCTCTCTTCACGATTTCGTTTTGTTGAATCATGTCAACGGAATCTTTATCCAGCTTAGTTAATACGTTCATTTTTAATTCTAAATTATGCTTTTGCCTTTCAATAACAGATTTTATCTCCAGTTTTTGACTTTCAGCTTCTTCTTTGATTAATTTCAGTACATGACCTCCATGATCCAAAGTCACGCAAGTTTGGCAAAGTGCCGTTTCACATTCCTTGCAGTAGTATTTTAACTCTTCTTCCCGATGATCTTGTCTTGAACAAAATACTGGTCGCTTCAATACATCCTCGAGATCTTTATCTTGAAACTCTTTGATAGCCAATACGCGGTGTCCTCTGTTTCTTCGCAAAATATTGTGGGCGGCCGCACATTGATCACAGTAAAAGACACAACACTGGAAACAGTACGAAACTTCTGAATTCTTCTTGTCGCAGTTTCCACATTTCACTTGAGTCTTTTTGCATTCTTTTATAGCAAGAACGTCGATCAAGCCATTCAAATAAAAACTGGTTGGAAGATCTTTTAGATCACCGCTTGCAGGAACTCGACTGAGCGTTTGGCACTTCGGGCATTTAATGGTGTCTCCGCCTCCGCACGTTTCGTACCATCCTTTCAAACACTTTAAGCAAAAACTGTGCAGACAGGAGAGTTGTTTAGGATCCGTGAATAAGTCCGAACACACCGAACAAGACACTTCCTCGTGAAGGTTGTAAAAAAGCGTTGCGAGATCCATGTCGCCTTCAAAACCAAACAAGAAATGACCTTTGAGGCACTCCGCACCAAACAAGGAAGTCAAGGATGGTTTGCTTATCTCAGAATAAGCAGTGTTCGAACCAATCAAAGAACATTTCTTCGTGAGTCTTTTGATTTTTCTGTCGTGGGTTGTGATTAATAGCAAAAGGCAGTCAAGCGAAGATTAAAAACGAATTCATTTTTTTCTACTTTGCAAGGACACTTTAATGTGAAGTTGCACATTTTGAACCAGTGTATTTTTACGTAGACGGGGAATTTGATTGAGATCGTTGGTCCAAACACACCAAACAGGACAGTACATCTCTAAGAATGAAAATACGTTATAAGATCCCTATTGTTTTCGGAAACAATGAATGGCCCTGGCTTGGGGCACTCCACTCTTGTCCACTCTTGTTTATCTTTTTTTAGAATCAAAGGCTCGCGAACCAATTGAAGGGCTTCCACGCATGTGTTTATAAGACCTCCATGCAAATACGAATTGATAAATAATATGTTAAGATATATTTAAACAGTGACAAAGCCACAATAGCGTAAAAACCACAGCCATGAATGATGCAAATTAACTAATGCATTCACTGAGCATCAAAAACAACTTTCGATGAAAAGTTGTATGTTTCTTGTTAAGTCTCCTCTCTTCTATTACTTGAAATTTTGCTTGGATATTTTTGAGTATTGTATTTGCTGTACATTACCTTGTACAGTGAGATTGTTATAATTTTGCGATAGACGAGAACTATTAAGGCAACCGAGCCTATTTCCTTGAGTACTAAGCTAATCGTGCTTGGAGATAAAGCTTTGCATCCTTTCCGTGCATTTTATCACAATTTTATTATGACCGAGGCGAGATTTCTTTAGTGTTCGTTACTGTAGAATTCCGAAAGAAACGGTCCCACGAAAATATCGGCTACCCGAAAGTAGCGTTAACTTTTTACCTTCCCAACTGATTCCCCAAAGTAACGGCCTACCCGAAAGTATGTGCCCTTCGAAAATTACTACCGAACTATAATAATGTATCGTATTGAATCTGATGTAACGTTTAAAGCAATACTTTCGATCTACGTAAAAAACTATTTTAATTTAAAGACTGTTTAACGTAACATGTGACGTAACAGGAACGAGAAAGATGCCTCTTTTTTATATTTTTAGTGAAAGACAACTATCGGTATTAAATAGATTCATGATAACAGATCAATTCAACAAGAACGTGAGAAAATCTCTGAAATCTTTGAACCGTATATGGGAAGCTGTCTCAACTAAACAACGTGAAGAGTCATTTGTGATTCTATCTCGAACTTATCAGAATCTTTCTTAAAATTATGCATGATTTAAAATTTGTGTTTGTCAAAAGAGTCAAATGACAGTAATTAGTCACACCGCGATTTAATACACCCATATTAAACTGACTTTCGCCCTATAGTACCAACATTTAGGGCCACTTATATGATGTTTAAATTCATGTTAACTGACCCGAAAGTAACGGCTACCATATAATAGCGGCCCCTTTTTCCTGCTAAATTTGAAAGTAACGGAATTCTACGGCATATCGGGATTTCGATATACAGGGGTTCGTTATACCGGGATTAAGTTGAAAAGGGTTTCATTATACTGGCTACGCAGGGGCTCTTTATACTAGATTTCGCTATATATTGTGGTTCTTTGTACTTGGATTTCGCTATGTAGAGGTTCATTTAAACGAAACCTTTTTATAGGAGTTCGTTTTACCCAGAATCGATTTGTTGAGCCATATTGCCAGTTGGGTTAGTTTTTATTAGTCACATATAGTGAGTTTGGGAACCCGTATTTCCTTCTGAATGTATTGACACTTAAGTAAAGTCCTTCTTTTATTAATAACCCTTTGGATCATTACACGTTGCTAGGAAACTGCCCACCTACCCCTCCCTAAAGCCAACATTTTGCCCTAAGTGAGATGTAAGTGTTGATGTTGGCTTAGGGGAGGTGTAGGTGGGCAGTTTCCAATTTTTCTTGGGAGGGAGTATACCACTAAGAAACTACCATTTTAACCACCACTTTTACGGCGTTTAACATAAATTCTTCAACCTTGTCTCATGTTTTACTTCAACACCAATAAACCACGGTGGTTTTTTTGCAGAATACTAATTGTATTAGAAAGCCGCAGGTCATATCAGGGGGGGGAGGGAAGGGGTGCACCCCTTGCACCCTCCCCTAGATCCCCCCCTGCTTTCACTCCTAATAGTGTCCAAGGAAAAAATTTAAAAAAAATCGAATATGGTTTTGTAAAATCCTAACACAGCATTGTTTTTAATAGTAACACATAATGGTTCAAAAGACGATAAGGTTCATTTAGGCTTTTGCTTCATTTATTATAAAACCTTAACTGCCATTAAAATTTCATCTAGGTTTTACAGCAAGGAGGCCAGCAAGTGTGACCTCCTTTAATTCACTCACATTCTTTCATGCAGATATTAACCGATCAGAAGTCGAAGACAGTTTCCAGCTGGCTTCTGATTGGATTAAATCTTGTTGAAAGAATGTAGATAAATCAAAAGCAGACACAGTTTTGGGCTCCTTGTTTGTTTTCTACTACAAAAACAAAAAGATAACACTATTTAAAAAAATTATCAAACTGAACGTAACATTGTGATTTACCTCAGTTAAAACCAAAAGGTTTCAATGTCTAGGATAAAACTAGAAAAACACTGAATACAATAGCATTAGAGCAGTTATTTACAAATGACCGAACTCTCAGGTATAACAAAAATGTTTACCGCTGATTATAATGTTCTTCAATAAAATCACAAAATGGTAGAGATGCTCACATACTCGTCACGGAAAAGGACAATAATTTTTCATGCAAATACTTGGATTCGATGATTGCATGTATCAGACACAGCAATTTGGCCATTACTTAAAACAGCCGCCGATAATGGCCCAATAAGTTCTCCTAATTTGCTGCCTTTTAAACCGAATTTTCCTACGAACGTTCCATCTAGTTCAAAGACTTGTACTCTGTTATTACCCCCATCACAGACCAACAGGTGCTTTGACTGAGTCATTGACAAAAAACGTGGACTATTGAAGTCCCCGTCCCCCTCCCCCCTCTTACCAAACTTGTACTGAAAATGCCCCGCCCTGTTAAATACTTTGATACAGCGTTCACCTGAGTCTGACACTATGAAATATTCACCACACTGAACACAGTGATAAGGAAAACTAAAAGAACCCTCCCCACCTATCTTCATTACAAACCTACCATCCGGGGTAAAGATCTTGATCAGTTTGTTACCTCTATCAGCAACAATAACATTACCAGTACTATCTAAAGATAAACCCCAAGGGCTAAGGAGCTGACTATCAAGGCTTCCTTTGCCGCCAAATGAACCCAGGTACCTCCCATCCCAACTTAAGATCTGTACTCTATGATTACCCATGTCTGCTATGAAAACTTTTTTATCCTTATCAATGGCTATTCCATTAGGATAGCTGAACTCTCCAGCATTTTCACCTTTGTGACCAAAGGATCTTAAGAAAGTACCATTACTGTCAAACACTTGAACTCGATGGTTACCATTGTCAACTACTGCTATTTCGTCCCTATCAGTCGCTGCAAGTGGTCGTGGAGACCGAAACATTCCATTACCTGAGCCTTCTTTACCAAAAGACAAAACAGGTCTGACATGAAATGGTTTTACTATCACAGTAAAAGGACTGCCACTAACATGTTCCTCGTTTACCGTAACTAATAATTTGAATGTCCCTTGAACTCTGGGATAATAACTGATGTTGTAGATGCCATTCTTTTTATCATCTATTCGCACTTCCGTCACGCATTCTGGTCCTTGCTCGTCCTTATTAATTTCTACCGTGACACGGTCCCTCTCATTATATGCTTGCTTTCTCTCTGCGTTTCTTGTAATCAAATTGAATTGAGCTTTACGAGCTACAGTTCCTTCTTTTAGTCCATCACCTTCAACCAGAGATTCGATTGGTTTTGTTCGACTAGCTTTTTTCAAGAATCCAATTTCTTCCATGTTGACAATATCGCGCATCTTGTGACTTTCTACAAAAATCAAAGCTTCTTGACTACTTGAATCATGAACAATTGGCTCAGTCTGATTACCACCCTGAAAAATTGTCGGCAGTGATTTTTTGAGTTGAACAATTTCCGCTGTGGTACTTCGTTTCAGAAGTTTATCAGCTTCCTCTAGTGATGATTCAATGATATTTATCTGATGCTGAATCTCGCTCATTTTTGCTGTCAAACTTTCAAGTGACTTCTTGGTCTGGTTTTCCACCGAGGTTATAATATTTTGCAGTTTTGCTTGAATTGATTTGATCAAGTTATCGGCAAACCTTTGGGCATCTCTCTTCACGATTTCGTTTTGTTGAATCATTTTTGCGTAATCTTCATCCAGTTGAGTAACCTCCTTCATTTTTGCTTCTAATTTTTTCCTGTGCATTTCGATAACAGATTTTATCTCCAGTTTTTGACTTTCAGCTTCCTCTTTGATTAATTTCAGTGCATGACCTCCGTGTTCCAAAGTGACGCAAGTCTGACAAAGTGTCGTATCACATTCCTTGCAGTAGTATTTCAGCTCTTCTTCCTGATGCTCTTGTCGTGAACAAAATACTGGCCGCTTTAATACATCCTCGTAGTCCTTGTCTTGAAAATCTTTGATAGCCAGCACGCGGTGTTCTCTGTTTCTTCGCAAAATATTGTGGGCGGCCACACATTGATCACAGTAAAATATACAACACTGGAAACAGTAGGAAACTTCCGATCTCTTCTTGTCGCAGTTTCCACATTTCACTTGAGTCGTCTTGCATTCTTTTATGGCAAGAACATCGATCAAGCCATTTAAATAAAAACTGGTGGGAAGATCTTTTAGTTCACCGTTTGGAGGAACTCGGCTGAAGGTTTGGCATTTCGGGCATTTTATGGCGTCACCGCCCCCGCACGTTTCGTACCATTGTTGAAGACACTTTAAGCAGAAACTGTGCAGACAGGAGAGATGTTTAGGATCTGTAAATAAGTCCGAACACACTAAACAAGACACTTCTTCGCGAAGATTGTAAAATAGCGTTGTGAGATCCATTTCTCTTCAAAAGCAAGCGACTGATGACCTTTGAGACACTCCTCAACAAACAGTGAGGTCTTGTGACTTTCTATGTTTAGCTTTTCTCGGAATGAAGAGGTGTTCTAACCAATCAATGAGCGCTGTTTTGAGAGACTTTTGTGTTGCGTCTTGGTTTGAGATTTCCCAGAAATGTTACCTTAACAGGGGCACCCAACGACTGGAGAAGCAAGTATTGCCTAGAATTTTCTATTACTTGAAGAAGGCTAAAAATTTCTAAATGACCTTTCCATTCACGTACGAATTTCGAAGCTAATTTGATAAATTCCCTACGATTTTCTGAAGTTTGATTTTCACATTTCACACCCCAGGTTAGGCTATTTTTCGTAGGAAAAAGGAAACCTAAAATTTTCGGGAAAATAATACTGAAGCCCTTATAATTTCGAAAAGACTCAAGTTCTCCTAGGATGACCGAACAGATACAAATTTTATAGCGCCGCTTAGAATGCATTTCTAGAGGTCTAAAAATACTCTAGCCTAAAAACTGTTTTAAATGAATTTGGGTGGAAACCGTTGTTGGGTGCTCCTGCCTTTCTTTCTTTTCGTTCTTTCGGAAAACAGATTTCAAACAACGAGCGCGAAAAATAAATAACGTCTATTTCCTTCTTCCCCACCCCTACCCCCTTGCGCTGGCGGTCAATAAATCCCCCGCGGTTTATTTTTCATCATGCGCGCTCGACGGACTTTGAAGAGAAAATAGAGGGTCTGTGAACGTACAGGCTATGAAAAATTGGGTCCTTCAGGCTAACGCCCCGTCCACAGGATTCCGGACAGGTTGAACGCTCCATTCTTAATTGAATTCGATTATATATAGCCTGTTTCTTCTGCACCACAAATTCGCAATTCCGGTGGCTCCCTAGCCTGCGTAGCAGACGCTTGGAAGTGACGGGCGCAAGAAAAAACGGGGCGTGCGAGAGAGACACGCGAGGGGAGACGGAGCAACCCCTCGCGTGTCTCCCTCGCATTCTTTCTTGCACCCATTTCTTCCAAGCGCCTTCTTCAAAGGCTAGCGAATCCCACCCAAAAATACCAAAAAAAAACACTCTGCATATGGAGAGCGTTTACCAAAATATTTCGTTTTGGTGAGCGAATTGACTGGGGTCAAAAATATGCTTCGTGATTCGTGTTTACGGGGCAGTGTTATCTTGTGTGTGTGGTTTTTTTAAGCGTAAAATTTTTCCCCCATATTCATGGGTATCCTTCTAAGTACAAAAATGTATTGTTGTAAGCTTTTTTAACGACATTGGCATAATTAATCCCGGAAAAATTGAAAGCTACCGGTTAAAGAAAACAAAATAGCGCAGTATTAAAGGAAGTTTATCTTTCTTGGAGTGAATCAGAGTGAAAGCCATGAATCGAGAGAGTCGACCGCCAACTGGATTGGTTTGTCGGTTGTCCAGAGTTCCCGGTGTCTAGCGCGGGTCAAACGTGTTTCTGTTATTTTTTCAGTCCTACAAGCCTTTATTCTGTTTTAGATTCTGTACTGTGGAATCCCAATTTAACAAGTACTAAGGGGGGGCGCGAAATTGTTGAATCGTTCCTTATAACGGGGGAACGTTATATCGGGGTCCTATTCCATAAATTTTGTTATAACTGAGGCCAAACATGTAGTTCATTTATGTGGGATTTTTTTTTTTATATATATATATATATAAGGGCTTTTTTTTGCTTTTTTACCGGAAATTTTTTATATAGGGGATCGTTATGCGGGAGTTTCGTTTCACAGGGTTTCGTTTTACCAGGATTTCGTAGTATAGGGGGTTCGTTAGACAAGAAATGGGTTATACGGTGTTAGTTATACCGGGACATCTTGTTATGTTAAGGGGCTCATTGAACCGGGACTTCGTTATGCCAGTATGTCGTTATATATATGGGTACGTTATACTTAACACAGCAAATACTTTCAAGGGGACTAACTAGAGTGTTTTCACTCACGTGGCCAGCAGTTATGCAAATTTATTGGAACAAAAGAAAGCGTTTGCATAAGAAAAGAGTTCAACTCCCAGAGGATTGGTTTGGGACACCAACATGGCCGTCGTTTCATTGTTTGGGGCACCAATATGGCCGCCGTGACGTCATGTGAAAACACTATTTATATTTTGAAGGTGTCTGATTTTCGAGTTCTTCCCGCTTATTTACTAGAACCTCTTGTTGGTGAGTATCCTCATGTAAGGAGCTCTATTTATTCAAATCCAAAGAAATCAACTCACTATGGCAACAAAAAAGTAACATTTATTTTTAGAAGAGCGTCTATTTGGTTACTATTTTCTCCGTAGGAAATCTATCACCTGACATTTTTGTCATTATTTCAATTTCCTACGCATAATTGATAATAGTTATTGGAAACCATATATCGTGTAGTAATAATGATGAAACTGGCGATCCCTGAAATCACATATTGGTGCACTAAGTGGCGAATAATTTCAGGCCACTTTTATTGTCACATATGGTGTATAGGAATTAAAAGCGAGCCTGAAGTAGTTTCTAAGCACGTCCGAGTCAATGTGGCTTGGACCCAGTGATTTCCAATGTTCCTCGCTGTCTTTACTTTTAGTCTCTCTAAGTCGTTTAAAATGAACTTCCCTTGCCTGGGCAACCTATAAAAAGGAAGGTTTTTTCACCCTATGTATTAAAAAAAGGTAATCCAACACAGTCTTCGATTCTGGATTCCAAATTCCATGTAGTGTATGCTGGATTCCTAGTCGTGGAGTCTTGGGTTGTTTACTATTTATTAAAAAATTCCGGAAATAAGAACGGTACGTGTCTTTTACCATTTGCTTAAAATGTCCGGATTGTCGCGCCGCGCTAGACTGGACTCATGAAACTAGTAGAAACTCAAGAAACTTGTAAATGGTAAACAAATTTCCACTTTTCATTTGTTGTTGCGGCTGGGTTCCCTGTTTTTCTTGTTTCCCCGCCCTTTTAGATCACGTGATGAGTTTTGTTGTTGAACGGAGTTTCTCGATGTATCAGTTGGAGCGATTCACACGAAGTAACGACGTTTGTAACGCTTGACAACGTATATATCCTTGTTTGTACGGATTGCTTGGTCTTGTCGGACGTATATATACCCTTAGTTGCATCTTACATTTGTTATGTAGGTTAGTTTGATTTTAAGCAATTTTTATTGTTACAGACATTCCATTACATGGTGTTTGCAATAGTACTCAATCCAGGATTAACATTTTCAGATTTTTAGCACTGATTATCTGTCAAACAACTTCTTAATCATAATACATGTTTTTATTTTAAAACCACTTGGTTAAGACTACAAAGTTTGAATGTCTAGGATGAAAGAAAAACACCGATTATAAAATCACTGAACATAGTACACAGAATTACAAATGACTGAACCCTCAACTATAGCAAAATTGTTAACTGTTGATGATAGTATGCTATAATAAAATCACAACTTCCTTTAAGGAGGATGCTCACATTCTCTTCATAGAAAAGGAGAATCCTTTTTATGCAACTGCAAATATTTGGATTCGATGATTGTGTATATCAGGCACAACAATACAATCATTATTTAAAACAGCTGATGAGAATAGCTCATTACATTGTCCTAAGTCGGAGCCTTTAAAACCGAATTTTTCTACAAATGTTCCATCAACTTTGAAGACTTGTATTCTATGATTGTAACGATCACACACCAACAGGTGCTTTGACTGAGTCACTGACAAAAAATGAGGACAATCAAACTCCCCGTCCCCTTTCCCCTTCTTACCAAACTTGTACTGAAAATGACCCTCCCTGTTAAATACTTTGATACAATGTTCATCTCGGTCTGACACCATGACGTATTCACCACACTGAACACAGTGAACAGGAAAACGTAAAGAACCCTGTCCACCTATCTTCATTACAAACCTACCGTCCGGGGTAAAGATCTTAATCAGTTTGTTACCTGCATCAGCAACAATTACATTACCTGTACTATCTAGGGATATGCCGAAAGGGTAAAGGAGCTGACTATCAAGACTTCCCATACCCCCAAATGAACCCAGATGCCTCCCCTCCCAACTAAGGATCTGTACTCTATGGTTACCCCATTCTGATACAAAAATATTTCTATCCCTATCAATGACTATTCCAAAAGGGTGGCTAAACTCTCCAGCATTTTGGCCTTGGTGACCAAAGGATCTTAAGAAAGTACCATTACTGTCAAACACTTGAACCCGATGATTGTTCTCGTCAGCTACTACTATTTCGTCCGTATCAGTCCCTGCCACCCCCAGAGGATTCTTAAACATTCCTTCACCCGTGCCTCCCTTTCCAAAAGATAAAACAGGTTTGACATGAAATGGTTTTACTATTACAGTAAAAGAACTGCCACCAATATGTTGCCCGTTTACCTTAACTAAATGTTTGAATGTCCCTTGAACTATGGGATAATAAGTGATGTTGTAGATGCCATCCTTGCTATCACCTATTCGCACATCCGTCACGCATTCTTGTCCTTGCTCGTCCTTGATCTCTACCGTTACACGATCCTGTTCATCATACCACTGCTTTCTCTCTGCGTTTCTTGTGATCAAATTGAATTGAACTTTATGTCCAGCAATTCCTTCTTTTAGTCCTTCGACCAAACATTCGCTTGGTTTTGTTCGGTAAGGTTCTTCCCAAAATCCAATCTCTTCCCCGTTCACAACGTCAAGCATTTTCTGATTTTCTACGAAAACGAAGGCTTGGAGACTACTGCGGTCGTGAACAATGGGCTTGGGTTGATCAACACCCTGAAAAATTGTCGGCAGTGACTGTTTGAGTTGAACAATTTCCGCTGTGGTACTTCGTTTTAACAGTTTATCAGCTTCATTCAGTGATGATTCAAGAACACTTATCTGGTGCTGAATCTCGCTCCTTTCTGCTCTCAAACTTTCAAGTGACTTCTTGGTCTGGTTTTCCACCGAGGTTATAATATTTTGCAGTTTTGCTTGAATTGATTTGATCAAGTTATCGGCAAACCTTTGGGCATCGCTCTTCACGATTTCGTTTTGTTGAATCATTTTAGCGTAATCTTCATCCAGTTGAGTAACTTCCTTCATTTTTGCTTCTAATTTTTTCCTGTGCATTTCAATAACAGATTTTATCTCGAGCTTTTGAGTTTCAGCTTCTTCTTTAATTAGTTTCAGTGCATGACCTCCGTGATCCAAAGCGAAGCAAGTTTGACAAAGTGTCGTTTCACATTCCTTGCAGTAGTATTTGAGCTCTTCTTCCTGATGATCTTGCCTTGAACAAAATACTGGCCGCTTCAATACATCCTCGTAGTCTTTGTCGTGAAAATCTTTGATGGCCAGCACGCGGTGTTCTCTGTTTCTTCGCAAAATATTGTGGGCGGCCACACATTGATCACAGTAAAAGATACAACACTGGAAACAGTACGAAACTTCCGATCTCTTCTTGTCGCAGTTTCCACATTTCACTTGAGTCTTCTTGCATTCTTTGATGGCAAGAACATCGATCAAGCCGTTCAAATAAAAACTGGTTGGAAGATCTTTTAGTTCACCGCTTGGAGGAACTCGGCTGAAGGTTTGGCATTTCGGGCATTTTATGGCGTCACCGCCCCCGCACGTTTCGTACCATTGTTGAAGGCACTTTAAGCAGAAACTGTGCAGACAGGAGAGATGTTTAGGATCTGTAAATATGCCAGAACACACTGAACAAGACACTTCTTCACGAAGGTTATAAAATAGCGTTGTGAGATCCATGTCTTCTTAAAAGCAAGCGACAAGTGACCTTTGAGACACTCTACACCAAACAATGGAGTCTTGTGACTTTCTATGTTTAGCTTTTCTCGGAATCAAGAGGTGTGCTAACCAATCAAAGAGCGCTGTTTTGAGAGACTTTTGTTTTGCGTTTTGGTTTGAGATTCCCAGAAATGTTACCTTAATAACCAAATTTCAACTAACAAACAAATACATTTTTCGGATAACAAGTTCGTATAGCCACTATGTTTTGGCGTAAGTAGAAGATGTGATTAGCAAGGTCCCATCACACCAACTTGGTCAGTACATCTCAATCGAAACATGCAAAATCGGTTATCAAGATCCATATTGCCTTCAGAAACAATGAATAACCTTTAAAGCAGTGAAGCGTTACGCCTAAATCAAAGGCTTAGGAAGCCATTAAAACACTGTTGAAAGACTTGCAGACCTTGCATGCGTTCGTTTGAACGTTTCAAGCACATATTGAAATACTCAAACTCTAAACTGATCACTGATGGTAATGAGTGATTTTGTTTGCGTAAGCACAGTAGCGTGAAAACCACAGCCGTGAATAATGCAAATCACTCATATGCAGCGAGTGAGCATGAAAAACTACTGTCGATGAAAAATCGGGTCCTTCTAACTAACGCCCCGTGCACACGATTCCGGGCAGGTGGAACGTTCCATTCTTAATTGAATTCGATAATATATAGCCTGTTTCTTCTACACGACAAATTCGCAAATCCGGTGGCTCCTTAGGCTGCGTAGCAGACGCTTGGAAGTGACGGGCGCAAGAAAGAACGGGGCGCGCGAGAGAGACACGCGAGGGGAGAGGGAACGTTATAACGGGGTCCTATTCCGCCATAAATTTTGTTATAACTGGGGCGAAAAATGTAGTTCATTTTTCTGGGATTTTGTTATATGTAGGGGCTTTTTTTTGCTTTTTTACCTGAAATTTGTTATATAGGGGGTCTTTATCCGGGAGTTTCGTTTCACAGCGTTTCGTTTTACCAGGATTTCGTAATATAGGGGTTTGTTAGACGAGAAATGGGTTATAAGGGGTTAGTTATACCGGGGTATCTTGTTATTTTAAGGGGCCCGTTGTACCGGGATTTCGTTATACCGGTATGTCGTTATATGTAGGGGTACGTTATGCTTGAGGATTTCACAGCAAATACTGCCAAGGACTAAATAGAGGCCACGATGTAAGTTTTACATTTTGAAGCTGTCTGATTTTCGAGTTCTTCCCGCTTATTTATTAGAAGCTCTTGTTGGTGAGAACCCTCATGTAACGGAGCTCTGTTTATTCAAATCCAAAGAAATCAACTCACTAGGGCAACAAAAAAGTAACATTTATTTTTAGAAGGGCTTCTATGGTGTTCGCAATAGTACTCAAACCAGGATTAACATTTTTTGCACTAATTATCTGTCAAACACCTTCTTAATCATAGTGAATGTTTTTATTTTAAAACCACTTGGTTAAGACTACAAAGTTTGAATGTCTAGGGTGAAAGAAAAACACCGATTATAAAATCACTGAACGTAGTACACTGAATTACAAATGACTGAACCCTCAACTATCACGGCAAAATTGTTCGCTGTTGATGCTAGTGTGCTATAATAAAATCACAAACTTCCTTTAAGGAAGATGCTCACATGCATTCTCTTCATGGAAAAGGAGAATTCTTTTTATGCAACTGCAAATATTTGGATTCGATGATTGTGTATATCAGGCACAACAATACAATCATTATTTAAAACAGCTGATGAGAATAGCTCATTAAATTGCCCTAAGTCGGAGCCTTTAAAACCGAATTTTTCTACAAATGTTCCATCTACCGTAAAGACTTGTATTCTATGATTGTAGCGATCGCAGACCAACAGGTGCTTTGACTGAGTCACTGACAAAAAATGTGGACGGTCAAACTCCCCGTCCCCTTTCCCCTTCTTACCAAACTGGTACTGAAAATGCCCCTCCCTGTTAAATACTTTGATACAATTTTTATCTCGGTCTGACACTATGAAGTATTCACCACACTGAACACAGTGAACAGGAAAACTTAAAGAACCCTGTCCACCTATCTTAATTACAAACCTACCATCCGGGGTAAACATCTTAATCAGTTTGTTACCTGCATTAGCAACAATTACATTACCAGCACTATCTAGGGATATGCCGAAAGGGTTAAGGAGCTGACTATCAAGGCTTCCTTGGCCGCCAAATGAACCCAGATGCCTCCCCTCCCAGCTAAGGATCTGTACTCTATGATTTCCCCATTCTGATACAAAAATATTCCTGTCCTTATCAATGACTATTCCAAAAGGGTGGCTAAACTCTCCAGCATTTTCACCTTTGTGACCAAAGGATCTTAAGAAAGTACAATTACTGTCAAACACTTGAACCCGATGATTGTTTTCGTCAGCTACTACGATTTCGTCCCCATCAGTCACTGCTACCCCCAGAGGATACTTAAACATTCCACCACCCAAGCCTTCCTTTCCAAAAGATAAAACAGGTTTGACATGAAATGGTTTTACTATCACAGTAAAAGGGCTGCCACTAACATGTTCCCCGTTTACCGTAACTAATAATTTGAATGTCCCTTGAACTCTGGGATAATAACTAATGTTGTAGAAGCCATTCTTGTTATCATCCATTCGCACTTCCGTCACGCATTCTTGGCCTTGCTCGTCCTTAACCTCTACCGTGACACAGTCTCTCTCATCATACGCTTGTTTTCTCTCTACGTTTCTTGTGATCAAAGTGAATTGAGCTTTACGCGCTACAATTCCTTCTTTTAGTCCTTCACCTTCAACCAGAGATTCGATTGGTTTTGTTCGATTAGCTCCTTTCAAGAATCCAATTTCTTCCATGTTGACAATATCGTGCATCTTCTGATTTTCTACAAAAATCAAAGCTTCTTGACTACTTGAGTCATAAACAATAGGCTCGGTCTGATTACCACCCTGAAAAATTGTCGGCATTGACTTTTTGAGTTGAACAATTTCCACTGTGGTACTTCGTTTTAGAAGTTTATCAGCTTCCTCCAGTGATGATTCAATGATATTTATGTGATGCTGAATCTCGCTTCGTTTGGCTGTCAGGCTTTCAAGTGACTTCTTCGTCTGGTTCTCCAACGCGGTCATAATATTTTGTAGTTTTGCTTGAATTGATTTGATCAAGTTATCGGCAAACCTTTGGGCATCTCTCTTCACGATTTCGTTTTGTTGAATCATTTTAGCGTAATCTTCATCCAGTTGAGTAACTTCCTTCATTTTTGCTTCTAATTTTTTTCTTTGCATTTCAATAACAGATTTTATCTCGAGCTTTTGAGTTTCAGCTTCTTCTTTAATTAATTTCAGTGCATGACCTCCGTGATCCAAAGCGAAGCAAGTTTGACAAAGAGCCGTTTCACATTCCTTGCAGTAGTATTTCAGCTCTTCTTCCTGATGATCTTGTCTTGAACAAAATACTGGCCGCTTTAATACATCCTCGTAGTCTTCGTCTTGAAAATCTTTGATGGCCAGCACGCGGTGTTATCTGTTTCTTCGCAAAATATTGTGGGCGGCAACACATTGATCACAGTAAAATATACAACACTGGAAACAGTACGAAACTTCCGATCTCTTCTTGTCGCAGTTCCCACATTTCACCTGAGTCTTCTGGCATTCTTTTATAGCAAGAACATCGATTAAGCCATTCAAATAAAAACTGGTTGGAAGATCTTTTAGATCACCGCTTGCAGGAACTCGGCTGAAGGTTTGGCATTTTGGGCATTTTATGGCTTCGCCGCCCCCGCACGTTTCGTACCATTGGTGAAGACACTTTGAGCAGAAACTGTGCAGACAGGAGAGATGTTTAGGATCTGTAAATATGTCCGAACACACCGAACAAGACACTTCTTCGCGCAGATTGTAAAATAGCGTTGTGAGATCCATTTCTTTTCAAAAGCAAGTGACTGATGACCTTTGAGACACTCCACAACAAACAGTGGGGTCTTGTGACTTTTCTCGGAATCTAGAGGTGTGCTAACCAATCAACGAGCGCTGTTTTGAGAGTCTTTTGTGTTGCGTCTTGGTTTGTCTGCTACACAGCCGTTTCTAGAGTCGTCACGCAACGCTCCTCCCCACTTGTTGGGAGGAGCGTTGCGTGACGACACTAAAAACGGCTGTGTAGCAGACTACGTCTTGGTTTGAGATTCCCAGAAATGTTACCCTTAAGTTAATATCAAAAATTCAACAAACAAACAAATACATTTTTCGGATAACAAGTTCGTATAATAAAGCTTCACATATGAAGCCAGTGTGTTTTGGCGTAAATAAAAGATGTGATCAAGAAGGTCCAATCACACCAACTTAGTACATCTCAATCGAAACATGCAAAATTGGTTAATCAAGATCCATATTTCCTTCAGAAACAATGAATAACCTTTAGAGCAGTGAAGCGTTACGCCTAAATCAAAGGCTTAGGAAGCCATTAAAACACTGTTGAAAGACTTGCAGACCTTGCATGCGTTCGTTTGCACGTTTCAAGCACAAAGTGAAATACTCAAACTCTAAACTGATCCCTGACGTATAATGAGTGATTTTGTTTGCGTAAGCACAGTAGCGTGAAAACCACAGCCGTGAATGATGCAAATCACTCATATGCAGCGAGTGAGCATGAAAAACTACTGTCGATGAAAAATCGGGTCCTTCTAACTAACGCCCCGTGCACACGATTCCGGACAGGTGGAACGCTCCATTCTTAATTGAATTTGATAATACAATACAATACAATACAATACAATACAATGTTCTTTATTTTGAGAGGGTAGATATACATGATTAACCCAGTTAAGAGTTTTCTAACACATGGCCCTCAAATAGTAATATATAATATATAATATATAGCCTGTTTCTTCTACACGACAAATTCGCAAATCTGGTAGCTCCCTAGCCTGCGTAGCAGACGCTTGGAAGTGACGGGTGCAAGAAAGAACGTGGCGCGCGAGAGAGACACGCGAGGGGAGAGGGAACGTTATAACGGGGTCCTATTCCGAAAATTTTGTCATAACTGAGGCGAAAAATGTAGTTCATTTTTGTGGGATTTTGTTATATGTAAAGGCTTTTTTTTGCTTTTCTACCGGAAATTTGTTATATAGGGGCTCGTTATGCAGGAGTTTCATTTCATAGGGTTTCGTTATACCAGGATTTCGTGATATAGGGGTTAGTTAGACAAGAAATGGGTTATGCGGGGTTAGTTATACCGGGGGTATCTTTTTATGTTAAGGGGCTTGTTGTACCGGGATTTCGTTATACCAGTATGTCGTTATATATAGGGGTACGTTATACGATGTAAGTTTTATATTTTTTGAAGGTGTCTGATTTTCGAGTTCTTCCCGTTATTTATTAGAAGCTCTTGTTGGTGAGTATCCTCATGTAACGGAGCTCTATTTAGTCAAATCCAAAGAAATCAACTCACTAGGGCAACAAAAAAGTAACATTTATTTTTAGAAGAGCTCTATTTGGTTACTATTTTCTCCGTCGGAAATCTATCACCTGACATTTTTGCCATTATTTCAATTTCCTACGTATAATTGATAATAGTCATTGGAAACCACATATCGTGTAGTAATAGTGATGAAACTGGCGATCCCTGACATCACATATTGGTGCACTAAGTGGCGAATAATTTCAGGCCAGTTTTATGGTCACATATGGTGTATAGGAATTAAAAGCGAGCCTGAAGTAGTTTCTAAGCACGTCCGAGTCAATGTGGCTTGGACCCAGTGATTTCCAATGTTCCTCGCTGTCTTTACTTTTAGTCTCTCTAAGTCGTTTAAAATGAACTTCCCTTGCCTGGGCAACCTATAAAAAGGAAAGTTTTTTCACCCTATGTATTAAAAAACGGTAATCCAAGACAGTCTTCGATTCTGGATTCCTAGCCAGTGAGACTTGGGTTGTTTACCATTTATAAAAAAAGTCCGGAAATTTTGGTTGGGAATTTTCGTTCGGTAAGAACGGTACGTGTCGTTTACCATTTGCCTAAAATTTCCGGACTGTCGCGCCGCGCTAAACTGGATTCTAGTAACAACAACTAGTAGGAAACTCAAGAAACTTGTAAATGGTGAACGAATTTCCATTCGGAACGTCCCAACCGGGAAAACGGGACTACCTTTTCAGAGTTTCCGTTTGTCCCGGGAATTTTCCAGTGGGACGAACCAAAAAAACGTTTCCCAGTTACATCTCAACCGAAATTTTCTGGAATTTGTGGTAAATGGTAAACAACCTTGGATTCCGGATGCTAGTCGTTAGCGGGATTCAGCATTCCTTGAGATAAATTTTGGATCCGGGACGCAAAAGTTTCCTGGATTCCGAGATACGGATTACCTAACAGAGGGTATCAATAGGGTGGTAGCTTTGAACGACGGCTGACGGTTAAACCCGACCTCTCGCTTGGCCTATCAGCGCTCAACCTTGTTGCCAGGGTTCTCCCCTACTTAGGTGACGAGTAGGAGAGAAGCCTAAGGACAAAATCAACCAGCGCTCCACCTGAGCAACTTTAGGCGGCTCACTACGTTAGCATACAATAACTGGCTTTTTTATACTCGCCTTTTCGCGTATTTTTGGCAGATCATCGAAGGTGAGGTTTATATTCTGTTTAGGTTTATTTCGTTTCTTTTCTTGTTTTACGTCGACGCTCGGCAGTTCCACTACAAGTGGCTTAAACCGCTGGCTCACCCATCCGTTTTTCTTCAGTGGGGGTCTTGGGGATTTCCGCTTTCCTTGGTCTTGACGCGACATTAGTAACTGACCAGCGGGAGTAATGGAATGCTGAAAAAGATGATATTCCTGGTTTGTACTTGACGTCAAGGAGGCTAATCAAGGTGAACAAGAACAAAAGCATTTCTCTCTGCTGGAAACGAGGCTCTATTCTCATGTAAACTCTTCAAAAAAAATTGTGTTTTTACTACCATCATGGCCACCTTTTCACGTGCTCGCGAACCAAAAAAGGTAAAGGTAAAGAGTCCTTATCATCTACCGTGTCTAACAAAGCTGAGGCTGACGTTGCGCTCATTTCCCTCCCCCCTTCTCTCCAACAGTGCTCCGTTTTACGGGTCTTTAAAGCTACTTAAAGCTACTCGGAAAAGAACGAAACTGAAGAAGGATTTGAGGTCACACCTGGAGATGGGAATCGAACTCGGGACCTCCCGTACAGAAGGCTGCGCACTAAACAACTGCGCTAATCCTTCCTCCTGAGCCAAGAAGAGCCATTTCTAGGTTACCCAAGCCTCTGTTTCAAAGCGAGGCTTGAGGCAAATCGGAAATGGTCTATTAAAACAACTTCCGAATAGGCCATTTCCAAGTTCCCCCAGGCCTCTGTTTCAAAACGAGGGTAGGTGCTCAGCCTTTGATACGGAAATCATTTTTCATTCTCATGCAAATAAAACTCATTTTCACAAGAAAGGTTGTGCACCTAGCCTCATTTTGAAAGTGAGGGTTTTGGAACTCGGAAGTGGCCTACAATTGAATCCAATTCGAAAAGTCAAACAGATTCATTTACCGCATTTATTCGAATAAGCGCCCAGGGCGTTTAATCGAATAAATGCGGTAATATGGTTTCTTCGAACATCAATTAGTGTTATACGTAAAAGGAAAGCTATCGAGCGATAATTATTTTATGTTGCAGTGTTCATTAAAACTTAGCAGGGGATAAAACAAGTCTAAGGGCCGGTTCAAGCGTCTCATTTCACATGTACATGTGCTGAACCTAATGCAAATGAGCGAGAACAATAGGTTTTCTGTACCATTAAATTCGGCACAAGCGAAATTCGAGGTTTGAACCGAGCCTTAGTCAATGTCATTGGCAGAGGCAATGCGATTCTTTCGGCCAGCACCAAGGATAGCTTAGTTCTTAGTTACCAGACTTCCGCTAATTATGCATAACCACAGAAAATAAATACCGTAAAATTCCGAAAATAAACCCCGGGGGTTATATTTTTTCAAAGGCCCTTTTTGGGGGGCTTATATTCGGAGGGGCTTATGTATGGGGGGGAATCTGCGTTTAAAAATAGATTAGGCTAGCCTTATTCTTTGTAGGAAATTTACCGTTTTTCTTTGTTTCACTTTGTATTTGAGGGCAATTTCCAAGTACTTATATTTGGAGGGGCGATTTAACGGAGGGTTTTTTGCGTTACGAGTTCGGGGGCTTATATTTGGAGGGGTTTATACATGGAGGGGCTTATTCTCGGAATTTTACGGTATTAATAATGCAGTCCTTTCTTGTGGTCCTGTTTACCTCCCTGGTTTGTAGAAGGCACAAGTGTAATAATTGGACCTAAGTGTAATAAAGGTCGTATCTGTAATAACATTTGGACCCAAGTGTAATAAAGGCCGTATTTGTAAAAGTTACCTTTGTACTCAAACTGGTAATATATCAACAACAAGTTATGGCCAATAAGAGGTTAGGAATGTAAAATCACGTGACCTGCGGAAACCAACCTCAGCCATTTAATTAATCTCCATGGCTGTCAAACTGAATTTTAAACGTAGTAGTTTGGCTAGAAAAGTATTTACTATTAGAAAAACGGAACTGGCCACTTAGAAAAGGCCATTGTCACTTAGAACTATTAACCAAAGAAAATATTTGCTCAGTACTGCTTTACTGAACTCTTACGAGAGCGTTTTTTGTCGTTGCGGGCAACAAGAGGAGCCCGCAATCCTAATCTAAAGGTCAGCTGTCATTTGAACTTCCACTAAGAATGAATGGAATGCACAGAAAGAAATTTGATCACGTGCGTTTGCGCCTTCTATCACTCGTAATCTTATCACGCATGTTTTGATCATCTGTCACGTGAAAAGTACGCAAAGCACAGCGCTGGAGCAAAACCTTCGATCGTTATCGCCCGCACTCTGTAACCTTTGGCTATTACTAGTTATAATGTTAAAATTCTTATGTTATCTTTATTCGGAGGTGTCTCTCACTATTCTTCTAGAGCTTCAAAATATCGCTTTATGATAAGCACCATAAGACTAGCTGAGAACAATGATACAGAGGCGCGTGACAATATTTTGCAAATAGGCCATCTTTTGGGTCGTAATGGTGTCAGGTGAGAATTTCACCGTAAGAGCTCCAAAATGTCGAGCTGATTATAAGCAAAGGTTAAGACAAGCTCAAGACGGTCCAAATGTTATTACAGATAGGAGCCTTTATTACGCTTGGGTTCAAAATGTTATTACGGATGGGACTTTTATTACGCTTGGGTCCAAATGTTGTTACAGATAGGACCTTTATTACACTTGGGTCCAGTTATTACACTTGTGCCTTTTACATGGTTTCCAATGTTTGAGTGTGTGAAAGTAATTCTAGTGCTACATTTCGAATTAATACGTATCTAAGTAAGATTCCAAGGTGCACCTTTACAAACTTACCCTGTCTTGCATAGCAGGGGTGTTGCCACTCAGATCAGGATTAGATGAAGTTCTCTGCAGACTCAATCTCCCAAAATTGAGTCGAATTTTGCCACGAGTGTGAGACATTTCCGGGTTGTCAGGCCCGACTGGTCTAACCTGGCTTTTCGGGCGTTTTTTCCTTACTACCTACAATCGAAGTTTATAATCAATATTAGTTTGTTACCTAAAGAAAGTACAGAGATACAATACACTATATTCAAACTTCGAAATAATCTAATTTTAATTAACTGATCGGACTATTCATAGCCTCCGTAAAGGCGCAAAAAGGGGAGAGGGAGGGGAGGGGAGGGGAGAGGAGAGGAGACAGGCAGTGGATGAGAGAAGGAGTCCATACAACTTATTCCAAAATGAAGGTAACATAAGTTTAATTTTATATTTAGCCCTCCTTGGCTCAATATGCCGCTGCAGAATTCATGAAACTTTTACCTCGGGGAAGGAGAAGGGGTTTAATTCAAAAAGGGTTTTTCTGTCTTGTGTTGGACACTAGTATCTTCATTGCGTTGTCCCTATGAAACATCATTTACAATATTTGCGCTCTTGGCGCTTGCTTTGGGTTTTGATTGGGTTGTCTACCTCTAATGTGATTGGCCAAAACTTGCCAGTCACATATCGCTTTAATGGGACAAATGCTTTTACAACAGTGAATTACTTTGTGCAATATTCTTATTCAAGACCTGGTAACAGGGCGTGGGAAATCGTTCTGGCCTGGGACATGCCCATGATCGGACCAAAACAGTAGAAAGGGACAGGATCAAGCCCGATTTACTTGCTGGGTGAGAATTTGAGAGGGTGGGTCGCAAAACGCCGGTTACTTCGCTTTTGCAGCCTCAATAGGCTCTTGATCACGTGATCAGCTTTCGGTAAACACGAAAACAGTTCGCTTTTGAAAAACCAGTCACGCCAGCATGGATTTGTATGGAAAACCATGCAAGCGTGACTGGATGGCAAAATTTTTTTTTCTCATGCAAGTGCCTCTAACTTTCGGCGGCCGTTGCAATCGCTAGTTTTGAGATATACGGCTGAAAATTCTCAGGTTACTTTTTTTTAATATGCTCTTTCAGCTTGTGCTAACGAAATTTTTCAAAAGTGAACTGTTTTCGTGTCCACCAAAATTTGACCACGTGATCAAGTCGTGCAAAGAGCCTATTTAAAGTGATGGGGTGAAATACATGTAACTTATTGTATGTTCATTTGTGCATAATCCCCAGGGTATTAATTATCATTGCAAATCGAGTTTCCCATGAGCACAACAGACGCACCTTGCCAAAAACAATGTGCAGTGGCTCAGCATACGGGGACTTATTGTCATCAGCTGCGTGCCTGGCCTTCAGGCTCTCCATGTGCTTTCTTAGCTGGTTCTCTGTCAGGCCTATGAGGCGAGCCCCTGCTGCGTAGTGCCCAACCACATGAGGCGCCTGGATGCGCTTGTACTTTGTGTGATAGAAACTGAGAGGAAATAGAGGTTATTAATATGGATGTACGTGAATGTTTATCACGCACCTTGCCGAAAACAATGTGCAGTGGCTCAGCATACGGAGACTTATTGGGAGATTAGGGAGATTAATGCGATCTGCCCACGATGGCGCGGGCAGATCTAAAACCGAGCCTGACCATTGGCAGAGGGGTAAATCAAACACGGAAATTAATTGCGTCCTACAGCTATAGCAGGGAGTTAACGCAACGACGACCGCGACGGCAACGAGAACGGCTAAAAAAGCAATGGGTTTAGACCAGCAAAACAACAGCTTTGCACGTGCATCACACTCTTTTGTACATTTCTCTGCCGTCGTTGCACAACTACAACGTGAAAGTGCCTAATTTCCCGTTTTGTCGAGGACGGGAACAAAAGACAACTACTTTCTTTTTCTTTTCCTGAACTTTGATGCACTGAGTCCTTTAGAATTCAACTTCAAAAAAGTTTGCCCACATTTGACGAATTAAACGAGATGGAATAAGCGCGATAAAGTTTGAGGCAGCGCAAATTCACTTTTTAAGTGACGTTTTCGTAGCCGTCGCCGTCGTCGTTGCGTTAACTCCCTAGTTTCTTCACCAAGCAGAGGAGACCCCTCGTTGCAAATGGTGCGCCCCCCATAGCCCATATGCTTACCCTACTATCTCATTAATGGAATGAAGAGCAGATCTCTTCATGAACTGTGTCAGCGCGTCAAACAGCAGATTTTCACGTTTTCTCTTTTCCTGTCCCGTGGCTGCCATTCAGAAAGATTGAAAGCAATAAAACGTTGATCAGAATGCGTAATAAGTGTTGTTTTCCTCTGAATATTAACGTTCTTTGTTGAAATCAATAAAAGTATTACTAAAAAAAATTAGAATTGCCTAGTTTTCAGGTTTTTCTGTGGTACTTTCTTTCATTCTGCACAAGGCGTGTTTCCAACTTATGATTCTCAAGTGTGGTTGATTTCCTCTGAGTATTATGAAAGCTTCTTTCTTTCCTGTGGTACTGTCCATTATGCTGTAAAAGACGCGGTTCTAATTCTCAGTACAATCCTAAAGTGTTACTATCAAATGAAAGCTAGTAAGCTGTACTTTCCTACATCAGAGGTGGTTAGAAGGTTATCATACCTTATAGTCTGTGTTGTCAATCCTGAGGTGTGGCTAATTAAAACAAATTTAGTAAGTACTATGTACTTATCTGTGGTTTTAATTGTACTGCAGTACAAGATAGTTCTGTAAGTATATTTTGGAGAAAAGGAAATTCGTTTTACCAGTTGTTTCAACTAGAGCCAAATGTCCGACGAATAAATACTTTCAGGAAAAATACGACTACTTTTGATAGGCTCACCAAATCCTTCTAAAAAGCGTTCGGTGTTGGTCATCAAGTTGAGAAACTCTTGAAAGTCAATTTCACCATTTCCTGTAAACAGTAAGTAGAGTAAAGTTAACTAAAGTACGCACACCGTGAAAGTTAACGATTATAAATTAATGAAGGGGAATGTAGTTAGGATATCTTTTTCTGATGACTTCTAACAAAATCCGCAAGGTCCTTAGTTCTCCATGGGGAAATTTGATTTACTGACCGGCAAGCTTTATCACAAGGACCGGCGAAACTGGTTCAATTAAGTTTGACCTCTTGTTCGATCTTAAACAATTAGTTTGATTTTATCCGTAAAATGAACGCTCTGCTTTTATTTAGGACTTTTAAAGTGAAGATCAGGTTATACAGCCCCCCCCCGACCAGGTTTTTGACGTCACAGTGACGTAAAATAAAATCTAAACAGATAGCAGCCTTAATGCTATCAAAAGCGTCTTATTCAGGTTTTGAACACTTCCATAGTACCTCCTTACCATCATCGTCATCATCACCACAGCCAATACCATCATCATCATCATCATCATCATCATCATCATCATCATCATCATCATCATTACCAAAGTTCCTTACCGTCCTTATCCATTGTCACCAACACTTCTGCTAAATCATCTGGTGACAGCTGAATGTCAACAGATTTCAGAGCCAAGTCCAATTCTTCTGCGTCGATCGTTCCTCCGCCATTGCTGTCGAAAAGGTCGAACACCTCCCTAAATGCTGGAAAGTGATGAAATACAAGGCAGTATTTTATGCCAGAATAGTGCATGTATTGCTTGTTCGTATAAATAAGTGTACAGTCTGGTTTCATCTATTGATCGGAGCTGATAACAATACTCAGTGTGAAAATGAAGATGAAAATGAAGAAATGATCGTCGCAGTGAACGCAATTTATGCAATTGCGCAAAGAAGCCTCAATACTCAGTGTATTGGCCATCGGAAAGGGATTCAAAAGCGGCGTGACGCTTCATTCTTTTCTTCGTCTGTCCGTCCGTCCGTCCGTCCGTTTGTTCGTTCATTCGTTCATTGTTGGTTCATTGGTTCACTCGTTCACTCGTCCATTTGTTCATTCGTTCATTCATTCATTCATTTTCACATATGGTCAACCTGCGCGCGCTAATATTTTTGCAACTGCCATTATTAAGGACTCTTCCACAAGATCGCTTAGCTTCTAAGCATTTGATGTTACCTGTAATCTGTTCATTTGTCAAATGAGCCAAAGATCTTTCTGAACCACTCTCCACATTATCTAACACCACCGAATCAGCCGAAGGAACCACTCCAAAAACTTCTTCAACTGCCGATTGCGCCTCTGGCTCGGGACTTCCGTCTTCCTTTTTGCCAAGAGCCAACGCATTCCGTCGGCTCCGCCTCATATTGCTATACTGAGTGAAGTTATTTTGTGGGATGTACCAAGGGCATTTTCATTTTACACTTTGAATTATCATGATCTGTGTTCTTTACATTTAAAGAACCCGCACACTCACTAATTGGTTTGACAGGTTTGTGACGTCATATATCTTCTAACCATAGACCAATTTGGAACGTAAAAAAATGGGGGAAGGGGAGCTCCCGTATCCCCTGCTAAATCCGCCCATATGTGTCATATGTGAAATCTATCCTTGCGGGCCTCTTAAATATCGATGTAAGGACTAACACCTCTTTTTCGGAGAGTTTTCTGACATTTTTGACAGGTTTATACGTCCCGAGAATTATATGTTCTAGAAATCCCAAACTCGTACAGACCCATACAAATTTCTACCTCTAGTCTTTTTTAAGATCAGCTCCTTGCTGCTAGAGTCAGGCGGTTTTTTTTGTTGTTCGTGGGAGTTCAGTTCACCGAGGATCATCGTTCATTATCGGAATTTTATCGTTTCGCCGACCGAAACTCATGAATAGTCAATAGATTTTCGGATGGCATGAAGTCGAGGTCCCTGATAAACACATGAACCAGACGACCGGCGAAGAAGGAAGGCGAGGGGACAAGATGTTTACCTCTAAAACAGCCGCTCTTCTTATGACTTTCCTGTTTGAAGTGGCCACATCTGTTTCAGGTAAGCTTTCGTTTATGCATTTTTCACATCAGAGGCAAATGAAAATTTTCCTGTGTAGTTCAATGCGCGAGAGTTATTTGATACCTTTCCAGACACATTCCATGTATGCAATTTGCTTTTCGTCTAGGTCTTGTTGATATTAAATATCTTGTGAAGATTTGCATTTTTAAATTTAATATGCTTGTTACTGCAAGTTGGGGTTGAAAAAAGAAGAATACAGCACTTATGGTCAAATTTTTCTCTCTGAGAACTGCAGTCTATTTCGTTGTGGATTGATTAATTTCCCTCGACCAAAGCTTACACATGCACGAAGAAACTTGATTCGAATTTTGGCTTTGCGAGTTCATTTCTACAGTTGTTACAAGTTTTAACGTGTATTTTGTTCATGATCTTGCTGCTTGGTGTTGATTTCTCATCACTTAACCTTTTATGTTATAACCGCTCTCGTGAAACATTTTGTGAACGTTAAGAGAAAGACTACCCTAATTTTCTCATGTCTGCGCAAGTTCGCCCGTGTTTACGTATTGAGCACAGCTTCTTGTGAATTGCGAACATAGACGATAGGCTTGCAGTCTCACACGGCTGCGTTTAAGATGCTTATTTATGAAAGATTCTTTAAACATTCGTTGGAAATTTTCCGTTTTGAAGTTAGCAATTTACAGTTTCATGAAACAAATCAATATGTATAGGCCTATGTAAACATTAGAGGTGCGCATAAATCTGTTACCTTTCGACACCACGCGAAAAATATTCTTTGTTTTTTTACTTTGCACATTGGCTGCGTCGCATTTACTCAAACTTCTAAATACAGTCTATGAATTTATCGCCACCAGAGACAAGGTTATGTTGTTTATTTTAAACAGTTGCTTGCGTGAGGTCGCCCATGTGTATTGAAATAAATTGTTAGCGGTTAGATTATTGTTATAAGTTGTCGGCACTGCTTTGGCCCGTATGAGGTTAAAGAATTAAAAAATTGATCCTTTAGTTTTCCTAGTTCCGTGGTTGTTTTGACTGAACTGTGGGAAACCGCAGAAGTGAAAGGAATAATATTCTGACTGTGAAATAAATATTGAACTGAATTTACCTGTGCTTACTCTCTGTTTGTGTTCTTCGGTAGTAACTTTCTGCTACAGCGACTCGATTCATTATTTCTCCACGTGGGTATAATTTTTCTTGAACTTTCCGTCATAAAACTACCGAAATGACTATAACTTTAATTGTGTGACCATTGCATAAAAGCAAATAACATTTTTCAATTTTACCCCCCGTTTCATATATGTTAAGACATTTAGAAACCAAAGAATTGGGCTATCATTGCCTTTTCATTCTCGAAGGTGAAACGTTAGATATGTGGTTCACATTCAAAACTTGTTATTTACCTAACACTATTTTCTTTTTAGGAAAAATCATGATTTTAAGCTTATTATTTCTGAAAACTAAATTGGCAGAACAATATTAATTTTCAAGATTACAATACGTATTTGACAACCTCTTCAACAGACTTTTCATGTGATGTAAATAGGAATTATTAATCATAGATTCAAAAGCAGAGATTTTAAGGTAACAGCAGCTAACAATATAATGTTGCTCATTTCTGTTTTTATGCAGTGTACTTGTTTTTGAATATAGATTTTGGTGCTTTACCAGCCTCCAGTTTGCACTTTACGATCAAGCTGTCAAAATGTCACACAACAATATTGGGTTTACGAATAAATAGAGTTAGTTTTTGTAGAATTTTTTAGCTTTCACTTTCCCCCGAAAGTATAGTAATGCTTTTAAATCAAACAAAACTGGCTTTGTTTAGGAATATCAAATTTTTGTAGGTGAGCCAAAGTCCAGGAAAAAAAAAAAATAAAGCAAATTTGTTATCCACCAAAATTTTTAATGTATGCAAATGCTAACAACAATTTATATTCTCTATAACAGCAATATCACACATTATTTTCCTCAGGGAAGTAAGAAAACTGCTTTAAATACAGTTTAGTTACCTCTGTTCTGACTTTTGTTCAGGTTTCATGGTAAACTTTTTATTACAATATATTAACACATTCCTGTATTCTATAATCATGTTAGTGAGTTAATATATTAATAAAGTAAGCGAAAACATCTTTCTTGGTCTCATACATGTAGATTGTAATCATTACTGGTATAATTAGGTTATGCTATTTTCACAAAACCTTGATTTCTATTTTTTATATTTAATTTTAAATTTAAGATAAATTCAATGATAGATGACGTGTTTGCAGTTGCCACAAATACAAAATCTATGTTTTCTTTCGAGCTTGTTTTTGAGGTCTTGATTCCTTTACCAAAAGCATCCTTATTACAATCCGCTTCCTCCGTAAGTTCAAAGTTTGAGTGCAGGCTCATTTTCGCGTACAGCAGCTGGTAATCAAGCCTACGTACAGTGTACTTGTTTTTGCTTTAACTTTGCTGGTGCTGGCTCGTTCCTACAATGTTCCCATATCCCTGACCCCAGGAAATTCTTTTTGGAGATGGGTGACTAAATTTTTACAAGACCAATTGCAATAGACACTTCTGCCATTTTTTTAACTTTTGACTGGGACCAGTTAGTGAAAATCTGTCAGTGCAGCTAACAACCCATTAAGCCCCAATATCCACATACAAATTCTCCAAACTGATCTCTATATATTTCCTTAAAGAATGTGTTGAGAGAATTTCATAAAAGATCAAGGCACTTTCTCTTTGATGATCATTTTATTAATTGTCATAACCATGTTTCTTGACAATGTATGGATATTGTTAGGAGAAAATTGATGTTGGTCACCATGGGGACTCAAAGGGTTAAAAATAGGAAAGATGCCAAGTTTGTACAGGATTTGTCAAAAACTAACAAAGATGTTGCTCCACAAAAGTCGTAGCCTACGTAGCAAGCGTTTCCAGTTGCGAGTTGAGTTATAGCGCGAAAGTTGGAGCGGGAGTAAAAAAAGGGGGAGGGTGAGGGGAGAAGAGAAACTCTCTCCTCCCCCTCCCTCGTCATTCCTTTTTTTTTCACTCTCGTCCCAACTTCCTAGACGAATTCGCGCGGAAATGCTTGCTATGCAGGCTACAAAAGTTGCTGAATTTTACAGATGTTTGTATGCTGAAGGGGGGGGGGGGCAAGTTGGAGCCCCCACCAAACAAATGTCTGAAAAATTTTGTGGCTTTTGGAGTAGTATCTTTGCTCATTTTAATGCATTACTTTCAGACCTTGTCACCTTTAAAGTTTCCTACAGTAGTTTTAAGGTCATCTTTCCAGCAGTGTCAATGGATATTTGCTCAGTGGTCTTAACCAAAACTTGAAAAAAGTGTGGAAGGCTTTAAGCCTCAATATCCACATACAAATTCGCCAAACTGATCTCCATACATTCTCTTAGAGAGTTAGTTGAGAGAATGTGTTCAAAGATCAAAACAGTTTCCTTAAAGGTGATCATTTGATTTATTCCCATAAACTTTTCTTTTTATTATGTACTGCTATTGTTAAGAGAAAATTGATGTTGGTCTCTGGGGACTCACAGGGTTAATAGAGTCTTACTAGACTCAGTGCCAGATCCAGACCTTGAGATGGGGGTGGGGGGGGGGCAGTCATCCAGACCCTGAGTTAAGGGAGGCCCAGTCTCCTCAAAAATGTTTTTTCTCAGTTTGGTCTAAATAAAAGTGGCGGGGGGGGGGAATCCCCCGGGCCCCTCCCCTAGATCCGCCACTGGGACTGGAGATGATTGTATTGACTTGTAGTTGAATCTTTTGAATGGCACTTTACAACAACAAGTTTATTCAGTATTACCATTTTGTACAGGTGTTACCGATTAAAATAACAATAATAAACAGCTAAGTTTAAGGAAATACAGGTATGATGGAATAGTAGAATTAACTATGTTTCTTTCGTCTTTCAAATGCTTGAAAGATGAAATTAGTAGCTAGCCTGCTGATATGTGAATCAGTATTGTTAAAAAGAAAACAGACTTTATTATGGATATTGTAATGTGTAAATAATGTATTTCGGTCGTTGATTTTAATAAAAAGAGTCTTTCTCAAATCATTGTATTGATCACAGTGAAATAATATGTGCAGTTCATTTTCAACTGAATTTTGGCTGCAATGATCACAGATTCTAAGGTCTTCAGGAGTTTTGGGGATTGTAAATCTTCCAGTTTCTATTTTTAAATTATGATTTCCTATCCTAAATTTGGAAGCTACACGCCTATGTTCAGGATTCCGGATATGATTGATGAATTCAGAGTGATTTTTTCATTTTTTAAAGATGGAGTAGAATTTTAGTTTTTTATTTGTTCTTATCAAATTTAGCTGGTGGTTTTTCAGATGTTTTGACAATTATTCTCAAACCTGTTTATTTAGGCAAGATTTTCAAGGTGAATCCAAAATTTGAAAAATGTTCATTGTTATTTGTAAATTTAGAGATAATCTATCTTTCTCGATGCAACATTCGTGAACGTTTGTTTAAACCTAAAAGGCTGCATTAAAAATGAAGTGCATCATAAGATGATCTGTGGGAAGTCAATAATTGTTTGTTGCGAGGTTAATCTGTGCAACTGGAATATAACACCTCCTTTTCCAACAGAGAAACCAAGTAAGTTTTAGAAGTCAGTCCTTGGTCATGATTCCCCTGTAAATGTAGTGCAACTTTGCTCAGAAATTCTCACATGAAACATTCCTGTACATAAGAATGTTACCAGATTCTTGTTTTGTGAGTGTAAGTGATATCATTAAAATGACAAAATGACAAATTGACTGGTGCGAATAATTTTTTAATGGTAACTACAAGATGATTCCATATTTCCTCTCTGTGCTTTGAATGATCGTAATGTATCTATGTATATGTATGTTTGTCGTCCTCTTTGTTTGTTTTGTAGTTTTGATTTAGTCAAAGAAAGGAAAATTGCTTTGCTAATATTAAGTTTCTGATAAGAGCAAATAGGTTGTTTAAAACGAAATTCTCCACCAAAGATTTTGACCTACAATATACAGATATATTTCTGCCCTGTTTACACCTCGTCAGTAACATTCATGACTTGTACATACAGTTATCGTCCTTCTACAGCAAGCAATCATGAGTACAATTCAAAGCCCTTCATGAAAATTATATTTTTCTCTCCAAACAGCAAATTCTTCACTCAAGAGATATACCAATCAAGCTCAAAGCCTGGAGTTCATTCTGTTAAGCATCTTTTCTCCCGTGGCCGTTCTTATAGTTTTGATACTAATTTTCTACTTGGCCTATAAACATCTTCAGAAGCGCCAACTCAATCAGCACCAATACCCACACCTCAGGTACACACACCCTTCAGGAACAGGCCACAGAAGAGGGCCTCATTCAGCACTGAGATGCTGGTCCTGTCGAAAGAAATCAGATTTTCAGCCCTTTGCCCAGCGCACTGCGGCGCAGGATTTGGACTTGATAGCAGTGATTGGAGAAGGGAGATATGGGAAGGTTTGGCGAGGTCTGTGGCATGGAGATGATGTTGCAGTGAAGTTGTTTTACCCAAGCCAAGTGGATTTGTTCAACAACGAAGTCAATGTCACCAATGTTGTGGGAAATCACCAGAATATTCTCAGACTCCAACATTCTCACAGTGCATTCTTGTGGCATAACGAGACGCACAGTTGCATTGTATTAGAGTATCATGCCAGTGGGTCGTTGTACGATTTTCTAAGCCGCAGAACTGTCAATGTACAGGAAATGTGCTCTTTAGCCTTCTCAGCTGCTCGTGGGCTGAGCCATTTGCATGGTGAAATATACCAAAAAGAGGAGACTTTCTCAATTGCGCATCGCGACATCAAATCCAAGAATATTTTGGTGAAGTCAAATCTTACTTGTGCCATTGGAGACTTAGGATTAGCAGTTGTTGACAAATGGAAGGATAAGATCGATCTGAAGGACAAGCGCAAAGGAACACTGCGTTATATGGCTCCTGAGTTACTTGATGATACAGTTATTAAATCATTTGAATCATACAAACGAGCTGATGTGTATGCATTTGGTCTTGTGTTGTGGGAGATTGTGAGGAGAACTTTCACAGAAGGTAAGGTAATGTCTTTTTAAATAGATGTTTGATTTACCGAAAAGGTTTTTCTTTTGCTCTGGCGAAGACATATTAGAAACAACTAATTCCAAAACTCAGAGTAAAAAAGATTAAAACAAACGAGTTTAACCTGACTAAAATCACACCATCGAGCGCCGCGTTAAGGAGGGCATTGCCATGAAACAAAGTAAACCCTTCTCACTAAATAGGGACGAGGGACTGGACCTCCCGGCCATTTACAGTCTTCTATTGGGAATACGTAGGCAACCCAATCGCTTTTTTTACAACGCTGATGAAGTTCGTGGATTCGAACGAAATAGACACAGTTATTTCTAGTATAGATGTTAGATTATTTGGACAAAGACTAGTAAGCAATAATTCCATCAAGATTGGTGGAAAGAACTTCTTGAAATTAGTAAACTAGCTGCCGAATTCGAGACCGATATTGAAAATTCCCGAAGATACATGTATCGCTCCGCAAAGTGGTGAAATTTTTCACGTTTGTATTGTGGTGGTGCTGGTCGGGGGAATAAGTGGTTTTCCTTGGGGCACTGTTGTTTTCGCCTCTCCTCAAGTTTCCAGTTAGACCAAGGGGAATGGCAGACAAAGAGCCACTCTTTGAATTTGCAACCACCGACATTCCAATCACTTATTTGTTATAATTGTATTTTTGTCGACCTCCCTTTTTTCAGGCAAGATACTGGAGCAGTACGCTGTACCATTTCATGACATGGTACCAGGAGAACCAACTCTACAGGACATGAAGAAAGTTGTGGTTGAACAACAGAAGAGGCCATTTGTTTCCAACAGGTGGTCAGAGAATAGTGTAAGTGTCTCCTTTGACTTTATAGACAGTGGTTTTTGTTGATTTGAATAAAGTTTGCGGACCTCTCCGTAAAGTAATTTCCGATGAATTTCAAGCGGGTAATTGGTCGAAAAATAGCTTTGGTAAATTCACATATCCCAAGGGCTAGACTTGCGGGCGCTTTCCATTTAACCAAATCTTTCAAAAATTTGTAAATAGAGGTGGTAAATGGGACAGAAATTTCCCGGAAAAGTTTCCAGAAATTCTGAAAGTTGTTGAAAGTCCGAAATGCGAACCATCCAACCGAAAGCTCTAGAAATTGCGGGAGCAAACTTAAATGGAAAGAAATTTAAACCTCCGGGAAAAAAATTCGAAAATTTTGGTATACCTCGCGATGTTTTCCTCTGTTTTTTTTTTTTTTTAATTTTGGACGATTCTGTTCCACGCGCTTCTGGAAGTTGCCAAAAATTCAAACCAGACGTTTTGTTTGAATGGGAAGCGCCCTGGGCGTTTCCTTCCTCTGTGCCATTATCCTATCTTGTAATATCTTGTTCATAATAGTTGCTTATTCTTGCAGGTCCTCGAGTCCATGGTCAAGTTAATGAAGGATTGCTGGAAGCAAAACGCACCCGCTCGGCTTTCGTCACTGAGAGTGAAAAAGAACTTGTCAAAGTTGATGGAGTTGGTCAAACCAGCTCCAACAAATACCGCTTTATCAGACGAATTCACGTTTATATCAGACGTCAACATCCATATTCCGGAGAGCTACAGTGAAAACCACGAGAATACTGTCATAACCTAAACTTCACAGGGGAACAGTAACGCATGTGAACATTATTCAGGGATTGCAATCGTGACTTGATTACATGTCAGCCTTCTTTCCCGCATATTTAAATGTTGTTGTTTAAAGTTGGTTTCTGTTTTTACTCGCTCCAGGCTCCATTTCGCAGGTGCTGATCCTCATTACACATACATGTATGAAACTGCTTAAATTTTACACGTGACAGAATTGAAATTTTCATAATTATATTCAGTTCCAAATTTCGTTAAACTTTAAAGGATAGTCTTTGTTTTTTATCGGAAAATGCGCTTGGAGAGCTTAGCGCTTTTCCCCGGCGACGGAAGACGAGGAAAATAGTATTAGTTGATTTTTAATGGGTTTTTCGAGTGGCCCCTTACTAGTCTCACGTGGGCAGTGAAGCTTCGGTAAGTGATTTCCTGCGTTCCTGCGTGCCTGCGCGCGCGTACTTTGCTTTTTGATGTCTGTTTTAATCAAGACTGAAAAATTCAATAATGATAGGAAAAAAAAAATAATAGGGAAATCGTGTAGATAAGTTTTATTTGTACAGCCGTCTCATGAAGGATAATTTACCTTTGGGTAGTATGTCGTATTGCTTGTTTAATTATCTGGTATATTCTAAGAAAAAAAAACTGATTACCCATGTACTAGTATTTGTAGGACTGGCGCCAGTTGTTCGAAAGGCGAATAGCGCTGTCCATTGGGTAAATAACTATCCACTGGATAGCGCAATTGGTTTCCCTAATACTTATCCGATGGATAGCGCTATCAATCTTTTGAACAACCGGAGCCTGCTCGATAAAACTAACTGCTTTTTGAAACTGATTGACTTATGTGTAAATCTAGTTACAGGGACGTAAGTAGTTATGTTTCCTTTTTCCGTAAAAAGCAAAATCTGCTAAATATTGAAAGCAAAAGCTCTTTGAGCTCTAAAATGGATAATAATAGCGCTTTTAGTGATTTGGATTGAAGTAATTTCCATTAAATGGGTCATATTTTGTACCAAATAGCGGTTGACTTAGTCCTGTGTGTTTTGATTCTCTCCTTGACTGCAGTGCCGGCCCTTAAGACTAGCCAGCCTGGGAAACAGTCGCCTACTGGGGATAGCCTTAGCACCCGATGCTCCCGCTTTCCCGCCTGCCCGCTTCCCCCCCCCCTCATTTCCCCCTCCCAATGGGAAACAGTTGCTGCGTAAGCTCAAGACCTGGCTGGCGGATAATTTCCTGTAACAAAATTAGCCCAGTACTCAACTCCTACCCTGTTCTTTGTCCAAACAACTTTTGTGGGTTCCTACGTCGGCTTGCTCAGCGGCCTAAGAGGCCGACCATTTGACTTTTGAGCCGGGGCGGGGGTGGTAAGGATGATTTTGTTTGGGTAAGAATTTTTTCCCTAAACCTCTGGTGTTAGAATTTTTCGTTGGGATACAACGGCATTTTTAGTCAGGTATTTCCTTGTAAGTTTTTTCCACTCGACATAGTGAAGTTATCCATATATACTCGGACCCCACCTCGAAAGTTTTGTCCGCTGAAAGGTGCAAGACTGGGCCGAGCGAGGGATTTTCAAAATGGCGACTTTGTATTAAGTCGTGGTGGCTGTGTGTCGCAGCTGTGCGGTAAAGAACTAAGGGAAAACGAAGGATGTTATTGCAAAAACATGTATAAATTAAAGACGAGGGGCAGCAGACGTGAAGGTGAGTTATGTTTTTGTTACTCTGGTTTCATTTACTTGCTTGCTTGAATAACAAGGAAGCTTATCTGGCAGGCGCCGTCCTAGACTTCCACACACAAGTCGGCCTCTTTTTTAAAATGAGTATTTAAGTGGTAAAGATGTATCTTTTTATCTGTATTGTGGCGTAGATGTTTGTCAGTAAGCTCAAAGCGAGAGAGCCATGCTTTGATGGGGTCGCGACCCAGCGAGCGAACAAGATCTAGACCGCGAGACTACGAAGGTTTTTGTGCAAAGTCTACTGAGCACGCGGCTTGAAATACTCACATGCAAGCTTTAGTCTCGGATAATTCAAGGTACGAAAAGTGCAATCAAGGACATGGTTTAGTAAAGAGTGAGAGTAGTAACGTCCACGGAAGCCACTCAAAAATGTAAAGCGACTAGTTCTTTCCATTTTGTCAGTTTAGTTCATTTGGCCATTCATCCATCCTTCCATCCATTTGTATTTTTTTCTACGGTTGTTTCCCCATATCCATTGATTTCCTTTGTAGGTTTCAAAGTTCAGTTCATTCCATTAGTTAGTGTATCTCTTTTATTTGTTTGTATTTATTAATTTTTAAAAAAGTCTGTCAGTGACTTTGTATGTTATTCCTTATGTTCACATGTTCTTGTTATAACACATGCAATCAACTTTACACTCTCTATAATTAGGGACTGTACCTCTTAAGAATCCAAAAGCATAGCTCTTGCATGGGTAGCAAATATCAGCAAAACTTAGATATTTGCAAGGCACTTGAATTCTAGGATAACCAATCTTGTGGTCTCCATAGGACTTGGATTCTTCGCAGCTGTTACAGGGGCACCCAACGAGGATATAGTTCAAAACCACTTAACATAGCATTGTTGAACGTATTTTAGTATTCAAACGGTAGATATAGGCATATTTTTATCCCCTAAAAACTTTTCATCTGTTCGGATTTCCTAGCTGAAAGTCTAGTGATCCGAAAATTGTAGGGATAAAAACTTACCTTCTCGAAAATCTTAGCCAGGAAAAGGCTCTCGAAAATTCTAGGTGGCCTTATTTAGGGTCAGAATCCGTTAAAAATGGGTAATTATACCATTTTGTAGATGTTCGAAAATCCTAGGAGAGGCAGGCAAGCAAGAAATTTTACAACAAATGCTCCGAAAATTCTAGAACTCAAATCGTCTTCCGAACAGATATTTTCGCGAAAATTGCCGTTGGGTGCCCCTGCTGTTAGTGAGATTTAAATGTACTGGGCATATTCAGTCAGTAGCAGGAAACTGAGTCGCTGGAACCACTTTGCCTCTGTCTTATAAGCTGCAGAGAAAGATACCCGGCCCTAGCCCTCTTATTAGTTATCGAAGGCTATGGCTCTCCCATCGCTTCAACAAGTATCCAGGAAACAGAAAACCGATATTTGCAAAGACCATTGAATTCTAAAATGATTTTGGGGGTGCTGGTACAAGTGTGCAGGATGGTGGGCGTACTTTTGGCAGCAAAGATTGCTTAGCGTAATGACAAATTATTTCTTGTAGGGTTGCATTTTAGTTCTCTAAAGTTTTTGGATCTCAGTCTCTGCTGTCATCTACTTTTCCAGCCCAGTGTATTTGTAAGCCATGGAAAATGTTTTTGTATTAGAAGGACCTCATCCTTGAAATCCGAAGTTTGTGGGTGGAATGTATGCAGACAACTGAACAAAAAGCACTGTTTTTGATTTTTGTAAGTATGACATTTTTATTCTTTATTGGTTAATACCATACATTAGAGCCCGTAAAACCGGTTTAATATAGCAAATTCTATTGCAAGCTTTTCACAAAAGCAAATCGTAATTACTCTTTTAAAATCCCTTGACAAAAGGATCTTCAATAAATTGGGTGATATAATTTGAACAGCTAACAAACGTTCCAGTATCAATGTAAAACTGTAGAAACTCAGATGAAGTTTTATTCATAACAGAGCTGTCACTAAGGGCTTCCCGCTGGCTACTGTGAGCACTATTCCTGGCTACTTTGAGAGAAAACAAAAGGAAATTCGAACATGAAGAACTTTCTAGTTATTCAGTTTCCTGCCTACATACCCAGCAACTTGAAATCTTAGTGACAGCCCTGTTAGTAATAATGCCCTTTTAAGTTATCTTCTATAATTTATTATTATCTCTGAGTATTGGGTTAAATGGTTGGATAGTGTAATGGTTGTAGAGTTTTGATTGTGAAATGTAGTACAACTATTAAGAAACTCTCCGAAAGGAGTCAAAACCACAACTTAATGTACAAGGGGCATTCCCCAGTGGTGTCATTTGACTATTGAGTGAACAGCATCAAATTTCTCCTTGTAATATCAATGCTTTGTAATACAAGTGGTCATGAGAATTACGAACATGATCACACTAGATGAATTTGCTTGATATTTTATCAACTTCTCCCCACTGCTTCTGTAGGAAACGAATAGGGGCAACAAATGAGAATTCCAATTTTGATCTTATGGTTTAAAGGGTTAAGGACTGACCTTGGGACGTATAGTATATTTATTCACTTATCTGTTCAGCATTGCCATTGTAGGCATCGGGGTTTCATGGGAGCCTTCCTCTGACACTAGGAACTCTTAGATTGCTTGGCAATCAACGACGAATTATGATTGGTCAATGAATTTCAAAACAATCAGCAAACAATGATAGCTCGCAAACGAGCAGATGATTGTGAAATTTTTGGCACTAAAAGCTGTTGCTTTCGTTTCCAAGGTTGTTGAGTTCTTAAAGTCAGTCTCCCTCTACGGTCGTCTGTTCGTCCCCCAAACTCCCTCTGCTAAGTCTTCTAAGATATGACGGGTTTATCTTAAATCCTAATCGTCGGAGTTTTTCTCTGAAATTTCTTTGTCTGAGAATTTGTTTATCTGGAAATGTTTTTTCTTTTGATAAGGAGAATCGTTAAACGATTTATGACTTAATACTTCAAGAATTGCATATTCTTTTATATAGAATTTAAAATCTATGCTGAATGAGAAGATTTCACAGTTGACGTAAGAACTGTGACCATATGACTGAAAAAAATGATTTTTGTTTACATAGTTATTTAAAGTCAATAGCTACATGTGCGCTATGGAATTGTCCAAATTGCTTCTACAAGTAGCCTCCCATGCAGACGTTCTTTGGGCTTGGTCATATGTTCCCACCCCACGAGGATTTTTTTCCTATAAGTCTAAGGGCTTTACCTTTTATGAGGCCTTTTCTGACCTTTCTAACCTTTCTGACCTTCCGAGATTTGGAAGTGCGCTGTGATTAGTCTGCGTTTTCATCCGCTCTTTTCAACAGACTTAACCTGCAAGAAAGCTCTCCTGGGGTTTCCGGGGCTGCGGGGTTGGTGAAGGTAAGAGGGAAGGACTCCTTCCTTTTTCTCCCCGCCGCCAGAGCGCCCGGGAGAGCTTGCTCGCAGGCTACAGCAGACCTTCGTATGGCAGGAACGCGTGACGAAGCCGAAGAACGTGTGCGTGGGAGGCTAGTCTACAAACTATAGTTATGAAACGTTCCCTTTTTCCAATTAAATCGTCACCTCCACGCCCCACACGTGATCTGGTGGGGAGGGGCATGGAGACTGTTCATCGCTCACTGTTCTCCACATATTGTTTTGGGCCCCGTCTTCCGCCCGTGACTTGTCTCCATAGCAACTAGAAACCGTCTCAGTCGCCTCACAATTTTTGACGTCTTTTGGGTTCAGAAAACTGTCCATAGAAGCGAAACGACGCAGTGTTTTTGACGATGCTTGTGGAGCTGGGTAAAAAAATGTCACTTCTGTTTCGAGTCTGTCTCCGAAGAAACAATTTGACCTTTCATTTACAAGGACTTTTGCATAAGGCAGTGTACTACTGGTCGCTCTTTTCAGTTTTTCCTTTTCATTTGGCACTTCCGTGTAGAAACTTTCCTCCATACCTTTGTAAATAACGCCATTTTCAGAGAATATTTTGTTCCTGTTTCGGCCTGGATTTTGAATGTTCACTTGTTTAGATTCTTGTTTCTTATCACACTTTTCAGCCTCTGGCGTGTAGAAGAACGGCAGGTCGGTTGGTAGACGGCACAGTCGTTTTTTCGGCGTCAGGCGCTTTACGTTTGTCGCCTCTAACGTCAGGTAGCTTGACGCTGCACTCGCTTTTGGTTTCTCCGTCGCTGTTGTAGTCAGTTTCTCAGACTTATCACCAACGTGGAAATCTTTGCTAGAAGTTTTTTCAACATGAGAGCGACAAATTGACACTTGACCAGTAATGGCGACTGGCTCATTCGATTCTTTATCTTTTGAGGTGTTCGGCAAATCTTCTGCTTCCCTGACCTTTCTCTCGCCATGGCTGTTCCGTGAAGCCGGCACATTATACAATGATCTTGACCGGGTCATTGTGCTGGGACGCCTCGTTTTCCTTTCAGACTGCGCAGACTCAGTGGTGGTAGTATTCACATCTGCCTGGCCATCTTGAAATTGACGTTCATTCTCCAACGTAAAAGTGACGTCATGCATTGACCTGCTTCTTCGGTGTTTGTATTTGCCGCGTGATCTTTCGCCTCGGCGAAGAAAAGATAGCTTCGAGAAAAGGTTTCTTTTAAGTCTTCGAGGCTCTTTGTCTTTGCTGCTGTCGCTTTCTTCAGACTCCAGAGAGTCACACTTTTGCTCTTCGCTTTCGGAAGTGGTGAAGTGTCCATTTTCCGCCACTTTTTCCTTTTTTGCCAAAGTCATTGCTTTTTCAAGCCAATCCTGTAGTTTTTTGTTGACTTGGTTGGCAAACTCTTCCCGATCTTCTAACACTTGTGCTCGTTTTATGTCGAAATCTGTTGGAAAGCCCTCTATAGGATGATCAACAACATCAATTTCGCTGTCGATCGTTCCTACTTCCAACGATGTTTTCTTGCTTGATGATTCAGATTGTGGTTGTTTGATTTCGCCTTCCTCTTTGTCAGAGTGAAAGGCTTCGCTTTCAGAAGACCTCTCTGATGGCGTTTTAGACGCCCCGGCCCGAGTGGCATCACGCAGCTTTTCTGTAAAGTACGCCTCAAGTTGATCGAGTGATTCACGCTGCACAGGTGCTCGATCATGTGACTCGTACCCACCTCTCGGTTGGGGCTCGTTTTCACCGAGAGAATCTGAATCGGAGCCTGGACCCATGGCAGAAAGTTCATTCAGGGCACCTAACAATTCTTGCATCTCAGTGCCCAAGCTTCCGCGTCGCTGGTCAAGCTGCCTGACAGGGTCACTTGCGCTTGCGCGTAACGGCTGTCTAGGTGATCCCTGAAGATCGTTCAGTGAATTTAGCAGCAGATCCATCTGACTTTCGACCCTGTTTAACTTCTTGCGCTGCACAGGGCCATCCGTAAAGTCGCAATGATCCATCGACTCATTGTTCTCTTGTGTGGTGACCGGTGATGGATCTCTAGCTGGTTCTGGGCTCGCTGACTGAGTTTTCCTTTTAAAAGAGTTGGAAAATTTGGTGATTTTATTCATTAACTTGCCTCGCCTTGGGCAAGAGTCGTAACTGGTACCTTCAGTCTGTTCCTCCATGACTTCACTCCGTGATGACCCTAAAGGACTGGGAGGTGTCATCCATTCGGATGAAAGAACATCACCGCTAGAGCCCCTGCGTCCCATTTTGAGGGGACTGAGGTGTTTTCGCTGTTTATTCATATTTGGCGTATGCAGTATGCCTTCAGAGCCTCTTCTTGCTAGCATGTCTAGACTAACAAGTCTGTCCATTGTAACTGGACGCAAAGCACTGGGGCTTTTCGGTCTCATTTGACTTTGCACTTCTCTGGAAATGTCTTGGCTGGAGACACTTCTTGCCATCGCCATAGGACTTTTTGGCGCCTTGAGCGGACTGGCTCGTCCGCCCAGCAAAATCTCTCCACTGGAACCCCTTCTGCCCATATTTGGTGATGGTTTTCCCGTTTGAGCACTCTTAATACTCAACAACACCTCTCCACTTGAACCGCACCCGTCCATATTAGGCTTGCGTTTGTCTGTTACGGGAGTTTGATTGGCGTTGATATCAAGCGCTTGAACCGCCTTAGACTTTAACTTCCGCAAAGTGGGTGGCGATTGAGGAGTGACCGGAAGTAGCCTCCTTACTCTCGAGGACTCCTCCTCATTGTTAGGGGAGCGTGGTAGATTTCGACCCTCCTTTGCACCATTCGGGCTTTTTCTTCGTGGTCGAGGAGAATTTGGGTTGGACGCGACACCCGGTTCTTCTGGAAGTGCTCGGTGGGGTATTGAGCTTGTTGCGCTCCCTGGCACAAGTTCCTGTAGGGCACTGTACAAATCCCGTATTTCGCTGACAGATGCAGAAACCCGGCGTCTATCTAACAGGGCGGCAGTTCCTTTCGGATCCACCTCCTTGTAGACTGAGGGCTGCGTCATGTTTTTTGCGCCATGAGGAACTGGAGGCGCCGGGACTTCTATAGAAAAAAAAAGAAAATGGATGAGGTTAGAAATGGCTTAAGTCCTTCTAAACACTTCACTTATTATATATTTGCCATGAATACTTGCATTATACAGGGTAGTAAAGATCTAACAGAAATGTTCATAGTGGTAATGATGCTGCTGATAATTATAATAATAATAATAATAATTTGTAGTGTACATTAGGTTTAGTCACAAAAGCGTCGAAATTCCGTTATTGAACTTTTAACATTATTCTTGACGAACTGTTGTATGGATTTATCCTGTCAAAGTTTGCCTTAACGTCAAGTTATGGACTTCCGAAGCTAGAAATTTCCAACTCATACGAAAAAAGGATGATTGTCAACTGAATTTGTTATTTCTCGTGTTAGATACACTGTAGCGACCTTGAATTAGTGTCCTCATAAGCGAGATTCCGTAACAGTGGGAGTTAATTTCAGTCAAACATCTCTAATTTTAATATTTTTTTCCTTGGATTTAGCTGCTGTCCCTATTATCGGGGTGTCCGTTATAGCAGGGCGTGCGAAAGGCGAAAGTTTACTGTTTTGCTAATAGCATTTTAAGGAAAACAATGAAAAACTTCAGAACCTGAAAGCGAGGATCGGAATCTTAAATTCTAAAATCAACGATCACTTTCAAAACGTGCTGGGTCATTTTAACCTTATATATATTATAGCTATCTAAAATGGTAGATAATTATTTTGCATAAGGTTTTGCCTTGACTGGTGAAACAGATAAATGACCAACTTAAAAGTCATTTAGTTTGCTTTGTATTTGACTTGTAATCTGAACGTGAGGTAACTTGAACAAAATGCGTTCCTACTTCATCAAACCTTCAGTAAGAAACTTCGTGAGACGAATTTTAGAAATACATTTTTGCGTAGCTTTTCATATTCAAGAACAAGTTCCCTCACGAATTGCTTAGGGCCTGTTTACATGGAGTGGGGGACCCCGGTCTAGTGGGGTTGGTTTCTTTTGTTTTCACGCTCTAGGGGACACAAAACAAAAGAAACCTACCCCACTAGACCGGGGTCCCCCACTCCATGTAAACAGGGTCTTAGTCACCATCTTCTTTCGACATCCGCTCAAATATTTCGATTTGGAATGTAAGTGGTAACATTAGATATTTATGAAAATTGGACTCCTGTCTGTTATGAGTAATAGCTCGATACCTTTCTTTAACAGGATAATAGCGCACGACGGGGTCTCTTGTGGAGTGGAATATTTAATTAAACAAGTGAATAAGGGAATTTGTTTTGAACCATCTTAAGTGGCGTTTTAGATGAACCTGTTCATCTGCGTCGGTTTTGTTAGAGTTTTCGATTTCAATTATTTTAGGACAAATAACGTTTTGTACGATACAAATAAAATCTAAACGATTTGGCTTTTATTTAATCAAAAAATTCGTTTTAAATTGCAAAGTTTTGAATATTTTGGGTAAATCTACATATTAAATCGGAAAGAAATTCACACGACCACGAAAGATAGAAGTTGAAAAGTTTGTCTGAACTCTGAGAAAAATATGATCAACAACCTGGCTAAAGAAATAATAATAACAATAACAACAAATTCGAACAATTGACCTAAACATTCCATGTGATCTGTCTTCTGAAGTTTCTAGAATCAGTATTTATGTGGTCAGCAAAGCTTGATAGGAAACCGTGCCGCGTAACCCGTAACACTTAGCATGCATGTTAACAACAAAATCATGTTCTCAGGTTTCCTTAAAAATTATTCCTCGAATTCATCTCGCAACAACAGAAAGATGATAAAACCAAAGACAGTGTCACAGTCACCTACTCGGAATTTGCAGTCTGCTTTTATCCATGTCTGCCCTTGATATTGAATTTATCAGACCACCTTGAAGTGACGCTATGATGACATGAGCAATCTAAGTAACGAGTCCATCGAGGCATCTCTTGAGCGATATTAAGGTCTATTTAAACGTATTTGCAGTATTTCTTGTAAATCAATTTTCTTAGTTGCGTGAAGTGTTTTGATAAGTAACAATTCCACCTGCTGAGTCACGTGATTTTTCATTAGCTAGGAGATAAAAGATGACCGCAGGAAGCTGGCAAATTATAAAACTCGTATTCTTTTATAGCTGTCAAAAGTGTCAAGGATACCAAGTGGAACGACCTTTCACAGGGGTCATTTGTCAAATCATTCCTACTTTTTGCTGGTTTTAAGATAAACACGACCGGTTTATATCAAAGGCGAGTTAATAAAATGTGATCTTGAAAAAGAATTCTTCGTTTCGCCTGTGAATTCATTGCATGCGTAATGCAGCAAAAAGTGCAAACCAATTATCAATCTCATTTACAATGAATAATACTTGAGGGTAATTTCCAGTTTAAAATTTTTACTAGCTTTTTTTTATCTCTAATCGATTCGTCGAAACTTTGTGTCAAGAGTTTTAACGATGTTCGCTTCGTTTGAAATGTATATGATACACAAACGAGTTTCTGTTATCATAACTTGCTATATCTCGGGTAAAAATATTTACTAGGTTAATGAATATTTATTGCCAAACAAATTTCGTTCGAATATAAGGATAATCTAAAGGCGCGACCAAGTTTTTGAAGCCAGTGCTCCAGTTACAATTTTTATTATTTTCGACACTTTTTATAAAAAAAATTAAATCTTAGTCTCAATATAACATATTTTTTGGTCACTCTTATGATAATTCTAGTCTCAAGGTCTACGATATTTAAAAACAGCTCTCGAACACAATGTAACGTGTTATGTAACTTCACCTATCCTTTTCGTGCCTTGTGGGACATAAGGCGTCAAATTACGTGTTATATAACGGGAGGTGTAAAATACAAAGGTGTCTTTTTCGTGGCTACACGACATTTTCTCTTGATTTGGATTGCGATTTAAGCGAAAGAAAAGGTCGAGGCAAGGGGGAAGAGTCTTGTAAAAATAAGTTTGCTAAAATTTTGAGCGAGTACTGTCAGATACTTCCAGGAGCAACACCAACCCCACCAAGAGCATGGTTTGAATGAGTGGGAGGAAAGAAAAAAAAGTAATTTGTTAAGCAGTTTTTTCTTTCGAAACACGATGAAAAAAACCTGAGAAAGTGCAAGTCGCAATCTTTCCCCTTGTCTTTGTTCAGGACGAAAGACAACCGTTAATAATTTCTTACTCGCAGTGAGATCCTTCGTTAGAAATTAATAAAATGAGGCGTCGAGGGCGCGACTGTTGATTGGATTCAGTTTTACACGAGGATCGTTTCATATCGCTGCATGAATCATACGATATAATTTTATATCAACCTAATTTGAATGATGATGGCAGTCCTATGACCATTTAAGAAGTCAGATAGTTGTTTTTGTCCCCCGTCTATTTAGCCATATATTAAATAAACATTGATATCTGTAAATCTGCTTATAAGATAATCTATGCCTGAGGACAAATAATAACTCTACTTCAAATAAAAGTAATCCATGGCACACACAGGCAATTATTAAGCCTTAATTTTGTTTTAAGACTCGATTCAAGAATCGTTCAATCTAAAAATAGCACTTCTTTAACTAAAAATGCCAACTTTTGTTGTTGCACGACTTGTGGTAACCAAAATATGTGGGCATATTATTTCGCCCGTTTTGCTGCTTGCGGGTCACTCATACCATACTCAATTGAATTTTTGCGATATTTGTTATCGTTTTTTCACTAGAATAACCTTTTCTTCCCGTTCAACTTCTCATTGCTTAAGTTTTCAGTTATTAAGTGGTGTCATCCGCTCCATGTGTTTGCTCTAAACGCGAACTCTTGAACAGGAAAAAATTCAACGACAAAAACTGCTAGGTCTTACCTTCTGCAGTAGTTCTTCTAAGCACGCGAAATGCTTTCTCGCTGTTTCGTCGGTTTCTCTCCCAAAGTGGAAGTCGCATTTTTGCAAACATAAGTGGCTATATTCATCTGTGAAAATCTTCGAATTGGCGACGAGAAGTTGTAAATTAAGCAGCGCTGATACGTTGACGTCCTACTCACGGCTATGTATTGTTTTCAAATTAATTTGTGTAAACTGTCAAAGATTTGGGTAAACGAAACCACAATGTACAAAGACAATGCCAGAGGCAAACTAGGGCGCCTATTGTAAACAAAAAACGAGTAATGTTGACTGGCTAGGTATCAAGTGATAATAACAAAATGACAGAATGGTAAATTCACGGGCTGGCAGCAAAAATTATTCTTATCTGCTTTTTAGACAGTAATTTGTGTCTACTTTCGTAAGCTGTCTGGTGTTAGCATGTGACCAGCCTCATAAGCAAGATCCGTATAGATAAAAATTTCATGTCTTTTTTATTCTTTTTTTCAGTCCCTTCATATCAAGATCAAAAAACAAATCACTAAAACAAGTTGGTAAAACGAAGGCAAGCTTCATACTGCGATTTTAATACAAGTACAAACTGTTTTGAAAATTGAAGTCAAAGAAAAAACCGTAATGGAACTTCTTGGAGTTATTTGTACAGGAATAAAACCTGCAATTTAACCGTCTACAAATTTCTAAAAACATACGGCCAGGTCACCGCACAAGCGCGTAGCCGTCATATCGTCAGCCCCAGTCCCTTTCAAAATCTCTCTCTAACTTCAATGATGTCACTGTATTAAGAGGCCAACCCATCGCGCGCAGCATAGTAGATAACACCGATGCTCGTCAAGTGAGTGATTATATATGAAGCACGTCGTTTAGGGACGCGGGTGCAGTTTTCACCCCGGCATCACGAGAACGAATGGGTGGTAAAAGGATGTTGAAATATTACTCAGTGTGGCGTTCATGTCCAAAGAAAGCGCAGGGTCCCCCAAACTGATAGTTTTTTGCTTTGTGGAACATGCGTAAGAAGTCACAATACTGACAATCCATTTAAATTCTTGACTGTCCTTTCTTCGACCATGAGAGATCCTTTTATAACTTTGTAAGCTTCGAACCGGCTTTAAGAATCAAACCAGCGTTCATGTGAATGAACTTAGACAGCCAGACAAGGCAATTAGTGAACCTTTAAATTATCTATGCCTCCTTAACGAAACAACAATAATACCCTTGGGGCATGAACGGTACGATGAACTGCAGAATTTATGAGAGCTTTTTTTTTCAAAGCGCATGGTAGATATCTTGGTTACTGGTATAGTAACGGTGCAGCGTTCTTTAATATTTTGTATGTTGTCTTTGTTATATCGCTAAAAAATTCATCCAGTCAAATGTTAAAAAGTAACAGTCACACTGAATGAAGTGCATATACCTCGCTCTATCCAAAGCATTAGGGGAGTGCGTCAACTCTTTTACTCTTTGACCAAGTTGTGGTGATATGATGTGCTATTCTAACTTCTGCATCTGTGGACGAAACCCTATTGTGTTACCATTCAAATGGAACCTCTTACACAAAACTTTTGGTCAGTACTATCTAAATCGTATCATTTTACAGAACGAATTTTAAAATTTTTGAAATTTTTACTTAATTTCGGACTGGGAGGCCTATAAAACTACATATTCAAAGCTTACCAATTGTGGACTCGCTGCTTTCAAATCCAAACTGATCACAATTATCGTAAGCCATTTGATTTTCACGGTTATGTCTACGAACTTAGCCTGACGTTATTACATGGCATAATTCTGCTAAATGCATCTGTTATCTTCTTAAACCAAGTTGTCTTCTTTTCTCGTTTGAAGCGTGCGATATTTACAAAGAAAGTTCTCAACCTACGCTAAACACATTGGAAAGAAAAACAAAACGAAGCGAATATTGATATTTTCACTGTTTTGTGACGTAGAAAGGTTAATTGCTGTATTAGGTGCCGATAATTTTAAATTTCTTTTGATAATATCACAAAGAAATAAATCGCCATTAATTAGTTCTTTTGCATTACTTTTCTATATTCTTTGCGCTTGACAAAAGAAAATGTAGATGAAAGTGCTAATAATGCTGATAAACTTTAATTAAAGGCTTATAAAGTACAGGACAGTGAAAAAAGAATCATAAATTCACTGGTCTCTTACCTAGTGGAAATAGCCTAACTCGATTGAAGGGCCGATGCATGGAAATAAAAACTAGGTGATAATATCTCTGGATATATGTGAATTAGATTAAGTTTATAAAGAATGATGTAAAACTATTACAGTAAGTGCGCCCTTGAGTCTTTTGTCCTTCTTAGGTGACGTTGAATGTCTATAGACAATCAGGTATTTTAAAAGCTGCTTGTATGGACGGCTCTCGATCGTCCATAGAACGTTCCTATAGGCATTAGGTATTTTTGGTAACGTACAACATTAATCATTGCGTCTTCGTAAGAAGAGAAAAACGGCTTCTGTTGGATTTACAAAGTGTTACAACTTGTCAAAGAGGGACAATTTTATAGAGCACAGAAAACTTCCATAGTAAATATTTGTGCCTTGCCAAGCGCGGGAAAACGCGTTTCAGCTAATTACAATTTTTGTGTAGTTTTTTTTTCTGATTGGTTTATAAAGTGGCGCAATTTTCCTTCTAGCCAATCACAACACGGGCGGACGGTCAAATGGACCAATCAGAAATTGAAGCCGTGCCAAGTAGCGCGGGATGTGCGATCTAATGTCCCACTTAATCGGGTTTTCTTCTTGGTCGGGTTGAGTATGAGTTGTTATGGAAACTAATACCAATTTTGTAATAAGTTGTGAGAGGTTTAAGCTAATCACAATTTAAGGTAACAATTCTAAATAAAAGCCAATCAAAAAGTTACTTTGGACATCCATGACCTCCCAACAAAGTACTAATAAATAACCATGGATAAAACTTGAAATTGAAGTCAGATAGCGATACAGTGTTCATTGATAAAGGTTAAATTTGTCTTAGATAGATAGATAGATAGATAGATAGATAGATAGATAGATAGATAGATAGATAGATAGATAGATAGATAGATAGATAGACAGATAGATAGATAGAGACATAAAGACATTACAACAAAAAAAAGGTATATAAAATATAACAATAAAAAGGTAAAAAGTATAAAATTGCTACCATAACTAACTAATTAACCACTACTAAGCGCAGAAAACGTGACTAAAAATGAAAGATTAGTTACCTTCAATCTCCACTGATATTTCGTTGCTATTTACTTTGACCATTTTGTCTTTCCCTTTTTTATCTTTGGTAGATTTCTGCAATAAATAAATAGGCATATAAGTAAATAATTGCATATGTATGCACATTTATAAATTTTCACTCACGTGATCGGCAGCTATGCAAATTTCTTAAAAGAAAAGAAAGTTTTTGCATGAGAAAAGAGTTTAATCCCCACAGGATTTTCTTAGAACACCAAAATGGCCACTGTTGCATTGTTTTGTACACCAGTATGACGGCCGTGACGTCATGTGAAAACGATTTTACCGCCGAATGCCCTAATTAAAATACTAACCACTAAAACAGACCGTTGAGCGGGTTTTATATCGTGGACGATGCTGTTCGGTATTTTTTGCATATGCAGTAATACAAATATTGTCGGCTTCTGGGGCATGCAGTAAATATAAGTGTTCGTGCACGGCACCTGATTGGGTGCGTAGATCCGAAAAAAAAAAAACCGGCACTCTTTTTAAAGTTCACTCTGAAACGTGCTTCGTAGAATAATGAAACCAATATCTTCCTGCATTATTCATGTTGTAGTTTAACTAGCAGTATAGGAGGCAATATTAATTTTAGATTAAAATTATAAAGAAAATATTCTTCAACACCAACAATTTGTTGAAAGTTTAGCAGAACTTTCAGAACCCACCCGGATCCCTTCATCAGTGATCACGTTTGCTGATATAAGCTCTGCTAAACTTTCAACAAATTGTTGGTGTTAAAGAATATTTTTTGGTAATATGATGTCCCAACAGAAGAATCTCCACTCTGTCATAGATTAAAATTAAAATAGGCAAATTATTAGAAAAAATTCTCTGTTGCTGATTAGCTTAAAAATCGAATACAGTTATAAAACAGGTATTACAAATGCTGATTGTATAGCTATCCAGTACATGTGTATTTTGGCGAAGGAAATTCGTCGAAAGATATTGTAGTGTAATTCGTACCGAGTCTCGTTATGTGCATGACCTGGAAATCTAACATCACAATTCAAGTATATGCGAACGATGATTCGATCAGCAAATCAAGTGGTAAAAAAAACAACAACAACAACAACGCCTCATCCAAGGTTAATGAAGTGGTTCCTAAAGATATCTTGTTGACTTCTTGTACCGTGTTTCCCCGTAGTTTTTGTCGTTTGAAAAGCTTACTGAGACGAGACTCCAGTAGTAAGTGGCAAAATATATTACATCTAGAAACAATTTTTGCTTTCAGACTTATCAAATAAACAAAATGTTTAATATCAAAATTGAAAACTACAATCTTACGAGCTTTTCCTTTAAACAGTTTTTAAAGTGGTTTTGATTAACACCAATTCAAATTTTGCTATTAGCTCAGATACAAGTAACGATACCAGGTAAGCTTCATAGAGTGATTAGAATAATTAATAACCTTTTTGGGTTTATTAGTACTGGAGACTCAAAGAACCAAATAACCAAAGAATCAAAGAACCGAGACAGAAGCTTTTATTAGCTGATACTAATTGCATTTACATTTTTTGCCGGGAGTGCATGATTTTCAATTGACTAAAAGTTTTGGTACCAAGGCAAAGAACCAAAAAACTCGGTAAGAAAGTCTCTAAGGATGTTTTGAATTGACAAAGTTCGTTTGGATTCGCCACAGAATTTCATTCGCGGCGAAAGTGCGCTCAAGAATTGCTCAGAAACTGCCATAGTGCATTGTGAGAAGAACTGGTATCTCAAGGAAAGTTCAACACCTTGTATGCTGTTAGATGTTCAATTATATAATTGGAAATAAATATCATATCAACTGAAGTCTGCATTATTGTTTCGTGTAAATGATTAAGGTGTGGATCAAGAATACATCCACAAAGTATGCATGTCGAGAGTAACTGTGAGAAAATTTGATCGTCAGTGGAAACTGAATTTCAAAGGAAGTACATACCCTGAACTGCTTATTTGATGTGATCCTTTTCTCCTACAATTTGACAAAGCCATGAACTGATCTCATACACTTCACTTGCTTTGGCCTTTCGATTGATTATGAAATTTAAGAAATACTTGTCTCTTGATTTTAAGCTTTCAATATCACGGAATCCGCCGTGACGTTTCGAAGCTATCTTATGCTGACACTCTGTAGTACGAAAGTAAAGCACCCTTTCCGTTTCGCATGACAAGGCGCATGATCTATTTTTGATGGCGACAATGGAGTAAACTGTTCGTTTTCTTTGAAAACATGATAATGTCAGCGAGAAGATTAAGTTTTGTTATGCCAGTTAACATTTTCCGGCCTTGACAAAGGCATTGTAGACCACTTTAATTATAATGTGGTCCCAAGGGCTTTACACAAAAACGACGGGGAAACTAGTGTGTGAGCTATTTTTGCTGAAGATTGGTAGGCTATCTGCGTCATTTTCTTGTTGATCTCGACAAAATAATTTTTGCTTAAATTTATTCAGCTTGTTTGTCTCTTAGTTTTTTCCAACAAATTCAGCGTTATTATCACCTGACGCGAAGACGATTGCGCAAGATTAAACAGCATAGCTAATCAGCCTTCTCCTTGCAGAAAAAAAAACCGTGATTTTAAAACTATGAGGCAAGTAATTGTAACCGCGAAATATCAATTGTAATGTCTTGATGTAGCACCCAATTCTCCCTGCCGGTACTACATGAAATGCTTGGTAGATAAAACTTAAATCGATTCGGAGTAAGGGTGCTTTTGTTTCGGAACCCTTGATGCTTGTGTTTTTTTATTGTAAACACAATACTCTCTAAGGGGGTGTTCGGTTTCCATTACAAAAAAGAGCAATTAGGTGGTCGCTTTACAGAAAATATTGCTCGCGCACGCTTCAAATAAAGCGGTAACGAAACTCACGTCACGTAACAGTAAATGAACATATTAATAACAAAAAAATAATACAAACAACATCTTAAATAAATGTTAAGAAACAAACAGGTGCCCTTGTTTTAGTGAATTTCGTGTTTTAATTCTTTGCTCGCTAAAAGAATACAAATTTCAACAATCTGTTTTTCAGGTAAATATGATGCCTTATCATGTTTAGAAGGTTTAATATTTTTAATCGTTTTTACTTTTCATGGATCGAAGCTTTCCCTTCATAAGCACATTTCAGATTACCGGATGGGTGGTTGTGATGTCATCACTTCGTTCTGACATATTTGTTCTTCATTTTTTTAGTTGCGACATTTAAAGACTATACTGATAGATTCCCGTACATTTTAAAGTTTTAAATTGGTTAAGTCAATAAATCTGGGTAGTTAAAAATGTCATTTCATTACAAAAACAAATAGTATGTTCGAATTTACCTGTAATAATAATTTGGGTTAGATTTTATGAGGGAAAACGTGAACCTTTTCAGTAGGAGCATTAAACGTGTTTAAAATAACAGATTGATAAATTTAAAACAACGGATTAATAAATTTTAAGATATCTTGTTTAAAATCCCGAAAAGAAAGATTAATTTCCATACAGTGAATTCTGCACGATTTAAGAGGAGACATTATTTATTTTTATTCACGTTCACAGTACTTGGCCGATTTGTTTTGAAAATAAAATCTTGAAATTAAGTTTTCGGTTTTAGTCCCATGTTATAGTTTGATCAGGTATGGCGGCGCGTCCAATGTCGCCTTCTCCACGAAATATATAATCAAACTGAAATGTCTTAAGATAATACATCACCAAATTCACATATCTTGTCCATATTTTCGTTTCAAGTAAGAAATATTATCTTGATGTATCAATCAAAAAGTAAAAAATATGTCGAATATCTTACCTCAGCCCTCGGCACTTTCATAGCTCAGAATGTATTTCTTGTAACAGCTAATAACCTTCTTCAGTGTTTCACAAAGTTAAATTAAAATTCTCGACGTGACTAAGCATTTGGCAAAAGGTTGTCAAATTGTTTCACTGGACCATGAAAACAATGTGAAATCTTAAACTTTGGTGATTTAATCGCAGATTGGCCCAGTCAAAACAACAGGTGTCTTCGGAAGCATAAAATGGTGCGTCGTAATTATATTACCAATACTCGTAAATTCTTCTCAAATTATGAATCTATAACTAATTGTATTACCTGAGATGAGAATGTAGCAGTTCATCATCCAACGCTTTTTAGTTGTTATTAGGATGAAAATTTCTTTTTGAAGTTCGAATTAGTAAAAAGAAATTCTGATAACCAAAAGAAGATTAAACGCTGGGAAACGAAACTAAACTGGTGAGTTTCTCAAATAATAATAATAATAATAATAATAATAATAATAATAATAATAATAATAATAATAATAATAATAATGATAATGATAATAATAAATCAATAATTAGTTGCAATACAGGAGAGGTGACTCTCATGGATTTGATTTTTTGTTGTTGAAATGAGAAGTTCGTTTTGCAAATTCTAATGAGTACAAAAGAAATGCCAATAGTAAAAAAAGTGAGTGTTGAGAAAGAAATATAGAAATATAAACAGGGAAATGTTTCAGATTCTTTTTCATTGAATATATCCAAAATTACTTCTTCTTTTAGCAAAATATTTTTTAAATTTATAAAATTATAGTAATCGGTTAATAAAATATTTACAGATAGGCCACAAATATATCATCATCTTACCATAACTACCAGAAGCTTTTAGTTGAATATGATGTTCAAAATTGTGAACAAGGAATGTCCCGATTATTTCACAAGTTATAGAACTTATATAAAAAATACCCATAGCTACAACACTCGATTATCTTATAATAATCCCTTAGCTGTACCGAAATGCTGGTTAGACGCGGGTGTGCGAACATTTAATGCAAGTGCGACTCGCCTTTGGAATCGTTAAGACAACAAGCTTAAAAGCATGACAAGAAACATTTTCTCGAGAGATTCTGAAACATTAATGCAAGTCGCAAACGTTTTAGTATTACAAGGACATTTTAAGGTACCTTTTTTCTTTTTTTTTTTTTATCTCGATTGTACTTTACTAGTTTAGATAGCTATTTTTAATCCTTTTCAATTTTTTCCCCATTAACTTCTTTTTACGATTTTTTTTACTTTCTTAAATTATTTGTAAATAGTCTTGTTATCTTTCTGGGCCCACAATGTAAACTACTGGGTCTACTAGTAATTGTGACAGCCATTATTGTTATTATTGTTAGCTGGTTGATTTGTGGGGGCAAATATATTCAACATTCACTTGAATAATAAAGGCAATGAAAAATGAATTCTGGTAGTTGCAGTAAAACTGATGACGTCATCGTGGAAACCCATTCCAGGAAGAAAGAGATGTCGCATGCAAGCGAGGCATAACATCCCTTGCACAAAGTATCATGCCGATGGCAAACGAAAAACGCTACGTCCTAGCAGCGCAAATTTTGAAGAAAACAAAATATGAGGTCTCAAATAGAATTATTGTGCAGCTGCAAAGTTGTCAAATTATTAGTTGAATATATTATAGCGACAACACGTTTGAATCAGAGAAGTGTAGACAATTATGTTCGGGTAATAAGCAGTAAGCGATGTCTCGATCTGGACTAAATGAATTCGTTAATTTAACAGTAATACGAGCCGTTAACAACTTTGTATAATAATTTTTTATGCGTCAATTACCTTCTCACCCAAATAAGCCAAATCCAGAGGAAAATAAATAATGTAATTTGTTTGTAAGAATTAGCGGTCATGAATAAAGAAAAATGACTGACGAAGAGGGGAGAACTTAAGAAAGGGACAAATGCAAGTCTGGTTGACCCCTCAACTGGTGGTAGTTAATCAGTACTCTGTGGGAACTAAAGTATCACAAGACAATGTGGGGTAGATTTCTGAGCGAGACTGGGACTATTACTAATAAACTTTACTCTTCTTTTACAAACGAAAAAAAACCCTATCAAATTATTATTTTCTCTGGGCTTAAAGACAGTGAATGCCAAGGAGATCCTTTCACAAATAATCTATTGATGGCTTAAATTTGATGGTTCAAACTTATAACTTGAGTCCGTCCGTGATGTAACAGTTTTGATCATTGAAAAGACTCAGTACATATTGATACTATAATTAAAAAGGTTTTAGATATTTTTCTCCATACCATTTTAATATTGCCCATAATTCACCTTTTTTTATGCAAAATTTTGGGGGTAGCCTCCAAAATTTTGCATAACCATTGTTTCGGGATTTTCTTGGGTGTTACACTCATGCCAAGAGAAATTTATGCAAGTTTTTTTTTTCCAGCGGGGGGGGGGGGGGGGTAACAAGGCGGATTATGTGGAAATGCTAAATGACAAGAATTTTATCGACTTTTTTTATGTTTGAAGTGTTACTGTTTCTGAAATCAGTCCAAATACTGGAATTGCTTTCTTGTGTCGTGCTGCTGTTGTTTACCTTCCTTTGAATTAACTTAACCAACTTGTACTGTATCAGTTGTAGATATTGTTGTGCTATTAACTAGACTTATATTTGTGATTAAGGCCTCATTTCAGACTTGCACGCGATCAGTTTAAAACATACCCGGGTTAGAATATAAAAGCAAGCCGATCGTGTTTTTAACCAACCACAGGAGTTTGAGATTGATTCCAGAGATACCGTCATTATGTTTGCTATTTTAAGCCCGACTAATAGACGCCGTTTCTCGTGTAATATCGCTACAACGCTGTAGTATTTATAGGACTGTATATGTTCACGAAAGCTGAAACGTTCTAAATTCCTTTCATATAGCATCTGCATGGTTGTTATTGGGAAAACAATCAGCGTTTCCATAGTAACCTTCCCGCAAGTTACTCTGTCAACCACGAAATAAATCTTTAATTTTGGTCATAGTTATTTTTTGCCACTCTGGTTAACAATATTTCATTTCAAGCCGGATAGCTCAAAAGCGGGCTAATTTTGTGTTGCAGACACGCTAACAGAACTTAACAGGTAACTAAACTGGAAGCGAATTCAGAATAACACTTCAGAGAAGGTTAATACAAATTGCTATCATTTAAAACCAGTAAGCAAAATGTTAACGAGTGTAAACAGGAAACAAATTCTTTTTGAGGAAATCTAACTTGTTGTCCAGTTTGTGTTGGAAACAGGGATAAATTTATAAAAATACTGCTCTATTTTTATGCTGCTGAATAAACATTGCTCTTAGACTTTATATGTCTAATTGCTCTAAAAAGTTTCAATATTAGTATTCAGCTTTTGAGGAGCACTTCATCGAATTTGTAACGTTTTGTTCAAAATATATTATTATACTTAGACAGGTGATCAGATCAGTTGAGGCTCAGACTAAGACAGACTTAAGGGAAACAGAGGATCGCATTTTCAAAAGGAAGAAATGGAACCAACAACCAAAGAAAATAATTATTTCTTAGTTATCAGAAAATAATTTGACAACCTTCATTAAAAAATAATTTAATTCTGTTTTATTTAACTAAATTGATATTCAGTTGTTTTTAATAAGAATATCATTTAGTTAGTCGCCATGGTTACCTTAATATAACAGCCAAAAATCACACGAAAAAAAACCGATGGGATGCAGGTCTATTTACGTTGGAGACTGAGTCCTACACTTTGTGACCATTCAAATGAGATTTCTTTGGCGTGAATTTTGTATGTTCTTTCACTTTGTTCACATTTTAGGAGGATTTTGCAGTATGAAAGGATATACATATTTTCTGGATACTGAGGCTATTTCACACTATACCGGGTAGTTCTTGTGAAGGTACGAAAACCATATCTGATATAGCTCCTTTCACATATAAGAACGGTTTTTTTTCGGCGCAAACGGAGCAACGCTACACCTTTGTTAACAGTGGATTCTTACATATGGCATATGTACTGCTCTTTGGCGCAATGTGTACAGGTGTTCATAATTTACCGGATAGCTTTTATGATAATAATAATAATAATAATAATAATAAAGCAAATACAAAAACTAGAAATACAGAGAATGTGGCATATGAAAACCGTAGTGATCCCTGTGGTTGTTGGTGCGCTTGGTACAGTGAAGAAGGGTATGGTAGAAAACATCAAGAAAGTATCAAAGAGAGCTACTATGACAGAGATTCAAGAGATCTGCATGCTGGGATCTGCGCGAATCCTCAGAAAGGTGCTCAGTGTATGAACAGAATGATTGACTTGAGTGGCTGACGCTCTAGGTGCATGCTTTGCGCCCGGCTGATGCACAAAAAGAACACCGGCAAAGACTGTGATAATAGAGATAATAATAATAATAACAATAATAATATTTTAGCATCAGGGAGCCCATTTTACCAAAAGGTGCTCTTCAGTGCGGCCCTTCATACACTACAATTAACTTCAATTAATTAAAAACTACACTTGATACAACAGTGAAACCTATAATAAAAATAGAAACAGTACAAGAACAATTAAAAACTGTCGACATAAAAAATTATCCGCCATAGTGTATACACAGCCTGATTAAAGTATCCTTGAGAGATCTATACACGCTTTTATTACATAATCACCCAATTCAAGCCGCGTTTATAACGGCTGCTGATAACTTCTCTTAAAATTAGAGCCGCCTACGGCTAGCCCCTCCGCAAAATTTACTTTCAAGAAAAAAAAAATCCACATTTAATGTCAGCTGAAGGCTGTATTCTTGCTGTCTTCCTCTTGCGGCTCTAGTATTAGCTGTACGCAACTGATATGAGTATTGCGTGCTTTGCCTCAGCTAGCCTGCATTGACATCAACGCTCTTCAGTGCTCCTCAAGTGTGCCGATTCGAAATCGCCACTTATTTTCAGCCTGCGTAGCCAGCTTTTCCGATCGAGATGTTGCGCAAAAGTTAAAGTGAGAGCCGGTTATCCAACATATTATAGGCTTTCCTCTGATTGTCTGCATGTACACTTTTTAAAGATGTTTACTCTTTTTGCAACTTTTGCAAAAGCCTCTGCCTTTTTAAACTCATAGAATTCTTACTACGTTTACCTTTCCTGTGTAGCAGAAATACCAAAACAGATTTTATCAAATATATTCTGAAAAACACGATCAGCTTAAGTAGCGGTTTGACAATGTCGACCTTGAAAGCCTGTAGGTTCGCGATGTTGGTCTAATCGTCGGCAAGTTGATGTGTGATGTGGTCAAATTGTACTGGATGTACTTAATCTCTTCCTCATAAAAGAAAAACGAAAAGCACTTAAGCTAACCATGATGATTATCTCACCCTATCATCGCGATCGCCATGCAGTTGTCGAAAAAAACCACAACAGTATTAGGTTATTATTTTAGTCTTTCAGGGTGACGCTTTACACGTTTCCTGATGGTCAGTAGTACCACTGTTTTCAGTACTCCATGTATTGTTCACATTCTCAGCATGTTTTTTTTGTCATTTATTATCGTGCGGGATAGCATGTTCATTGCTTTTTAAGTTTTAATTGAAGTTTAAAATGTATTTGAATTGAGAGCAGTATTTGAGACAAAACGACGAAAATAAAATTGATTTCCATAGCGTTGGTTTTCCCTCTTCAAAAATGCTCTGGCATAGTTTTCACTTGTTTTGCTCCTGTAGCAAAAATTACAATGTCTGTTTCAGATTGAGTTACCAAAGTTAATGTTTAGTAGTTTTCTTTAATAATAATAATAATAATAATAATAATAATAATAATAATAATTAATAATTCCATTATTTACCCTCGGCAGTATTTATAGCACTAATGCTGGTGGGGCCGAGCAAATACCTGAAACAAACAATTCAAACTGAACTTAATAGGGTTAAGAATCCCAACTGGCCGGAGGCAAACCAGTTAGTTATTTACAAGTGTGGTCAAGGATTTGAACTAGGTACTACCATGAACAAATCCAGCTAGTGGTCACAGCAGGACTTGAACTCGGGGACTCCGAATTACAAGTCCGGCGTTCTAACCACTCGGCCACACTCGGCCACGTCGCCTCCTCCTTTCATGTTAGAGATTCGTCCAAAGTTGACTTACTTAGAGTGACTTAGGTAAAACCCTGTTATTTGTTACCTGCGGGTACCGACACTCCCGTTAACAACAGGTTGTTTCGAAGACTTGGAAAAACGGACGGCGTAATCAAAACTTTGTCTGGTCTTTCACTTTATGTGACTTAGCTCTGCGTATTTCAGTCACAGAGCAAATGGAAAGCCTATTTCTGTCTAACCAAAACCACAATGAAATATTTTGATCAAACATTCAGTAAAAAAATCAAAATAAAACAAATGATTTAGTTCGGCATGATGCTGTGAAATGAATTGCATTATGAGCACGTATTACTAAGTCGGTGTTATCATTTTGCTTTTAACATTGTTTCTTTTTTATGCGTGATAAAGCTTTGCTTCAACTATTTTCTCTTTAGGCGGTTATTGAACTGAATGACTAAAAATAAATATACATTATGAATATTTTAAAATAGAACAATTATTACACAAAGAAAGTTACTTGGTGTTATGGTTCAGTCTATCGTAATTGTTTTCGCCGACCTTCTTTTGTATACGCGGTGTCTTTGTTCCAAAAACAGTCTTAACTACTTAATATTGTTGTTGTTTTTTTCTTAAATATCCGGGATAAAATTTGAAATCTCGGCTTCTTGTAGTACCAATCCACCAAAATCGCGAAAGTCTCCACTAAAAGGACAAAACATTAACCGAGCCACATTTTCCTAAGCCGGTTGGTTATATTATCGGATCGTGTGATATTCAACACGGATGGTTAAACAATATTTAAACCCTAACCGCGGAAATCTTATTCTTTAATTTCACAGCAAGAGGAACCTGACAAACTATGGAAGTGAATGGCTCCGAGAAACTCTGTTCTAGATTTTGAAAAATCTCTAAAATTTTAGAAATATATTTTCTCTTTTCGAGCATTTACTCGATGATAATCTGTATAATATCGATGGCGTAATCAATTTAACAAGCTTAACGTTTTTGGAAAGAATTCATGCTTGAAATAGACAATATTACTACTAGTTAAAAATAAATTTGGCGATTGAATTGCAATGATAAGAGAAGAGCTGCAGAAAATGAAGCTTAGTTTTTAGTTTTCTACTGCGTTCATTTTAATTTGAACAAGGTGTCAAAACATCGAAACAAATTAAAACGTGGTCATATACTCGGAATGCTGGTCTGTTACTAGTGTATCAAACGATATTGGAGACGCCAGAAAGAGTGACTTAATTGATCCTCAAAAGAAAAAAAAAACAAATCAGTCAAATATTGTAAATTCCTTAGATAAAGAAAAAGCGAAAGAGAGACACACGCTTGCAGTCTTCATCTTGCCAATTCGCTCTGTTTGAAACTAGGCGCCACCGGGAAACCTGCTCTTTACAAAGAAGATATAAGCTTATCGTATTTATGAAGGTTGGAATTCGGAAATGTGCTGGGGTGTTCGTAACCTTGGCAACGGAAGAAACAATGAGTGATATACTTAAGGGGGCTCTGTGGATTGGTCTATATAACACCCTATAGGCTTGTGAGATCGAGAGGTGAATACATTCCTAATCTTAAAATCTTCAAGTATGCTTGACTTTGAAAGATGAACGTGATTGATGCCATTGAAAGATACGACCTATGTGGTTTTAAACGTTTTGTTCCTTTTCCTTCTCTTACGTATGTCTTGTGTTCGTTTGCTCCGCATTTTCTAGCTATCAAAGTTTTCTTTTCAAAATTGAGAATGAGGAAAAACCCTGACGGATGTAAATTCCTTTGCGAAAGAAGCTTAGGAATTCAATTTTTTAAGCAATTTCTTCGCGTGTCCACGTTTTCTAATGTAAGCGAGTAAGAAGTGAGAACGTCTTGGATTTTTGAATTTAGACTGATAAAGTTATAAACACCTCGCAAAATCAGTCGGTATAAATGACTTTGCGATATGTCACCCTCGCACTTTACATAAATAACGAGGAAATTAACTTCATTTGCAAGAATTACAGACGAGCGCTTTTTACTCGCTAAAACGCTGGCAAAGTTTAGCGCGCCATACCGATTATACTAAATTCTATTTTGTCAATTGTTTTGCCTGAAAAAATAGCATTAAACATTCAAATATTAGCTAGAATATAAAAAACGAAGATCCGGCTTGTGATGAAAATAATCCATGATAGGATGATTTAAAATATTATTCAATCAAATATAAAATTGTCATGTTACCTTTCTTAGGCAAGAAGTAAACAATTCCATACTGAGATCTCTCATGTTATCGCAGTTCTCTTTCAGTCTCGATACAATTCAGTTACCGCTGTTTTCTATTGAAACCACTACATAACTCTTATAGTCATGCAGTGAACATTTACGATATGTATCTGTAATCGCATTGCACCGATGTAAGCGTTTTGTCTTCTTACGTGTAAATGTGTCAATGTGTTTGGATCCAATGACAGGAAGGATTAGAAAAACAAATTTTATTCCTAGAAAGAACCATCCCTTGACCTGTAAAACGTGACTCTGATTTTCCGTTATATGTCAACAAGTTGTACTGCTTTATTATCAGCATGGGCCATGTAGGTATCAACAACTGTGAGCTAATTTATAATAAAGAGACGGTTTTTTTCAAAGTTTTCTCGTACCGTAAGATGGCTAGAGGTTGAAAGGAACGTATCGTGCAAAATTTTGTCAGGTGCTAAGAATTGATTTACATGGTTCTACTAATTAGTATGAGGCACGCGTAGCGAACCATACTAGAAGTTGCCAGCTCAACAATCGCCAGGCATTTTGTAGCACTAGTGATTTGATATACCATTTAAAGACGTTGCGATATTTCTTAATATCGCGTATAATCATTTCTGCCGTCAGAACCTCGTTAATCCGTCATGGCATGGCAGACTCGGCACTGTTTTAACAGACTTGTCCAGAGTCTCGTCATATTGTCTACATCGAATTCAATTTGTATAATCCTTTGTTTTTGTATCTTAGACGCGAGGTAAAAAAACAACAGTGATTAAATACCGAACGCATCGCCGCCTGATTCCTACATAAACATTTCAAATCCGCAATACAATTTTTCACGAGTTAATTTAATTTAGAAATTGAAAATTTTCTTACCTTGCTTTTTCGGATTTTGAAGCTCGGTTTACTTGGAAGCAATGGTCCCCTAAACCAAGTCCTCATTTTGAAATTTTATCTTGACATGCACTAACACTACCTTATTCGTCCTTAAGTCAAGGCTCAGTGTCCTAAATTTTCTGCAACGTTTAGTTCATAAGGGCTTTCCGGAAGAATATTGCCTCTGGTCGTCTCAGCGTGTTTGACATACCGAATGATCGCTTGTTCGAGTGGAGCCGATATTATATTTTGCTCACGCTGTCGTCAACAATTCTTAAGTTTCTTTTTATACCAGCTATTGTTTGAAACAGCGACTAATTTTATGTTCAACTCGTTTTGCGGTTTGTCTAATTATATCTAGCACAGTTGCGAGATTTTAAGGCAACACAAATGACATCCGGAACAGAAGGTGAACATAAAAATTCCGGCCGCTTAAGAGCACGAAATCTCAATCACAGAGCACTAAAAAGACTCTTTAGTCTATTAATAATCCATGAATTTCTCGCTTTAATATTCAGACTCAAGAAATTAGCTGTTGACGGCCATGCTGATGATCCCAATGATATATGGTGAAACTTTACAACAGTTCCAGTCCGTGGCTGCCGACTGCCCGGGCGATATGGCTTTGCGCATGCGCACGTTACTGGCCAGGTCGTGGGTTGGTATCCGAGTGTGTCACTTGTTATTTAAATTTTTGTTTAAGTTATTACAGTTCCCTACGCGCTACCGGCATAAAGCTCGCGAAAAATGAACACAGTATGTCCGCCACCTATGTTTTCCCGCCAATATCCGCTGGCGACTTACGCGTTTTCAAAGAAGCAGATTTGATTAGTTTCATGATTAAAACCCACTCAAAGTCGTCTTCTCATAAGTCACAAAATTACATAAAAAAGACGTGAGCGATTACACTACCTTCAAATTTGTTTGGTCAACTAACAATTTTCTGTACTGTACAAGTCCAACAGCCTCCAATTCTCATTCGGTGTGGTTCTAGGTTGGAAAACTAAACTTGGTTCATGCCAGGAAAATACCTCATTTTTCAATATGATAGCTTTTGCCGTAAGCCGTCGACGATAGTTAAAGTCACGTACTTAACAAACTGTGTTCGTAACACTGTCAAACCTCCTGTATAAGGACGCCGCCCAAGGGAAACGGAAAAAGCCAAGTGTCCGCATTACAAAGGTTTCCGTATCTTAGAGGTGAAACTTAACTGTCCGTAAAAGAAAAATGTCTGTATAACAAAGGCGTTTGTAAGAAGAGGCTTGACTGCAATTAGTTTTGAGAAGGACAACATTTGCGTCAGTACGGAAAAAGATGGTATTCCGGTTGTCTCTTTGCTTTATTTCAATGCAAATGTCCTAGTCCATAACGCTCTCATAATTACGGTGTATCAGTATCCACATCCTGGATCGGTGTGTGGCCGAAGGGGGGGGGGGGGGGGGTCGTATATGGATATTTGCTGCCAATAGTGGAGTAGTTATCGACAAGTTGTTTTTGCTTTAGGACATAGAACGTCATTTAAATCAAGTGATTACCTCTCCGAAGGGGTAAGAGCATTGAAAATGTTCATAGTAAAAAACTGAGATTAAAGATATGTAAAATGCAGCCTGTTAGAAGTAAAAGAAATGTGGTTTTAAAAAAAGGAAAATAGAATTTTGAGAAATGGGAGAATGAAGAGTAACAATGACTTTAAATGTAAGGATTTGTCCATGAATGATAGAGGGCATGCAGAAAAGGTCAGCACAGGTTTCATCTAAGACAGTACTTGCCCATTAAGCATTTGTGATAACATTTGTGGCGTTTTTTAGGTAGCTCGATTAGAACGTCCATGCAATTACCTCAGCCCGGAGATTCCTTCTGATTAGCCTTTTCATACCTGTGACAACATTTTGTATAGTGGCAAAATAAATTGAAAGTTAAGTTGTTCCGTCAAAATAGGATACCATCACGTAACTGACTCAACTGCTTGACATACTCTCCTGAAGCATTCACCACAATGAACTTGATGGGGAATACATTTACATAGCCAACTGCAAAACATTATGGCTATTACTGGTTTTTTTTTATGGTAAGCGTCTTCGATGACTTCCATATTTTTTTAATCGAATCCAGGTAGTCCACTTGTTTTTTAAGTAATATGTGTACCCTAAATACGATGATAATGACATGTTACGACTAAGGATGAATGCAGGAATTCTGTTTTTCTTGACAAAATAAATGACGCGGTACGACATAAGTGGCCAGTGACACGTGGATCAACCTTTGTTGCTCAAGAACCCAGCTCTTGTTGCTCAACAATCAACCTGTTGAACGCATGAACCCAATAGAGCCTTTCTCATTCTCGTTTAACACGATTCTAACATTCAACATGGGATGATGCACTGTTAACCCTTTAAACTCTAATACCAGAATCTAGATTCTCATTTTTTGCCCCAATACATTCGCAAAAGCGCCCAGGAGTCTACTGTAGATCAGCCGTAAGGAATCTTGACTAGTACCCAAAAGGTCAAATGTTCCGTTCCACTCCAGCTGGAAGAACTCTGACTCCATTTGCTTTTCTCACTAGCAGAAAAACAAAATCATTCTCATTGAATAAAATCAGTCTTGCTTGTTTATTATGTCTAGAAATATATAACCAAAATTCTGCTAACCCTATTGGGGCGGAGCCCCTTGGAACCTATAAAAACAGGCTTAAACAACCCTCGATTGCTCCAATTCCGTGGTTTGCGTTCTACACGTGTTCGGCAATCTAACTGATTGTCTTAAGCGTGACTTCCGACATAGTAAATAAAGTACCCTACCTATATTTTTAATGGCCTTTATATTTGACAAACATATTTTCAGTTGAGACAGATCTTAAGATAAAGCCAAGTTGTTATGGTTAAAAGAGGATTTAGTGGTATTTCAGCTAATACCATGTTTTCAATTAGTACTCTGAATATGTCACGATGTTATGTTTTTAGACATAAAAGTTTAAATAAGTATAAATTTAAAGGGTATTAGTTACAATACGAGGTTTGATATTTTGGCGTATGTGGTTCTTAGCTACTGCGCAATAAACCTCAATGCATTTGGAGCTGCTCCCAATATTATGACTTAACGAGAAATGTTTTGAGTAGATATTGTAATTATATTACGCTATATTTAGCTAATCAGTTATTCCGAGGCTTCTATCGGAAATGGGTAAATGAAAAGCAAAGCCAAAAAAACTTAGACATCTTAATCGCTAAATAGATTTGTGTGTTAATCATAAAATATGAAGACTAACAGTTTCTACCCCTTGTACTGAAATTACATGTGGCATTAAAAAAATGGCTTTTCGTCCCAGTTTTCAACTTCCCATCCGCCATCAACCGTCATCTTACTTGATCCTTTCTGCTGTGCCAATAGCAGTTTAACCCTTTAAACCCTAAGATCAAAATTGGAATTCTCATTTGTTGCTCCTATTCATTTCCTACAGAAGTAGTGGGGAGAAGTTGATAAAATATCAAGCAAATACCTCTTGTGTGATCATGTCCGTAATTCTCATGACCACTCTGTTTTACAAAGCATTGATATTACAAGGAGAATTTTGATGCTGATCATTCTTAGGGCTTAAAGGGTTAAACTGATCCAGATTTGCTTTTTTGTTGTAAAATGATTTTTGCAACGAGAAAAGGAATGAAAATTTCTTCCTTGAGTTAAAAGTTAGCACTAACTTTCACCGCAACATGGCAAACAGCACAAGAAATTATTACTCAGTAGCTTTAATTCCACTATATATTTCTTTGAATTTAGTCCATAGTAAAAGATGAAAGATATACCACCACATAGCACCTGGAGAATTGGAAATGAGTCAGGGAATACACACAGCATAGCTAGGACGATATGGTAAGTTATAGTTTTATTAAGAATTTGTGCAAAATACATTATATAGAACAAAATAGTTTGGAACTACATAACTTTATGTTCTTAGTGTATTTAGTCTTAAAACTGAAATTCTAAAATTATCAAGTCCCAACAAACGTTGCTTGTAAAAGAGATACTAGATATCTTGAAATGCTTTACTATATATGTATACATCCGGTACAAAATGCCCCTCGCAATGCAAAATGGATTCTTTCAAAAACGATGCCCATCTGTAGCCAAAATCAAACTTCAAGAGAAATACCACATTTGTATGATGTTAAAAAGTGCTTCCAAAAAGGTTTCACTTAAAAGGACACACCACAGTATTTTATTACAGACACTTCTAAATTTTTCTACGATTGGCGCTATTTATGCATAATTAACCCTTGGCGACAAAAGGGTAGCACTTTGTGAAGTACGTACCGGCCACATCCACATTAAGTTGGAGGTGTTTTCAAACGAAAACGTAATATCAAGTACTGTATGTTTGGCTAAACAGGAAATAGGCGAACGCCCGGGGCCTAACCAGACTCACAGGGGGTGGTTTCAGTTCTAACTGTCGTCTGAAATTATGAGTCAAGAAAGTATAAAATTAAAAATTTAGCAATTCAGAAGACATGTGCATACGTTCTTGATGCTTACCCATTGATTGCCAATTCTCAGCATAACGTCAACGTGCAGCAAGCTTCGCGGGTGTCTTTGAGCAAAGCATGTCATAGAAAGCATCGATGTCGAAGTCCTGGTTACATTGAATAATGATGAGATAAACGGATGACTCTCGCTTACTATACATAGACAAGGGGGGAGGGATGAGGTTCTGGAAACCCCATGAACCCTCCCTTGGGTACACTCCTGCCTTAGTGTGGTTGTGAACAAACAAAATGCATCTTTTTAAAAAAGAAAAGGAAAGGGCGATACGTGTTAATGAGCCATTAATTTACCTTGCTATAACTTACAGCAATGCATAAATAATGCTTTTAAATACTAGTCTATATGAGGCGTATCACACCTCTTCTTACGAAAAACACAGATATGTGCAAAGTATTATTAACGAGTATCAATAGCAACCGTTATATTATTATTTATCTATTTATTCATTCATTTATTAAATCGCTAACAGAAAAAGGAAAAACGGTTACTAACCTTGACCTTTTTTACTTGTTACTTGTTACGAAACAATTTCGCAAACGTTTGACTTAAAATTCTATAGAGAATTATTGTGATATTTCTGCGTGGTCCGAGACGGTACAGTCGAACACTCCTTAAAGTGTCACATTGGTATTCAAACACCTCTATAGATGGTTAAAAGCCTTTGGCTTAGCGTCGTTTAACAATCCGTTACTTAATTTACTTTTTAGATTTTGCTGACCAAACAACGTTTGTTGCTGCAATATAACAGACATATTAACGATAACTATATATCTACATTACTTTTTGTCGGTAAGGTCGTTAGACATCACACCAACGATTTATATATTTTGTCTCTATGCTAAGAATTTTAAACTGGCCAAAATTCCTGCGAAAAAGACTTTTTTATACAAGCACCCCACACTTTGTTTCAAAAAACTAAAAAAAAAAACTGAAAAAATTCTTTATAATGTACGCCCGTTTAATTATACTACCGACAATATTTAACAAAATAAATCTATTTAGTAAACTATGGCTGAAAAAGCCACAGTTGCCACGAGAAAAACGGTGTACAAATCAACGGTTTTCTGGGAAGGAAAATATTTAACATAAACAGTCCAGACTATAAAGAAATATATTGTCATCTTCCCAGAATTCCATTGTTCGGAATGAATATTGCATACACTCAATAAAATCCATAGTCTTTCACTTCATTTAAGACCTACTAATTCGAATTAATAAATCGTCGATAATGTTCCATGTTCTGTACTCTTATCGATCAAAGAAATGACATCAAAACTCGAAGGGAAACCACGGGTCGCAGGCGAGTGTGGTTTCACTGTAGAGTTTTTAACATCAATTTTCGTTGAAGCTTCCCGGAAATCTCGCGCGTAAGAAAGAGGGAAAAAAATTGTGCCACTAGCCTCTCATTTCCGTGGTCTATACGCTCATCGAGCGTAGCTCTCGAACAATAAGCGCACGAGAAATTCCTCTTACATCATTTACCGGCTTTTGTCACTATTGTACTCAAACGATAACCCGTCTTATTCGTTTTCTTGAATGAACATGTTCTGCAGCAAATCATCCAGATCATTGGTGTTCACTTCCCGAGGGTCACGGGGAGGTGGTGGGTTCTGCGGTAGTCGCTCATTGAGCCAATCTAAACCATTCTGAGTGAGATTTTGAATGGTTTCGTTTCGGTCTCGTATCCCATCTATCTCCTTCTGCATTCCGAGTTGCTGAGATATTCGCATTGCGTCTTCAAGGACAGTGGTGGCTATAGATGAAAAAATATAATATGAAGTGATATAAGAGGCGATTAATTCCGTGGAAAATCTCACTATCTGTAGATTGAGTACTTCTCAATTAACTTTTTAAACCTACGCACGGTGAAAATCTATTAAGCGTTAGTTTCACTGGATCTGTAGATCCGAACAAGGGCTTCTTATTATATTGTACTGACAAGGTAGTGGTTTTATCCTTTGAACTGTACATGCAGTCTTAATCCACTTCATTAAAGCAGGGCTACTCAAGCACTTATTCTAAGGAGTACACGGTTTTGCCTTTACAGTCCATAACAGAGAAATAAATGTTTAATGTACCTGTCTGAAAATCAGTAGCTCGCTGATGTTGCGTTATATCTATTCTCTTCCTAGTAGCTCGACGAATGTAGTAGTCGGCTTTACCGATGAGGAATTTGGCTTCCAACCTCTTGGGAGAATGAGGAAGTAAGTTTTTTTCGAACTTTTGAATGGCTTCATCAGCTTTGGCAAGCTTCGCCTCAGTGACAAGTTTCCTACAAAGAGAAAAAACGTCCGTTTCATGTCAGTGCATCCTTGAAATTCGTCAATGTTTGGACTCAACGTTGAACGCTTCGCTCAAGCCAAGGATATGTTGGAGACTAGGCCTGTGCCAGAATCTCACAGTCCTCACGCGGGTTTTTTCCGATCCTCTTTCCCCACTATCTTGGAGCCTACAACAGGCTATTGGAGACAGGGAGAGCATTTATTCTGAGGGCGGGAACTATAAAACGATATATTAATGCAAGGTGTTTTTTTACTGATAGTTCAACGAAACGAACCTCAGATCTGGAAACGCCGAGTGAGATGTGTTCAAAAAATAAGTGATCATTCTGTTGTAGCTCCTTATCACGCATCTCAGTGTTTCGTTCTCTCTCTGCTGCGACCAAATTCCCGCCACCTCTTCAAAGAGTCTCTCCACTTCCCGTTCTTCTTCAGGTGTCAGGTCGCGTGTAGTTGATTTTTCCACCATTAGGGCAGCCGCGTTGTATCTGTTTACAGCGGTTTCTTCACTCAAAAAAGCAGGCTCCAAACACTTAGGAAAAATCAAAAGGACCGCGGTGTTTTTTAAAGAAATACCAACCCCGACAAAGATGTTATTTCAGTCACTAACTCGGGCTCGAAAGTAACAATCCGAGTACTACCAACAGGAGCTGTACCCACGACCTGGTTAATTAATAGTCCAGATGCTCTACCATTGAGCTACAGAAGACTCGTGGGAGCTTAATTGCCAACCCCTTTTTCATATCACTTCGAATATGACAAATATTTTCGTGGGGAAACTTTATGACTACAACAACAAGGTACACTCATCTTATTGGCCTGTATTTCTGGACATAGAAGCAGAAGGGTAGGGACTCGGCTTGTTATGTCTTCAGCCTTTTTGGGCTCGGCTTGATTCGCCAAAATAAAGCACAGTCCTGGGTCCAACCAGTTCTTAATATGAACATCTTCATAATGCGGACACGCCGACACCTCTCCGTTACGGCAGTTCACTATTGGTTCCAAACCTCACACAAGGTTTCGCGAACTACTGGGTGCGACTATTTAGTGGTGTTATCTGGGCATTAAACTGAAAAATTTCTTTACAAGAAAAACTAACTTTTAATACGCTTTTCCACAAATCAACTTAATTTTTAAGGTAATTACCTCAGAGGATCTTTCCATATATTCGTCAGCTTTGTCAAATTCTTTTGCCTTCCGGTACACAGCAGAGATTATGTAAAACGCTTTCGTCAAAAGAAACGGCCAGTTTCCTGAATTATGACGCATTGCTTGAGCTTGGACCTCCCAACACTTCGCCAGACAATCATCCATTTTGTTTTGCCCAAAATCTACGATCGCTTCCTTCAGGAAAGAAAATAACATGATGTACATATCAAGTTATCTATTAAACACGAGAACAGGTGTTACATCCTGATATCCATAGACCTCGAAGTAATCTATCAGGCACGAGTAGGAGTGTTTTATTTGATCTCTAAACACCGAGAAGCGCCCAATACTCATTTGATAAAACCCCGAGAATTATCAGTGTATTACACGCGCTAAGGAGTGTTTCATTTGATATCCAAACACCGAGAAGTATTATATCAAACACGAAAATGAGTGTTTCGTCGGATATCCAAACCCCGAGTATGGTTAAATCAAACACGAAAAGGAGTGTTTCATTTGATATCCAAACACTGAGAAGTATTATATCAAACACGAAAAGGAGTGTTTCATTTGATATCCAAACACCGAGAAGAAATAAATCAAACACGTAAATGAATGTTTCATCTGATATCCGAACAACGAGTAGTAATATATCAAACAAGAGAAGGAAAGTTTTATCTGTTATCCAGATAATGGAAAGTGGTATATCAAACACGACTAAGAGTGTTTCATTTGATATCAAAACATCGAGAAAATCAAACACGAGAATGAGTGTTTCATCTGATATCCAAACACCGAGAGGCATCAAATACTCATTTGATATCCAAGTAAACCAAATCCTCTGATAAAAGCCAGGTTTGATAAAAATCATCCATTGCCTCGATTCATTCTCTTACCTCAAGTAAAACAGCTGACAGGAGATCCTGATACTTGACTTTCCCGTTTACCTGCGCAACAAGTTTGCCTTGATCTCTCAGGAACTGATTGTACTCACCTATAAAATGTCATCGATGTTTTTCTTTATTTCCAGAAAACTAGCATGATCGGAATACAGAGCATTGTAATACATAGCGCACAGGGGAGATCCCCTTCGGTATTTCATCTATTCTGATCTCAGTAGTATTTTTTTTATTACAAGTGTTTCAAACACGTCTGCCATTTCTTACCAAAGTTCGCGAGTTATAGTGGTCTTACGATAATCGCCTTCCCTGGACTGAATACGCAAAACAAGTTTAAAATAGTTTATACAAACCGTTATCGCCGAGGTTTTGAAAGTGCATCCTGATGGCTTTGCCCATTTCGCCAGCGAGAACACCTAATTCAAACAATATTTTTGTTGAAGTACTGTATTATATCATTTTTTACGGGGAAGTGAGGGAGTGGGGTGGGGTGGGTGTGGGATAATTCACACATCTTCGGATCGACAGTGGGTTGGATACGAGGGTCACGCGGGAAACTTTCCTTCCCTTAATGTTCTGCGCCCCTCAAGCTACTCTGTGTTCAAGACTACAGTACATGTCCCAAAATTTGAATAGCAGTGATACATGGTTGTTTTAGTAACGAGGTTTCCGAGGAGAAAGACTACAGCAAACCCTACAACCAAACCCCTGGTTTCAGTCGATGCGATCTTGTGCCTTCCGGTAAGGTCGGGGGTAACAAAAGCCAACAAAGGGGACTGCCGTATACCTTGCATCTGAATTTTGGGCACTGGCTTTTCCACTTCTGTGATTGTTCTTCCGCTCTGAAAGTCGTACAGTTTAGAGCCTCTTTTGTGTGATTCAATGAGGAACTGAAGCTCATCCAAAACTAGAGAAAGAACAAAAAAATGTTATCGCAGCTGGTACGTATGGTACAGTAAGCAGCCTTTGAAACTTACGTATCTTAAACTTGTAGCCCTTTTCAGTGGTAGGATTTACTTTAAAACTATCCAAATTTCGTGGGCTGGTGTATTGAGCACACATGTCAAAAAAACCACCACATTTTACAACCCTTTCTGTCTTGAGGCCATTCCACTGTATGGTAATTTGGTAGAGCCTAAAAAGGAGAATTTTCGGGAGAACGAAAAGGGTTTTGAACTTTTCATCACTCTTAGTGGAAAAGTTTTTAGGGGCCCAAATTTCTTAAAATACGTCCAACTGCTCAGCAATCAGGAACGCCCTTTTTCTCACATGGCACCAAGTTCTTCCCCTGGTAAAGACTGGCTAAAGCTAAGCTCTAAGCGCACTGTGTTATTTTAAAAGGAAAGCTGGCTTGTTGAAATGTTTTACAAGATTTTAGTCAGTCCTCCTTGAGTTCTTGACCGCTGATTAATATAAAGTAACTATCTGGTTGCGTAAAAGTACCTTGGCAATCACGAGGGTCTACTCCTTTGCACAGCTTAATTCTAACAGCGTAGTGAGAAGGCATCTCATGCCTCACCGGCAACATAAATACTAGATTTCCAGCATATGGCGGAAGAGGCTTTTTCCTGCAGTCAACGCTTTGAGACAACACAAAGCAGCAAGGTTCACTTACTTCCGGTGCAATCCTGAACATTCTATCCCTCTGTAAAACAGAAGAAAGAAAGAATTCAAGTATTTAAAAAAGGAAATTCATATCTAATAATTGTCAAATACACTTCCCTTTTGACTTTTTGTTGTTACGAACGAGCGTGAAGACCCACATATCTGGGCGGCGGAGGAGGAGGAGGTCAATAGCCCAGGGGAGGGTTAATTGGAAGGTCCAACGTAGTGACGAGTCCGAAAAGACCATGCTTGTTGTTAAAAGTTCATGTCATGGTCGCTTCTTTATCAGTGCGAACTTCACTTTCTTTGTGCCCACAAAGAATAGCGTAAAAGTTGTGTGAATACTAAAGAAACGTGGAAGTATCTTAACGTTCTGGATTTTCGTTCGTTTGGCTCCAAAATGAAAGTTTGAGTGATTCAAATATTTTGCAACAGGCGGACACAAAATCACTCAAATTCTCATGGTCGACAAGGATACACCAAAGATATTACAGATACTTTGTAGACTTCGTTGCTACACTTTGAAACAGCTCCAAATGCTCAGTATTGAGCAATTAACATATAGCTACATATCTCGTAAATGAGAACAGTAAAACCAGACATTTAGATAAAGTTTGAAACGGTTAGTCAAACAAATTGTTTGGGTTAACTCCATCTGTTTACACTCTTCCTACCGTGATAAGAATTTGATGGAAGTCTGGTGTCGCGTTACAATCCCAGATTTCGTTCGTTTCTTCATCCTTGACCGCGACAACAAACTGCACCACCAGGAAGGGGTAGGAAGTCTGTGTTACGCACGGATTTACAGGATATCCATTTGATTGGCTAAAACGAATGTCGTCTGACAGCTGTCTGCATTGGTGTAGTATCTCCATGCGGGCTCTTCTTGCCCTGAGTGTACTTGTTGTTGGATGAGGGGCTTTTGAAAATAAAATAGACAGAAGATGCTAAATTCAACACCGTTGCTCGCCCCACCTTTGCAATTATCGTCGCATGCAGTAAATGTGCAATAGGGATTGTAAGTAAAAAAAAATATTAAATATAGGTAAAACCACAGCAACAAAACAGTGAGGTCAGCGGATCTTGGGTAGACCTGGATCAGAAAAATCTCCAATATCAAATTTAAAAAAAACAGTAAACTGATCCTTGCGGTAGTACGAGTAAGAGAAAAAATAAAAAGAAAGAAAACAAAAATCAAATGGTGGATCAGTTTACCACGATAGCCACGGCAACCAAAACGTCATCTTTGGCAATGCATCCAAGTTCAGCAGTAGAATGAGAAAGATAAATTTTTCATCGTTTGTTTTACGTTCTCCGTAAAAGGTGTTGTTACGCTTCCACTGTTATTTCCGTCATGGTTGGATAAAGCTCCGTATAATCTTTTACAACCCGAGCAAGGAGTGCGTAAAAATGTGAACGAGGCGACGTATATATAAAATTATAAATATAACATCAAATTAATTAAGATTATTTATTTTTAGATTAAAGACGACCGGAAACAACCCCAAAGGAGACTGGAAACTAAATTAATGTCACCATTGGGGGAATCCCCGAAATGTCTTCAACTAATTGCATTGCAGATGTTTTAAAAATAAATGCTTTCAGAAAAATGCCTTGTGTACTACATGAAAGAAATCAATAAAACAACGATTCCATCTCGGCATATTATTTTATTTTTCGCTTAGGCCTTCTTGTTTTTACCATAGAACGTATTTTACAATTGAGGAAAAACGAGAAACGGCGCAATTTCAGAACAGATTTTAATTTTAATTTGGCTAGCCAAATCGAATTTCCACTTGAAGAATTAGCCATGAGCTTCTCACTCGAAAAATCAACGTTTGATCTTCAGTCATGATTTACCACAATGTGTACGTGTGTTTAGACCAGTTATATTATTGATTATCTTTTACAGAGAGTCGAGGCTGAACTTATTCGCAATGAATACACGTCTGGTTCACTTACGCAAAACAGGGTTGACTGTACATGGCAAAGGCGGTTTCGCCGTCAAAGTAATTTCGCGAATAAAATTCTATTCGATTTTTCAGGTTCCCTTGGTCTTATTTTAAACGTATAACTCCATGTGCGAACTGGTTCTTTAGTCCCAAATGGATGTAACGAAAATCAAAATGGCGAAGGTTTGTATATAGCTTGTACATGAACAACTCACCATGAATGGTTTCTTGCACGCTGACATTACAAACGTTTGCCGCGGCAGTCATCGATATTTTTCGAAGCTCTTCCGATATAAGTGTGGCTCTCTACCTCCTGATTCTCCTTCAAAGTTCTGTGGTAATCATACACCATGTAATCTATATTCATACGATAAATTTGTCAGAGGAGGGCAAGCAACCACCTAAGCGCGACTCAAGAGTTTGTTTACATTGTTGTATTGCTTTCGGTTCTCCTCAGGCGATGTGCGCACTGGGATTGCGATGCATTGTGGATGTAGAATTTTCAAGATGGCGGCGAAGATCGAGAAATTTCCCTGGTTATATGCTTTATATTTCGATAGACATAGTTCTTTTCTGAGAAAGTTATCCACAATTACATAAACTTATACTCATTTAGGCTTTTTCTGTGAGGAAAAAATATCAACATTCCTCATTACAATCTAAAACACGGAGCACGAAGATTCATCCTCTACGAGCATGAAATTTGAACCCGTTGTTTGGAGAGCTATAATTTCTATCATAGTGCTCATTGACGACAGAAACTAGTCTTAAGTGTTTTCACAAAGATTGTTCTATGCCAAGGTATAAACTCTCCCCAACGCTCCCCACTTTTTGAAATAGATTTTTCGAATTAAAACCGACATGTTTTAATAACAAAATTTGGCCTCGCATAGACGTGACATGGCACTAGAAGTGTCACTCATGTAATCACAAGTTAATTACAAAATAGTTCATCGGTTATATACAGAAGCATGAAGCCTGTGGACGATTTCACATAACAAATGTCAGATTTACATGTATGAAAAAATATGTGAATGAAAAATGGCCTAATTTGAAGTCTGACTGAAAACAAACAAGTTACACCAAGTAAAATGATAATGTGATGCATGTGAAGCCTCTGAGAGTATAATGAAAGCACCTGAATATTTTTCCTCAAAAATAAGAAATTAACTTTAAATACAGATAAACCCTAAACATTTTGAAAACAGCTACCCTTTATGAAAAAAAGTGGTGGGAGAAATGCATGAGTAGTTTCATGTAAAAGCCACCAAGCTGGCACTTTGATTCTAGTCAATGGAATATTCCCATGGTTCTTATTACACTTAAGTGTTAATTTAATAAATATCTCTGTTTACGACCAGTGTGTGTGGGTGTGGGTGGATGTTAAGATTATTGTAGTTTAGAGGAATTTGGAACAGCTAGGCAACAAACTGCTTATACACTGAGGTCAGTCAACCTATTTACCCCGAGAACACGGTTATACCAAGGGATTTGCATATTTTGGTGGCTTGAGTTAAAACAGTTTATCTCATAGATTATAATTGGGGAACCAAGGCTGAGGGAAAAATAGTTGATGGGAAAGGGAATATCTGTTGTAGTTAATTCTTTATCTCTGGTAATTTTTCTTTTTCTTTTGTTTTGGGCCTTCTTAATGCGTGTAAATGGAGTTGAAACAAAAGAAAAGTAAAATTTACCTGAGATAAAAAATTAACTACAAGGTATCCAAAGTGGGAAAAACGGGGTACTACTAGGATCCACCACAGTAACAAATGCTAACCCAAAAGACTAAAGTATATAAACAACATGGAAGGAAAAATAATATCCATCACTATAAAATGACAGCACTGAAATACTAATCACCATGCCAATATAATAAAATGAGAATACATTTACCCAAAAGTTTGCACCTAAATAGCACCTATGACACAACATTTGAATTAAACAAAAGTAGTTTGAGGGAGAAGGATCACAAGAAAGGAAAGGGGTCTCGCTACATGTTGCCTCTGATTACAGCAGATTTGTAAACACTGATAAGATTTTCACATTTTGGATTTAAAAAAAATGTTATTATCATACAAAAAATATGCGATGACATGTGTTTGTACATACTGATCCAATCATTCATATTCTGTGTTTTCACTCACGTTGCCAGCATCTATGCAAATTTATTGGAACAAAAGAAAGCGTTTGCATAAAAAAAGAGTGCAACTCCCAGAGGATTGGTTTGGGACACCAACATGGCCGCCGTTTCATTGTTTTGGGACACAAATATGGCCGCCATGACCTCATGTGAAAACACACAATAAAAAGAATAAAGGCAAAAACTATGAATGTCTCTTAGGCTCAATTCTTGTAACTTAATTTGTTTGACTGCAAGAGGATCAGTAATGATATCACAAATGCTGAATGCCATGATTTTCAGTTACAAACCTTACATTCTGTGACCAAAACCAATACAGAAAGCAAGGATACTAGTTTGCAGTATTTCTTCATTAGCGTTTTATTTAAGACTAAAGATCCCTGAAGAAAGTAGTGCTCAAAATTAATTATAAATAGGACACAACCCACTGTACATGTATAGACTACGAGCAGTCTCTCTTTTGTCTTGGTCCGTCGAGCAAAACGCCTGAGACAAGCAAATGACCACGCGCGTGACTGAATGCGCGAGACAGGAGAGGCCGCCCTCGTTTCTCGCGTCTCGCCACTTCGCCGCTCAACGCTCGCACGTGCGTGCACTCCCCTCACTAAATCTGAAGAAAAAGAGAGGCTGCTCGCAGTCTAGTACATGTATTGATATCTTTATTTACTTTTCATTTACTTCATGTGTGAGAAATACAGATGGTAAAACAAATAACAAATGCAAACAGGGTGCCAACAGACGGTGTTACTACAGGGGCACCCAACGAGGATATAGTTCAAAACCACTTAACATAGCATTGTTGAACGTATTTTAGTATTCAAACGGTAGATATAGGCATTTTTGTATCCCCTAAAAACTTTTCATCTGTTCGGATTTCCTAGCTGAAAGTCTAGTGATCCGAAAATTATAGGAATAAAAACTTACCTTCCCGAAAATTTCAGCCAGGAAAAGGCTCCCGCAAATTCTAGGTGGCCTTTTTTAGGGTCAAAATCCGTTAAAAATGGGTAATTATACCATTTTGTAGATGTTCGAAAATCCTAGGAGAGGCATGCAAGCAAGAAATTTTACAACAAATGTTCCGAAAAATCTAGATGTGAAATCGTCTTCCGAACAGATATTCTCCCGAAAATTGCCGTTGGGTGCCCCTGTTACTAAACGGAGTAACGCAGTAACGGAGTAACGAGAAAACGAGTAACGGGATAAAAATTCAAGAGCTTAAAAAAAATAAAAAAATAAATTCTAATGAAAGAAAAACATAAAAGTGGGTGCAATATCCTAATAATGACCTTTACCAATCTCGAAAAATATGTGTATTCCAAAAGTGCTTAAAACAACGACGTCAATCCCCCCACCCCTCTCACCAGCAAAGTCGGGGTATTTTCGCGCCGAAAAAGTCACCTGCCTACGGCTGTTATTTGCAATTGAATCCCCAATACATGTCAAGCCGACCCTACCTCTCTGAGTTAAATGGAGATAAATCTTCAATACATGTCAATACTATTCGTTTTATCAGTTTGATGTTGATGGTAGCCTCACTCAGGCTAGGCACAGAAAGGGTAACTGCGGCGCGAAATTTTAAATTATGGAAGGTCAAATCATGCTACGCTATGTTTAGGAGAGCTTCCCAAGCGAGCGTCCCTAATTTTACCAGCGACATATTTGTTTTGTTTTGCTCCGTTGCCATGGGTTACCATCAATTATTATGTTATTTTGTTATAAAGTATTATTATTATTATTATTTTTTTATTATTATTATCATTTTCCTTTTTTTCTTCTTTTGCCAGACATGATGGTAAATCTCATGAGCCTATATATCTTAATTTAGACACTTAGAATGTTGATATCAATGCACGACAATGCTAATAAATTACTGAGCAACTGACATAAAATTTCAAATGTCTGGCAATGTTATCATATCAGGGCGACCTCGAGCATCGAATTTCGTTCTATGAAAGGAGTAACGGTGGTTACGCAATAAAGCCAAAAAAACAGTAAAACGACAAACAGACACCAAACCGCAGCGGAATAGATTGCCGGTAAGACTTTTTTATTCATTTCATTCAGAAAAAGTAAGGTTTAGCGTTATCTGGCGTTCGCAGATCTCAGTGATATATTTCCCATACAAAAGTCTCTTATATTTTCAACGGTCGCCTGTAACGCGACACCGGCGCGCGTCACATATGTTATGTAAATTACATTACACCCTTCCCTCGCAACGTGAGTTTGGGCAGCCTGTGATCACGCGTGTTGAACAATAGACTGCTTTGCATTACGCAACACAGCCGGTGCGGAAGATTCATTCAAGATTTAGGAGTCATGTACATTACTAAGATTTAGAAGTTTCAAAGGGAAATTGTGTCAACTTTGGGACACTTTTTACTGCTTTAAAGTCTTGTATTATTCACAGTTTGATTTAATTTGAAATAGTCGTCGGTAAATTAGTTTTCATGGTTGTCACAGATACCGGCTCTTTCTAACTTCCCTTCATCCATTCACCTTGAATAACCTTGATGCGCACGACCTCGTGGAACACGCGGCCTTTTCTTTGCCCTGATTGGCTGGCGTGTATGATTGGAAAAGTTTGTGAAAATATATACCACAGTGTTTTGTGTAAAACCGGCCACCTGACATGCAAATACACAACAACCTTTGTGCTCGCATGAATTTAGAATAGCTGTTTCTCGATCAGTTTTCTTTCGATCAGTTTTCGTTGTTCACCGAGAGGCAAAGAGTTCTCTAGATAAACTGTTGTTTAATTTGCGACGAACCTGCTTGATAAAACAATGCCGGCGAGCTTCGTAACACTCAAGAAAAAACCAAGACCAACGGTGGACCCACCATTTACGCTGAAAGAATTAAAAGCGGCTATTCCCGCGCACTGTTTCGAGCGATCGACTTTGAAATCGTTTTCCTATGTGGCTCTGGATCTGTCTGTCGCCTGGTTCCTTTTTTTCTGCACGGGATATTTCAATCATCCTTATTTACCTTCATTTGCTGGATACATTTTGTGGCCAATTTATTGGATCTGTCAAGGTTGTGTGTGTACCGGCATTTGGGTTTTAGCCCACGAGTGTGGCCACTATTCGTTCTCCGACAGTAAAATAGTCTGTGACTTTACTGGACTTGCCCTACACACAGCTCTCTTGGTGCCGTACCATTCATGGCGAATTAGTCACGCAAAGCACCACCGTAGCACCAACGATATGGACCGTGACGAGGTGTTCGTACCCAGTACCAAAGCCGAGTTTAGCCAAGCAGGTTTGGCAGCTCTTTCCCCAGGCTGGAACGTCTTAGGGTTGTTGAAGCTATCCTT